GACAAGCCTCTGAAGAAAAAGAATAGCATTTATTCTGATACTTTAAGGAAGGGTATAGCAATGCCCTGCTTTAATTGACACAAGGAGAATAAGTTTTTGGCTTATTTATTATATAGAAACTTTTTGGTATTTGGTTCTTTTCCCTGATAAAGGAAGTTGTTAATTTTGGGGTGATTCTGCTATGTCTATACTTGCATGTTTCTTTTAAAATACCTGCCTATAATTGTTCTTGTAGATTACACTTTCATCAACTTGGATTTTAGAACTTTTCCCTTTAAAATAGTTGATTTCCTGCTTTTTTTTTTTTTTTTTTTTTTTTTTTTGGTAGAAAAAGGTACAACCTTTCCTTTGCACCCCCACTGATAGTGCTGCTTGGATTTTGTGATCGTATTTTAAAATGGGCTCTTATAAAAATGGGCTCTGGTGAGGTCGGCCATGATTCCTACTCTGAGAGTTAATAGTGGGAGAAGGCTTTGGATAATTCAGTGTCCAGCAGACAGTAAGGGGAGTGATAGTTCTACAGAAGCATTCTCAAATGGGGGCAGTTGCTTTGGTGACGGGCAGCAGGCATCATCACATCCACAGTGTTGAGCAGACCTGGAGTACGTGCTGGTAGGGGTGTCCTTCCTCTTTCATGTTGGTGTTTGTATTTCCCCTCATGAGCCTTGAGGCTGAAAGGTGAGTGTGGGGGTGGGGAGGATGTGTCAGAAGCAGCAGCTTGGGTAGGAATTCTGGATGGGAACCATAACAGGTTGATAGGGAGTAAGGCAATCTGTTGGGAGTATGAGCTGGACTCTTGCTGATATTGATGTGCATTAGTGGAAGTTGGTACCAATGATTGCGTGTGCTGTGCTATATGGTATAGTATATGTGTCGTAGAAGCAATGTGTGCAGTGTTTGGTGTGTGCATGTTTTGCCTGTGCAGTGTGTAGGGTGTGCTTCAGAAGCAATGTCTGCTTGTGTATAGTGTGTGCAGCATGTGCTATGGTGTATACTGCAGAAGCAGTGTGCATGTGTATAGTGTGCAGCACATGCTGTGGTGTGTGCTGCAGAAGCAGTGTGCACTTGCAGTGTGTACATTTTGTGGTGTGTGTGTGTATGTGCTACAAAAGCTGTGTTCATGTTTGGTGTGTGCAGTGTGATTTGTATGCTGCAGCGTGTGTGTGTGTGTGTGTGTGTGTGTGTGGCATGTGCAGCATGTGGTGTGGAGACTTGTGGTCCTTTTTCTGGATGGTCTTTAAGATGTTTATGAACACCTACAGCAATCAAGGAAGCTTTTTTTTCTTGTAGTTGTTTGTATTTTAGAAAATAAGAGTTTTCCTTGGTAGGATGTAATTTTTGATAGGTTTTTACAAGAGACCTTGAGGCTTGGTGTGCAAGATTCACACTATTTAAAAAAAATAATTATCCTTTTTGAACACGCGAAGCGTTTGCACATTGCTGCTACCTGCCGTCATTATTGTGATCTTAGTATCTTCTTTGTTCCTCCTTCCCATTTTAAGGATGAGCAATCTGAGGCCCAGAGGGCTTCAGTAAGTTGTGTAAGGCAGTAACCAGCAGGGGGCAGCCTTCAAGTTCAGAAAGGTTATCTGTCCTCACAGAACAGTATTGCCTCCTTCTCACTACATGCCTTGTCATGTTCAGCCCTGTCTCTCTTTCCCCATGAGAGAATTCTTAAAACATATTTTTATCCTTAAAAGTATTTTAATATCTGGGCCTCTTCTATCCTGATTTCTATATGGTTTGTATTTGTTGTATTTCATTATGTAGTATTGTCTCTAGGCCACTCAGATTGAAGGAATTTCAGATTAGACAGCTCTGGTCGGGCCTCAGCCCTCTCCTGGAGGGTTAAGGACTCCCTTGCCCCTGTACCTGTTCTCATTCTGGAATCTGCATCTATTAAAAGTAAAATATTAAAAATAAACTAACGTATTTAATAGTTTGAGTTTTTTGGTTGGAATATTGATTGGATTATTTTTGTTGTTGAGAATATTGGATCATTCTACTGCACACTTACCAGAAATTCACTTAAATGTGAAAAGGAGAGTGAGTTAGTTAATATACTTTTTAGTTAATATACTTTTTCAACTGGGTAGATTCTAAGATTTGTGGGCTATTGTTTGTTCCCTTCTTACTGTGCTTAATAAGGGACAGGGGTGAGGCGTGGGCCTGCCTAGAGAGAGGATTCAGGACACTTTCCTCATCTCTCCAGGGAGGTGCTTCTCACCCTTGGTTGCTCAAAACCACCAGGAGAGCATTAACCTGGGTCTCTTCCCTGAAGACTCTAATTAAATTGGTCTGAGATGTGGCTTGATTTTGTAAAGTAGTCTTGGTTTAGAAAAGTTCCAAGGGAGCCCCTCCTGATAATCACTCCCAATACCACCTGAAGAAAATGAACCACTGTGTTTGTTTCTTTCCTTCAAGCTTGCTCCATATTCCAGCCAGAGGTCAGAGTGTGCTGCGCTTAGAGCATCAGTGGTTAGGACATGAGGTGGGCCAGCCTCCCAGGGTTTTTATCTCTTTAAGCACCAAGTGACCCAGGAAATAACTTAGTGTGCTAAATGTTCTGGTCATTCTCAGATATAGGCTGATCTATTTTTGCAGAGATATTTCTATAAAAGTTCTAATGAGAATTTCCTCTTGTTCTCATAGTACACTTTCTCAGTGCCCTAAGATTTTTCTGGTTTTGCTTTTTGTACAATAGATTAGTATTTCAGGAAATAGTCTGTTATCTTTGTGTGGAGAAGCACTTTTTAGTCAAAACATTTTGTTGACTCAGAATATGCATTATTTTCCTCTTAGTGGTAAGCATTTGTCTCATTTCATTGTGTAGTTTCCTGTTAAGAAATGTGAATATATGTGAATTCACTTAATTTCTGACGTCACATTGTACCCCATTGGTGGGCAGTTTTAGCCAACCAGACGCTTCCTGGTATCCAAATAAGAAAGATATATAGTTCTGGAATAACAGGAAACTTCAGTATTCAACATCCTGTTTTTCTGGGTTTTATGACTTGCTGCTTCACCACAATGAAGGTTAGTAGACAATTTATGTAGATTTCTTTTTGTAAAATACCATAGTTTTAATTTCCGAGGCTAAAGAATTATAACTTTAGAGCTGAAAGACTGGTACAGATCACCTACTCCAGCATTTTACAAGTAACATGTTCTATGTGTACAGAAATTGAGGCCTACTGAGATTAATACTTTTAATTCTTTAAAAAATATATATTAGCCCATTTAAAAAGAATGACGGTGATATGTCAGCCTAGATAATGCTCTGATTTGACTTGGAATTCCTTTAAAAATAAGTATCAGAATAAATGAATTAAATTGTATATTATAAGATAGTTCTTAAGACTAAGGGCTTCCTCTTTTTATAGGAAGGATCTGGCTTCATGAAATTAGCTTTATTTTGTATTTCAACTATGTGAGATACATCAGTCCTTGTATACAGAATGCTTAGATGTATTCATATCTTTTAAGTCCTGTGGTTCCATTTAGTTTCCTCTTTCAGCTTTTAGAAAAAGTGAGCTGCGTTTTCAGCTCCTCTCTTGACTCAGTGATTTGATGTCTTCCTTTCTTGAAGTTTTTCCAACTTCTGAATTTTTTATTTTGTTGTTTGTTTATGTTCAACAAATTAAAGGCAGAAGATCATTAACTGAAGATGATTTTTGAGAAAGAGCAATAATTACTCAGATTTGGAATGGCTCTTCTTAGTTGTTCATTATGTGAATGGCACTCATTGTGACATTTAGTGCAGCTAAATAAATGGTGGATGGATGGGTGCATTTATTCATTCAGCAAATAACTTGAAGTTTTCCTGTGTGCTGGCCATTTTGCTAGATCTTGGGTGTTGTAAAATCTGCTTTTGTAGACTTTACAGTAAAGGGGGCCTATACACATTAAATGTGATGATGTCTTTGTGATGAATGTGCTGGTGGGGCCTGGTTAGGGGACCTAACTGAGACTGGTGAAGGAAGTGAGGCTGGGGAAGTCCGATGAGTAAGAGTTAGCCAGGAAAGAGGTTGGGGCTGGGCGGCAGGAAAGGGGGGTGGTCCTGCCAGGACCCATGAGGCAGAGGAACTGACCAAATGAGGAGAGAGGAAGTCTGGGTCCTCCTGTGCTGATACTCATTCTTGGATATCTAGTCATGTTTGTTTTTGTCCCACTGAGAGAGTCTTGGAAATATGTTAAGACAATTTACATTTTGGTGGAACTAAATACCACATCTTTTTGTTATTTGCATCTTTGAAATATTTTCATAATTTTTCTGGCAGAGTTGTGGATTATTTGATTATTGAAAATTATTTTTGTGTGGTGTAACTTTCAGATAGTGTATGGGAATGAGCTCTGTTTATTTTAATGTGTCCCAATAAAACCTAATTTTTCCCATTGTCTCTAGGCTGCTCAGATTGAAGGAATTTCAGATTAGACAGCTCTGGTGGGGCCTCAGTCCTCGTTCCTGAGGGTCAAGGACTCCCTTGCTCTCATATCTGTTCTCATTCTGGAATCTGCATCTTTTTATCTCCCCTTCCTTTTCCTCTCATCCATTCTGATGCCTGTGTTTCTCTTTTGCTGCTGTTAGCTTTGGAATTGACTGTGACTAGGAGAGGAAATTGGTAGTATGCCTGCCATGTGGCCTCTGCCTTAATTTAAAAAGAGAAGGATTGGAGTGCTGGCAGAAAAGAGAAGGATTGGAGTGCTTCCCAGGTTAGGTTGGCTCCCTAACCTGGGAAGGGCTTTCACTCAGGGTTATGAAGGAGTCTGGGGAGTTGGTCTCTGGCCCAGGTTTTAGGTATCTGTAAGGGAATTCTGTTGGACCTACCACCCCCAGACTGGAAGCTGAGCTCACTGGTCCTGATTTTTCAAGTTGTGTGTGCTGCATTTTTATGATTTCACCTGGAAATCCTACATGTGGTTCTCTCATTTTGCAAAAACTTGGTTTATCCTGCACTCAATACAAGACTCTATTAATTTTGTTTAATTTTTCCTTTCAGACGTTTGATGCAAATGATTTGTACCAGGGGCAGAATTTTAACAAGGTCCTCAGTTCCTTAGTGACTTTAAATAAAGTAACAGCAGGTAAGATCTTTTTTTTTTTTAATTGAACTTGATGGGGTGTGAAGACAAAAGGGCAAAAGCCCTTTCTTTTTTTTTTAGCAAGACAAATAAGCATTAATAAAATAAAATTAAAAAAACTTCTATTGCATTACATTTTTGGTTGTCATTTTTGCTGGGATTTTTTTTTTTCTTTCTTATTAGAACAGAATCTTCCGTTTTAGGACCTCAGATGGATATCAGGTGTTTTCCTTTCTGTGGGCAGAGTAGTTACTACCTGAAAATAGAGCAGAGGAGAAATGTCTCATTCGTTTGGCGACACTCACAAGCTGTCTTGGAGTTAGAAGCACTTCCTCTGGATTTTTATTAGGCTGATTAAAACTCGTATTTATTAACAGATCTAATGACTGTTTTTGAGGTGTAATCATGACAATTGAGTAGTCAGTGAATTGGCCTCTAAAGTAAATACCTACCTGGTAAGGTTTCCAGAGGGAACTAGGTTCACAGTGTTTGAACCCCAGTCATATCTCATGGAGAGGGTGAGTGGAGGTGGGGACACAGTATACTCCTCTGGCTCTCAGACCAAGTGAAGACTAGGAGAGATTCTGTGCAAATTCCTCATGGCTATATCTGTCCCACGAACTCCGAGAAGTTCTATCTTGTGGATCTAAAAGAAGGATTTAGTGGCTCTTTTGTTTTAAGGTCATTTTTATTTTTTCTTCTTTCAGATTTTAGGTACAGATTTCTGGGAGAAAGTTAGACTTTGATATGTCTCTTTTGATCAGAGACTTCTTAAGTTTATTTTGTCATGGTTTCTTCCCATTTTTGTCCTTGCCCTTCAGATGGAGTATACTCACTTCATTGTGTCCGGGAGGAACTGAGTCAGAACACTTTGGGCTGCCATCCTGGGTTGGAGACCCTCTGCACTCAGGAACTGTCCCTGGCTCCCCTCACAGCACTTGTTTGCTGGGATGGCTGTTTAGGGGCTGCCTGAGCCACAAGAATAACTGAAAGTTTGGGTTTTTCTCTGACATCTTCAGACTTTTCGTTGTTGACAACTAACTCAAATTTTATAAGACACTATGTAAGCCAAGCATGCAAACTTAAAGGATAACACAGGCCAAATAAACAAGGTTTAAATTTATGTGGGCTGCAAAAAAACAAAAGCTTCAATTTTCTTGTGAACTTAGGTTTATTTCAATAGAGACATGATAAATACAAAGGGCTGAAATAAATGAGTAATAGTTAACATAAAATAATAGGATATTTTAATAAAAATTAATATTTTTTCTTGAACATTAACTTGACTTAATAACTGCACAAATTAAGCATAATGCAAATAAACTTATTTTTCTTATTCTCTGAAAGCGAAATATTTTCTGCTGCATACACCAAACAAGTCAGTCCAAGAACAATGACATAGCAATCGCCTGCTAAAATATTTGCCACTAGTGTTAGTGTGCCTGCATGTAAGGCGCCTAAGGGAAATGAATGAATATGATTATAGTAATCAGTTATTAATGAATGTAGAGCTCGTTATTAATAATTATGTATTACAGGATATTGTAAAAGTTAAGAAATTTTTATTAGAACGTTTCTTATATACTGTTATATTGACTGGGCCGCAAAAATACTTGTTGTGGGCCACGAGTTTGACATCTTTGATGTAAGCCAATCCAAACATCTGCCAGAAAAATAGACCTGGAGATCATGTTTAAGGACATTTTTACAGAAGGTTCCCATGTAGCTTTAAGAAATTGCTAGGCATGTGCTTCTCAAAACAGTGATTTCTTAGAAAACTATTCATGGCTTCCTTTTTAAAAAATCAGATTCAAAGAAGTTGTTTGCTAACATTTACTTATTGGTTGGCCTGTGTGGAGTGTCTAATCATGAAGAGAGAGAACTAAGTACTTTACTAGTAATAGCTGTTTACTTTTATTACTGTTAATCCTCGCCCGAGGATATTTTGCATGAATTTTTAGGGAGAGTGAAGAGAGATGGAAAGACAGAGAAATATCTATGTGAGAGAAGCATATCAATTGGTTGCCTCCTTCATGAGCCTTGACCAGTTAGGGCTTGGGCCAGGGAGGAGCCTGCAACCCAGGTATGTGCCCTTGATTGGAATTGAATCTGGGACACTTTGGTCCACAGGCCGAAGCTCTGTCAACGAGCCAAACCGGCTAGGGCCACAGCTGTTTCCTTTGATCCTTTCACCAACTTGGTCAGGTGAATAAAGCTTGGGCTGCCTTCATTTTGAGGAAATAATCTCAGAAGGTTCTCTAGCTGGAAATTAGTAGTGGATTTTCTGTTGGTTTTAAGTAAATCTTTTCCTTTTGTTTTTCAATAATTCCTGCTGCTTCTGTGGATGGTGATCCTGGAGAAGTGGGCATGTGGTACAACGTATTGGGAATGAGTATGGAGTGGTGCTCTGCAAAATAGTTGAATTTGTAAGGGTATTTTTTCCCCTCCAGATGAAGTGAAAGTATTATAAATAGGTTACAGAACATTTCACAAGTCTGAAAATTATGCTAGCGAAGAGCTAATAAATAGTTATCTCCAATTAATTTCTGGAAAGGTGATTTGGCAATGAGGGCAAGTCTGTGGCAGACAGAAGCTGTGCTTTGTGTACTGCATAAATGGCCTGCTTTGTTGTGGTCTGCGGAGTGTCCCTCAGGGGCTGCCCCAGTTTAGAGTCTGGTGTGCACTGAGGGTGCATGGCGTCAGGCATCTCAGCTCACTCTTTTCTCCGTTCACGACCTTTTCAGACATTGGACTGGGAAGTGACTCTGTGTGTGCCCGGCCCTCATCTCATCGGATAAAGTCTTTTGACTCCCTGGGATCCCAGCCTTCCCACAGTCGGACTTCAAAATTATTCCAGGGCCAGTATCGAAGCTTGGTAAGTTTGAGGGAGGTGGTTATTGAATTGGAATTTGTGGGGAAGTGAGTATGTCCGTAGGTGTATCTGGAGCAATGCACGTGCCTTCATTGACAAGAGTTGCAGAGTGAGGGGTGGTTTGACACCCCCCCCCCATTGTTATTTTACTTGGGTTTGGCATTTGCTCATCACCAAATTATCCAGATATAATGCTTAATGACTGCTTTTGAGAAACTTTAGTTATTTTCAGTGTTACATCTTAAGATGCATAATCAGTTTATCTAGAGAGATGTGTGCTTTAAAATACTTCTCTGGTCACTTGCATAGTATTTTCTCATCTGCTATGCACAATGTACAGAACTGTAGGAATAATATATATTTGTAAAATACTTAGTTTCATGAAAAACCAATGGCTGCAAGCTAAAAAGACCTGAGAGTGGTTTTTCTCTTAATAAATGCATGAATTAGAGTGCTTTAATTGAGTCAGGATGCAGTATATGAAGGAGGAACTCCTTTGTTTTCTAAAAATAAATTTTTATTGATTTCAGAGAGGAAGGGAGAGGGAGAGAAAGATAGGAACATCAGTGATGAGAGAGCATCATCGATAGGCTGCCTCCTGCAAGCCCCCCACTGGGGATCAAGCCCACAACCTGGGCATGTGCCCTGAACGGGAATTCAACCCCCGACCTCCTGGTTCATAGGCTGATGCTCAGCCACTGAACCGTGTGGGCCAGGTGGAGGACTCCTTTGTAATGAGAGGTACTGAGATGGGGGGAAAACTTAGACTAACAGTCATCTTGGAAAGTGAAAAAAAATCCATTTATAAATTGTCAGGGTACAGGCTCTTAGCAAAGAATACAGGATTAACGGTGAAATTGTTATTGAGAAACGGGAAAAATTAAATGTAATACTGAATAGAGAAAATGTGTAAAGAGGCCATCACATCAGCTGAGCAAAATGAGGCTGCTCCCTGTTGTCATTGTGAAAAAATGCTGAGCCCTCTTTTGAGCTAATGGATGATTGGCGTTTAGTTTGATTAGTGACCTTGCTTTCATACAACATTTTAGTAAATTTTTTTATGTTAGAAACATAAATGGTCTTGAAACCAGAGTCTGAAGAGAGGCCAATTCTTGTAGAGTTTTTAGGGGACCGTATCTTTCTATTTACTTCAACAGAGAAAGAAATATTGTTGAACTGTTGATAAAAGAAAAAAAAAAAATAGAGCTGTAGTTTATAGAGGGAAAGAAATCTGAGTTTAGTACACGAGGCCATGTTAGAAACTGAAAGCCAAAGAAGGAACATAGTTTTTACATGTTCCTGCACTTCTGAACTCAAGCTAACTCTGATTGCTATTTATCTTTGTTTTTCTTCTTAGAGAAGTCCTGTCATCCTGTTTCTGATTTTGTGTCCAATGCAACATGCTTTTAGTTATTTTTCTGTGCCAGACATTGTTCTAGGTGCTTTACTTGGACTCAAATAACCCTTACAGTGACCCCATGAAGTTAAGAGTGTAATGGTAATCAAAACCAATTTGGCACAGTGGATAGAGCGTTGGTCTGCGGACTGAAATGTCCCTCGCAGGTTCGATTCCGGTCAAGGACATGTATATTGGTTGCGGGCACATCCCTGATGGGGGTGTGTGCAAGAGGCAGCAGGTCGATGTTTCTCTCATCGATGTTTCTAGCTCTCTATCCCTCTCCCTTCCTCTCTGTAAAAAAATCAATAAAATATATTTTTTTAAAAAGAGTTTAATGGTAGAGGAATTTTGTAGTGTTGGAAGCACTATAATGTCAAATTAAGAAAAAAACCCCACACAAACCACTTGAAAAATATTTTAAATTAGCTTTGCTTAAATACATGAACAAAAGGTAAGAGAGATCAGCAAACTCTAGGTGAAGAAATATTTACTGTCTCACACATTTAACCTTGGCAATTTTCATATTTTTTTGTTTTTGAGTAAATAAAAAATAGATTGCAAATTTATAATTTGAAGTAAAATAAAGTTAAATGTAGAGTTGGTAGTGAATGTTACTGAGATCACAGTAAGTATAGGATTAATTTTTCATTAGCTAAAGAAATTTTTTTAAGTTACTGCAGAAGTAAAAGACCTCAGTCATCTCACCTGCTTTTGTGTCTATGACTGGTAGATGCAATTATTTGCTAGTGAAATGAACATGGGGAGATTTCTCTTACCATGCTGGGTCAAAATAATTATTTGTCCTTAGATTTTTTGTGTGTGTTATTAATAGTAATTTTCTTACATAAAAATAATTTCTAATGAAACAAGATTGGTAAAATTTTTATTTAAAGCTGGGTGATGGTAACCTGGAAGTATATCTATAATTTTCTACATTTGTGTTAGAAATTTCCCATAATAAAAAAGTTAAGCTAACAAAAGCAACTTGTAGTTTCTTGAACATTATGTGACCTCATTAAAATAAAGCTTAGCTTTGAAATTGTGTAAGGCACTACCATCCCAAAAGCAAGGATCAGTATCTTCAAGGTGCTGCAGTAATTGCTTACATCTCTATTTAAGAATGTCTCGCCTAATTACCACCTCAGTGCTAGTTGTCTGCATAATGTTGCTTCAGTGTCTATGAACTCATCATCTATTTGTTCTAGAACAGATTTCCTGCCTTGTGATGAAGGCAGATTTGAAAAGTTCTAGTGTTTTGTTATTGAGTTCACAAAATGTTTTTCCAGGGCATGCAAGACAGTAAAATCTATTACACAGGTACTTAAAAAAATATTTTTAGTTCCTCTCTACCATAAACTTAGAAAATATGCTTCTCTAACGTGCCATATTTAATCAATTCTATGACCTTTTTATTAAAAAAAATTTAACGTGTCTGAAAGTAGCATGTGTCTTACAGTTGTTGTCATAATTGATAGTATTTGGTGGAATATAAAAACCACAGAATATTGTCTAATTTCTGGTATTTTATATTTGACTAGGGGCCCAGTGCACGAATTTGTGCACCTTGAAAGGAACTGTGGGCTGCAAGGCTGTAGTAGGCACAGGGCCGCGTCTTGGTCCATCCTCTGTGCCCCTGCCCAGCCCCTCCCACTGTGTCCCCTGTCCCCCTGTCTGCTGGCAGCCCCCCTCCTGCTGGCCCCGCTTGCATCCGCTGATTGCATTGCACGGAGCGATTGGGGCCGATACCAGCAGCAGGTGCAAGCAGTGGCTGCTGCTCTGATTGTCCCTCAGGATCAGGGTGAGATAGAGAAGCCCTTGGGGACGATCAGGACCAGTAGCTGCGCTTGCACCTACTGATGGCGCAGAGTGATTGAGACCGGCACCAGGCACCAGGCACCGGCAGTGGGTGCAAACCAGCAGTGGGTGCAAACCAGCAGTGGGTGTGAGTGGGGCTGGCGCTGGCAGGAGCAAAGAATTTTCAGTAACCAACAGAAGTCCACCCTGATGATAGCAACCGGCGCTCTGCCTTAATCTGGTGCCCCTGCTCACCTCTACCATCCCGCTGCGGCCAATGCCTGCCATATTCCACACATACCCCCTGGTAGTCAGCGCATGTCATAGCGACTGGTTGTTCAATTTTGTTTGGTTGTTCAGGTTGTTCCTCCGTTAGGTCTATTTGCATATTAGCCTTTTATTGTATAGGATGAAATACTATATGAGAAAACTGAAGCTTAGAGAAATTAAGATAAGTATTTACCAAGATCACAGGACTGGTAGATAGTTACAATTGGAGTAGAAATTGGGTCTTTTACTCCTCAACAACCTTTTCTTCTATAAATGAGATTATAGGTACTTTCAGGGAGTGGAGAAGAGGGAGGAGTTTGTGTGAAGGCAGCACACCAGGATATCCTGGTTCTGGATTATTAGGATAAATTACAAAACATTGGATAAAACGAAGTATTTAAGTTCAGATGTGAGATACTGATGGTGGTGCTTTGAATATAGGAATCAGAAATAGGCCATTAAGAATGTATGTGGTGGGTATAGATTACTGTTTCCAGAGGAGGGAGGTACCTTAGGGTGTGCCCTACCTGGTGGTGAAGATCACCTTTTCCCTTTTCATTTTCCTTCCATCATTAACTTATATTGACATGTAAAATACATATACATATACATATACATATACATATACATATACACATATAGATATACATACGTACCTATATATATAAAACTGTGCTTATCCTAAGCAAACTGCTGTATAAATTTGTACAAGTTGAACATTTCCAGTGTGTAAGCACCCAGATCAAGAGACAAATTGGCCTGCCTTTGTTGTGTCTGCTTTTCCTAAGGGCATCTGCTGTTCTGATTTAAAAAAAAATATATTTTAATAACACAAGGTAAATACTCCTAGTGAATTTTAATATATATTAAAGCCTCCTCTCTCTTTTCACTAGGAAGAAAGGGAGTTGACATTTTTTTTGTGTTGACTTTTTTTTCTTTTCTGATTTCTAATAGTAAAGATGAGTTTAACTTGTTTTGTGTTTTACATAAATGGAATTCCACAGCATATACTTATTTTATAACTGGCCTCTTCTGCTCAGCTTGCTATGTTTTAGACTGTTGTGGATGTCATGTTGAGCTCAGATAGATGACAAGGATAGTTTCAGGAGAACTTTTTAAAAAAGGGAAGGAAAAAATTCCAAAGTAATAGGTAGTGATTAAATACATTCTTTCCAGATTTTTGTGACACTAGTGACAGTGACTAGAGCACTCTTGACTCAGCTGTTGTGATGTTAGGCTGAAATTGGTATGTAGAGAGTCCTTGGAGTACAGCTCTTTGTAGTGCACCCTCCTTTCAGCCTATCTTCGGCATCTTCCCCTCTAATCCTCACTCTTTAGAGCAACATTGTAAAAATCTGGATATACTTCTCTGTAGTACCTAGGTGCTGGTTGGATTTATGGAGTCTGAAATTTTAAATGGATTGTACTGCTTGCACTCTGTGCCTTTAAAATATTTTATTGATTTTTTAACAGAGAGGAAGGGAGAGAGATAGAGTTAGAAACATCGATGAGAGAGAGTCATCGATTAGCTGCCTCTTGCACACCCCTACTGGGGATATGCCCGCAACCAAGGTACGTGTCCTTGACTGGAATCAAACCCAGGACCCTTCAGTCCCCAAGCCGATGCTCTATCCATTGAGCCAAACCGGTTTCAGCAATTCTGTGCCTTTTCATCTCCTCTCTCAGACATCTGTGTTTTCTATAATGGAGTGTGTTTCTGAAGCAGAGAAGGTATCAGTGGTGCTTGCTTAACTTGTCCCTTGAGTGTAGAGAATTCATAAGTGTTGGGAGAATGTAATTTATCTCATTTATAAGGTCCTGACAAGATGTCACCACTCCTCAATTTGGGTCAGGCCAAACTTGTGTGCAGAGTGGGCCTCCGTACTGGTTTCTGAGCTGAGGTGGATGGGATGAGTAGTGGGGTTACCCAGGGGCAGTTTGACCTCCTTAGGGGCCTGCTCTGCAGGTTTGTTTGTTGTGTTGTATTCTGTTGTGGGACTTGATCACCAGGATCGGCTGCTGTGCTTTTACCAAAAGCCAGGTTAAGTCACAAATAGGAGAATAATGAAGATTATTAGACAACAACTGATGAGTGAGGACAATAGTTTGCAGAAAGAGAGAATCTGATACAGCATCATAAGCCCGATAATGTTTCACTGATTCAGAACAAGGAAAATTGAACCAAGAAAATGTGCCATTTTTTTAAAAAGAGAGCTTCACATGGACAAGCGAGCTTTATCCCACTTCTCACATTCAAGTGTGCCAGCAAACATTATGCTTGTGTTGACAGTGTTGGCCAGAGCTTTTGTTGCCAAATGTCAAAGGCATATTTGTTCATTAAATATTCTAAGTATTAAATATTAAGTATGCATTAAATGTTCAAATAATATTTAATGTATTATTTGAATTATTAAATATTTTTACATATTTATGTGTAATAGTTAATATGTAATATAACATATACATATTTATAATATAGTATTTATAGTATACTAGAGGCCTGGTGCACAAATTCGTGCATGGGTGGGGTCAGGCTTGCCTGCCCAGGATTGATCAGGAGTGGCCTTGGCTGGGGAGAGGGGCCACGAGTGGTTTCCTGGCCGGCCCCTGCCCGTGGTCAAATTCCCAGTGGAACTCTTGGTCCAGGGGACAATTTGCATATTAACCTTTAATTATATAGGACTAGAGGCCAAGTGCATGAAAATTCGTGCACTTGGCGGGTGGGGGAGTCCCCTCAGCCTGGCCTGTATCCTCTCGCAGTCTGGGAGCCCTCAGGGGATGTCCAACTGATGACTTAGGCCCGCTCCCTCTGTGGGAGGCGACAGGTGGGCCAATCAGAGGAGGCGCCCCCTGATTACCACCCCCTCCCTCTGCCTGCTGGCTTGTGTCTTGGCTGCCTGGTGCTGCCTGCTCGCTGTTCTCGACCCCCACTGACCTGTTGTTCTGCCATTCTGTGATTTGCATATTATGCTTTTATTATAAGGATACTAGTTAAAATTTAAATAAATAAATAATAAATAAATATTTTAGGAATTCTTTCAGCTCCTCTTCTTGAAGATTTGCCTTAACACTGTGTTTATGCTGTATCTTTTGTATCTTTTTGTTTAGTGATACATGTACCTAAACAGGCAATTAATTCTCCAAGATTTGGTATTAGGAAAAAAATCAGTAGAGCCAACAACTTTCCATTTTTCCCCTTGATTCTTTATATATTTGCCTATGTGTCTCTAAATAAAATATCTATATTAAGCTTACTTTTTTTTTTTTAATTGGAAGAGTTATCAATGTGTATTTCCCACAGTGTAAGAGGGGATTGGGGCTCTTCTGTTGCCTCTGAGCTCCTTTCCTGCATAAATTCTTCCCAGTTCTTCTTCCTCATGAGTTGGCGTCTGTTAGGTCAGTGTTTAGTATAACATTGTTAGACTCAGACTCATAATGGAGCCATGATCTGTGCTATGACTGTTCTTCCTTGTATGACAACACTTTCTTTTTTGGACTGAATAATTATTGCCTGTTTGTTCAGTTCTCTGTACCTTTTGCAGGTTGCAATCCTAGTCTTTTGCCTTTTTCTAATAATCTCTTCTTGTAAATTCAGACATGTTAGGATTTTCACCTTCCTCTTCCTAAGGAACTTGAAATCTTCAGGTTCACCGAGTTTCTTGGTTACCAGCCAGGCTGTTTCCAGCTGCCCTGTCTGAGGTTTTTTACATCATCATCCTGCGGACTCCTTGTGACCTGAGTCCTCTCTACTGCTTTCTCCCAGCCATCATTTTTCTCTTGGATAATTCCCCTGTTTTGAAGGAGCACATCTTTCACTCCCTCCTTGAGAAAGGGTGCATGGGAAATAAAGGTTTTGAGATCTCGCATATCCACAGATGTCTTTTTTATCCTGTACTAATATTTTTTTTGTGTGTCTTTAGTTTTCTGAAAGTTTAATTGTGATGTGGTCTATATTTCTTTAGGCTAATCCTATTTGTGGTTCACTCAGCTTCTTGAAACTATATGTGTGATTCTTCTGTCAAATTGGGGACACTTTCAACTGTATTTCTTATACCACTTTTCAGCGCTGTTCTCTTTCCCCTCTAAGACTCTGATGGTACCAGCCTCAGATCTTTGTTATTTCCCACAAGTTCCTGAAGCTCTCCTCTTTTTTCTTTTTTCACTGTCAGTTTGAGTAAATTTTATAAGCTCTGTTTCTTTTCTGTTTTATTCTGTATTGAGAGAATTTGTCATTGTTTTTTGAGGCCTTTTGATGCTGAAAACTTTTTCTGATGATCCCAGCATCTGCTTCATCTTGCTATTGGTATCAGTGTCTTTTCTCATTTAAGCTGTGATTTTCCATGTTCTTGGAATGAGCTGTTTTTTTTTTTTTTTTTTTTTTTTTTTTTTTTTTTTTTTTTTTTTTTAATATTGTTTCCTGGAGACTTTGGAGAGTGTATTAGGTAGGAGATGCTGGATCCTACCTCAATCTTATATCTTAGCAACCTTCGGCCCTGATTGGTTTAGTGAGTGGTTCTGGCCTAGGTTGATAGACTATAGGTTCCAGTGACAGCTTAGTTTGCCTTAGTCCTCTCCTGAGGTTGGATGGAATGTGAGGAGATTCTGGGTCGGGGTGGTCTCCTGGGACTGGGTGGAGTGCAGGGGAGCAGGGGAGGATGCCTTGTTATATATTTATAATGCACAATAGTTAATATGTAATATAATATATAAGTACTTATATTTATATATGTAATAGTTAAAATTTAAATAGATAAATAAGAATTAAATATTATAGGATATTTAATGATGTGGTAGCCTGCTACCACTTGGTTTGGGTGGAGGCTGGGAGTCCCTATCTAATTTTTGCTAATATCACCTACGAAGGTGGAGTGCTGGTGCTCTCTGTGGGGTGTGGGGTGTCCTGTGCAGTCTCTGTGGATTCCCAGGTGCAGGCTGAGTGCCTATACCCACTGTCAGTGCCTGCTGCTCCTTTGCTGCTCCTTGGGCCAGGAGGGCACGATTTTTGTTTTTCTCGTTTGCTCTTATGGTGTGTCTGGATTGCAAGTCCCTCCACTACCCATTCTAGGATATAGATGGAGATAAAAAGAAACTCTAGTCAAGTCTGCCTTTGTCTTCCACACTTGAGAGATTTGTAAAAATGCTTAATCTCTGAGAAAAATGCAAACTAAAGTGAGGTGCCATTTCTTCCCACCAGTTGGCAAGAATAAAAATACTTGATAATCAGTATTGGTTAGATACTGTTGGTTGGAATGTAGCTTGGTATAAATTTGTAAAATGTTTTTGGATGACAGTTTATAAATAGGTACTAAAATTGAGAATGTCATACATGCTCTGTGACCTGAGTTTAACAATATATTTATTTACTGATATGTTCAAAGATAGAAGCGCATATAGTTTTAATGCAGCCTTGTTTTGCAATAAAAAAAATACTCAAAATAACCTTAAATCCAGTAATATAGAATTGATTAACTAAATTATGGCAAGCCATAAAGTTAGTTAAGATTAAAGTAACTATAAGTACTCCTGAAAAAATGACTACAGTGTATTAACTTTTTATAAATTATAAAGAAGTATGCATAATGTAAGTCCATGAAAATGTGTATATGTAGACATAACAGTGACAGGAATAAGACCTTTCAGGCCATTAAGAGTTTCCTCCTGGACTGGAAATGGGGTGGTGGATGGTCAAGGTGCACTGTGGGAGATAGGAAACTTAAATTTCTCAAAGTTAAACCTTCCTATGCTGTTTAGGGGCAATCATACTATATTTACAATAGTAAAATATATAATTATTCCATAATGACTTAGTACTTCATGAAATTTTTCTTCTTTTCTCTCTTTTTTAGGACATGACCGATAATAGCAACAATCAACTGATAGTAAGAGCAAAGTTTAACTTCCAACAGACAAATGAAGATGAGCTTTCCTTTACGAAAGGAGATGTCATCCATGTCACTCGAGTGGAGGAAGGGGGCTGGTGGGAGGGCACACACAACGGTAGGACTGGCTGGTTCCCCAGCAACTACGTCCGAGAGATCAAGCCCAGTGGTAAGTGGAGTGTTGGCAAAATGAACCAGTGCTTTTCCTTAGGTGAGAAGGAACAGAAAGAAATGAATGTGCTCACACATATATACACACACACACATATATACATACATATACACATACACATACACATACACATACATATACATATACATATACTATGTGTTTTTATTCAGTTGAATTTATATAAATTACCTTGGGCTGAGTATTGTAATTCCCTATTTTTGTTCAATGGGAAGTAGTTTTTTACTGTAATCCCACATTGGGGTTATATGACTTCTGACCAACTGGCAATAAATCAGGGTTCCCATGACCCCTCCTTGGGTTTGAAATTTTGTTAGAATGACTTATAGAACTCAGGGAAATGCTAGCTAGTTACGTTTCCTGATCCACTGTATAAAATGGATACAGATGCACAGCCAAATGAAGTGGCACATAGGGTGAGGTCCTGAAGGTTCCTGCACCCAGAACCTTCTGTCCTTGTGGAGTTAAGGAGTGCCACCCTCCAGGCATGTAGATGCATTTACTAACGTGCAAGCTTTCTGAACCTCATACTGTTGGGCTTTTTATGGAGGCTTCATCACACAGGCATCATTGAGCATTAACTCAAACCTCCCGTCCCTGTCCCCTTCCTGGGAATAGAGGTAGGGCAGAAAATTCCAAGCTTCTAATCATGGCTGGATCTTTTTGGTGACCAGCCCCGTCTGGGAACTGACCCAGAGATTCACCTCAGTATAACATAAGATGCTCCTAGTGCTCTTATCACTTAAGGGAATTACATGGGTTTTAGCTTTGTGCCACGAACTTCATTTTGTTTTCTGTTTCACAACTATGTTTTGTTTATCCATTCATCTATTGCCGGACATGTGGGTTTTCACCTATTGGCTATTATGAATAATGTTGCTATGAACACGGGTATCTTTTTGAGTCCTTGCTTTCAGTTCTCTTGGGTATATACTTAGGGGTTGAGTTATGGCTTTTACGGTAATTCTGTGTTAAATTTTGAAGAGCAGCCATGCTATTTCCACAGAAGCTGTCTCATTTTATAGTCCCACCAGCAATATGAAAGGGTTCTAATTTCTCACACTTTCTAGCACTTGTGTGTGGTGGTGGTGGTGGTTTTTTTTTTTTTTTTTTATAATAGCCATCCTAATGGGTGTGAAATAGTATCTCATTCCTGCTTTTTTTTCTATGTTTGTTGATGATGAGTATTTTTTCATCATTATTATAATAAAATTAACAATAGTTAAGATTTTATGGTTGCTTATTATGTTATTATATAAAATGCTAGTTATTATATAAAGTGCTTTTTATTTATGACCTCATTCAATCCTCACCACAACCCCAGAAGACAAGTGTTGCTGGGCTATCCAGGGCATATGGCATAAATAAATAATATTCTTTTAATCTATTCAAGTGTAGAACCAGCTTAGAGTGCAGTAATGGTATCAGGTTGATCGGGATAAAATGTCATTTTGACCTTATAGGCACAGCTGTTGGGAATTGTGACTTAGTCTGTACTTGGTTGGACCTGGTCAGTCCATGGGACAGCTGCAGCACTGGTCCTTGAGCTTGAGGGCTGTGGGGCAGGCTGAGTCTCAGATCTGAAAGCAGCTCCTTGGCTAGTTTCACATTCTGGTGAGTCATGTTTCTCCTGGGGACAAGAGAACAACACTTGGGCCTTTTCCAGGAGGATGCTGGAGTCAAGGAGTGAGAGGGATGATGGTCTTTCCCTTTATAGTGAGGATGAGGTGGTCATAGAGCTGATAATGGGCACCATTTAGGGGTCACAGAGCTGGTAATGGGCACCATCAGGAGGGCACAGAGCTGGTAATGGGCACACCATCAGGAGGGCACAGAGCTGGAAATGGGACACTGCATCAGGAGGCACAGAGCTGGAAATGGGGCACTGCATCAGGAGGAACAAAGCTGGTAAAGGGCATACCCAGGAGGTCACAGAGCTGGTTGGTTATGCTGTTAGGAGGTCACAGATCTGGTAATGGGTACATCATCAGGAGCCGAACCTACTGATTGGGTAGTGTCTGCTAAATCGGCTTTCTTGAATTCTGCTATGAATAACTCTTTTTAATGGGAATTCTGATATGATAGTAAAAAATACAAAGGAATGAACTTTTCAGATATTTCTCCTCATGGAGTTTTCAAAGTTAACCTTAGCAAATTAGGAAAGATAGAGTTTGAGTGGGTCTCAAAGTTCTCTTCAGGTGACTTCTGGAAGTTGTTTTCAAATTTATTTGAATATCATTAATATCTCTTGGTAATACAATTCACCCTTGAGCAGAATAGGGATTAGGGGTGCCAACTTCTGCTCTCAGCTGAAAATCCAAGTGAGGAAGCCTTACTGATAACCTAAGCAGTTGACTGACACAGATTTTATATGTATAAAGTAAGGTAGAGGAAAGAAAATGTTATTAAGAAAATATATATTTACAGTATTTATTGAAGAAAAAAAAACCCACACAAAAGTGGATCCTTGCAGTTCAAACTCCTGTTATTTAAGGGTTAACTGTAGTTGGTTTCACAGATGCAGCCCTAAGAAGAACCAGCCATTACATATTTATAATGTTTATTTATGTCGGGAGTGACTGCAGCACTTTGTTCTGCCTGAAATTCTCATCTTATTTTAACCCTGGGTTTCTGTGTGTGTGTGTGTGTGTGTGTGTGTGTGTGTGTGTGTGTGTAGGGGGCTGTGTGAGGAGGAGGAGGAGGAGGAGGAGGAGGAGGAGGAGGAGGAGAGAGAGAGAGAGAGAGAGAGAGAGAGAGAGACCCTCTTAAACAAGTGTAGGTAACTGCATTTGTTGTTCAAGAGCTCTTGGTGGCTGTCACCTGGACTCCCTAGTTTGCAATATGCAAGTAACTTTGGAAACATTTTCTGTTTATTTTTAAGGTAAAAATAAAGTAATATTGACGACCTATTATGCTAATTATTCTTTATGTCAGAGGTTGCCATTGTGGTCTGTGAGGTCCAAAAGGTTGGCGACCACAGCTTTATGTCACAGTTGAACCAAAGGAATAATTTCTTTTGGGAATAACTTCTTATCCCTAGTGTTTTCAAATTACCTGAGTAAATTCAAAATAAAGTTATCCCCATCTCATTTTAAATGTTGGCATCTGAGAGAGAAATAAGCAAAAGCAAATCACTTTACCATATCACTTTATAACAGTTAAGAATAAAATGGTAGGATCACTTAACATTTCCGTATTGCATCGTTTCAGTAATTTACGTGACTTTTTGATTTTGGAATGGGATTTTTTTAAAGTGTGTATTATGTAAGCATTATAACTTACAGTATATTTAATGCTTCATTTTCTGTAATCAAAGTGTGCCAGGTCTTAACCATACAGATTCCTCTAACTGGTGATGTGGTTATGATCATTTTCTTATGAAACAAAAGCACTGACTTCCTTTAAGTTGTGAGTTTTTGTTTTGATTTAGTTTACAAATATTTTATTGAATAAACAAAACAGAGGCCTACCTTTAAGCGATACTTTTTGGGCTGTGTATGTCCAGGTAAGTTCACAAGCATGTCCCATTTCTCTCTTCCACCTCGGGAAAGTATAAAGAGCGAGCCATGATTGTTTGCCCTCTTGTGGTGAGAGATAGCAGTGTTCTGGTCAAGTTTCATGTATTTGTACCTTTGACCTATTTGTGGTTTCTTTTTGAAATTGTTCCTCTTTTAAATTAAGACAGATATCTCAAAGAGTCTGCATAAAGATGTTTCTAATGCTTGCTGCAAATGCATTGTGTATTCTTCCTGAATCTGTACTTAGCATTTATTTTCTGTACACATTTTTTTATATGTAAAATCCATGGATATCTACTGAATTTTATACACACAAACAGTACAGAATCTTTAAATTCAAAGGAGATGGAAGGAAAGAGAAGCAACAGGGCTGGTTTGACCATTGCTTGTTGCTGTTATTAAGTAAACATGGAGGCTCTCGGTCATTAGTGGGCAGTGTGATGAGGTGTGTGCAGTTGGAAAAAGAATTCCACTGAGGGCTAAAATGGTGGGGAGAACAAATCATGTTCTATACTCTCACAAGTACAGTTTCATGTGTGCATAAACATTACCAGGTTTTTTCCCCCCAATTTTTTCTGATGCATTAATTTCTCCCATTTCTAGGTAGCTCATTATCTGTACAGTAAAGGCTGTCTTTAAAAGAAACAACAACTTACCTTAGGTGCTGGTTAGCTTGAGATGATGAGTAATAACCTATGTTTGGCAGTGATGTGAGAACTTAATTAAATGTGTGACTGTCATTTGCTGATCCACAGATCTTTAATAAGCAGTCACACTGCCACTTCCAAAGTTTGTCATTCTTAATATTTTCTGTTTATTTTTGACATAAAAAAGTGACATAAAGTGCAAGCTGTTGGACACAATTATTAATTTAACTGAAAGAACAGTGTTTGATATAAATATTTTCTGTGCAGGGAAAAAAACAAAGGTAACACAGAACCGTGTGTGTGTGTGTGTGTGTGTGTGTGTGTGTTTGCATTGCTGGAAATAAGTGTTTTCTCTAGCCCTCACCCTTTTTTGGTGTGGGATGGGTGATGGTTGGGTGGGATATCTTTATACTATGGGTTGCAGAAGTATTCCTGCAGAAAGGAGTAACATTTGCTTCCTCAGAGGCACCCAGAGGTTTTCTTGCACCAGGCAAATCCTGGTGGTCCTCACGAGTATGGTGTAGATTTGAGATACACTTTGGCAGGGTCAGGTTCTAAATGATTGTATATCCAATCCCTGAATAGCCAGCACATTTCCTTGCTGTTCTTCTGGACCTGCAGAGAAGAGGCTTGAATAGAAGCTTCTAGTCTTCTTTTCATCAGTCATGCAGGTCACCAAGAGATCCACCCCATTCTACGCTGCTCAGATTGCACCAGGGCTGTCTTATTCCTGCATTGGTTGCACCCTAGCCCCTGGATCCACCTTTCCTCACCCTCCACAGGCCCCTTCCTAACAGTGCCAGTGCTTTTCATTCCCTAGGGCAGTGGTCAGCAAACCGCGGTTCGCTAGCCACATACGACTCTTTGGCCCCTTGAATGTGGCTCTTCCACAAAATACCATGGCCCGGGCGAGTCTATTTTGAAGAAGTGGCATTAGAAGAAGTTTAAATTTAAAAAAAATTTGGCTCTCAAAAGAAATTTCAATTATACTGTTGATATTTGGCTCTGTTGACTAATGAGTTTGCCGACCACTGCCCTAGGGAGTCCCCACTCTCTTTTTCTTTTATCATATCTGTGTTCTGTTGTTTTCAGCATTCTTACAGTTTATTATAAGAAAAGGAAAGCCTGTTTCTTTAGTTGGCCACTGGAAAGGTAGTACTAAATTATGTTCTCACCATTTCCTCACCTCTCAGTAATAGTGGATAGTATCAATTTTTTGCTATCAGACACACCTACCCCATAGAACCAGAGATAGATAAACCTACACATAGAACTAATGTTAGACACACTTCTCCCCATAGAACCAGTGATATGCACGCATGCACGCACATATTCTGAGAGCTACGTTATCAGAAAGCACTTCTTTAGTACCAATTGTGCTTAATTTCTCTTGAATAGATGATGAATAAAAGCCATGCAATTTAAAAATATTTGAATCCTTACAGTATTATGGTAGCTTTCATTATTGTCACTTATGTGGAAGTTCTTAACTCAGTGTGTTTTTTTCTGTCTCTCCTCCCCCCTCCCCCCCCAATTTGGGTGGCCTTTTTTCTTCTTTATCACCTTGAGGCAGACCATATTGTTTAGAGAGTCTTTTGCATTCTGAGTGGTCAGAATCTCTGAAATATAATCTAGAATGTGGGTTTTGATGCTTTAATTTTGTGAAATATCTGCCAACTTAAAGCATCAAAAGCCACATTCTAGATTATATTTCAGAGATTCTGATCACTCAGAATGCAAAAGTCTCTCTAAACAAAATTAGAGAAAATTTTTGTGAAAATTTTCTCTAATTCTGCATGGGTAATATTTTCTCTAATTCTGCATGGGTAATATTTTACCTTTACTCAGCTCTCTGAGGCCAGGTTATTTAGCATGAGGAGATGTAAGCACTGTGGTGCCCCCCGGAGGTGTGCAGGCCTTCTGTTCAGCTTCCCCTTTTCGGTTTATTTCAATTGAGGTTGCTGGACCAGTCATGTTGGACTATGTGGGGGCTGGTGCATTTGGTTGTCTCTAGTTTTGATCAGTAAAACTACATTACATTTTTGTTTCAGAAAAGCCTGTGTCTCCCAAATCTGGAACATTGAAGAGTCCTCCAAAAGGATTTGATACTACTGCCATTAACAAAAGCTATTATAATGTGGTAAGTAATTGCAAAACAGTTTTTAATAATACTTTGTTTTTTTAATGTCTCTAAAACTCAGTATTATAGAATATAGGTGAACTACTGAGAATATGATAAGGATATAAAAATAAAAGTCACTATCCCACACATATAACTATAATTAATGTTTTGGCATATTTCCTTCTAATCCTCTATGCCAGTTTTCGGCAAACTTATTAGTCAACAGAGCCAAATATCAATAGTACAATGATTGAAATTTCTTTTGAGAGCCAAAATTTTAAAATTTAAACTTCTTCTAACACCACTTCTTCAAAATAGACTTGCTCAGGCCGTGGTATTTTGTGGAAGAGCCACATTCAAGGGGCCAAAGAGCCGCATGTGGTTTGCGAGCCATGGTTTGCCGACCACTGCTCTATGCAATTGTACTTTATTCTTGTCACATAACTTGGTATTGTAATTATATCCCCATACCATTACAAGTCTTCAAAAATGAGAATTTAAAAAGACATATAATTACTTAAAATTTTTATGTGTATTGAATGCCATTATATTTATATTTGGAGTAGGCTGTATTTTAGATCAATATAGTTTCTTTATATCTTAACATAATAGTAAAGACAAGTGTTTTAGAATCCTAAAACTATTGCATTTTAAAACTTGTTATGAACACTTAGTAAGCTTAAAGATATCTGTGGTATTAAATCTATCTAATCCAAACCTTCTTTGGCCCTATACAATTGCATATGGTACAGAAAATAGGAAATGATAATCTTTATTTGGATAAAATTTTACATTGCTATTATATAACTACTTGGTATGATAAACCAGTAAAGTAAACTTTTAAATTGTGGTTATGTTTTGAATTCTGTGGGAAGTATGCACTTATTTAGTTGTTTTTTCCCCCCTACTTCCAATCTTGTTTTTTTCTTGACTAGGGGGGATACATAAATTGGAGGCCATGAGACCTTTGAATTTTTGAAGTGAAATAAATAACTGATTAGTCTTTCTTTGCAGCAGCCCATTTACAATGAGTGTATCATTGTTTGTACTGTTATTAAGAAACTAGAGGCCCAGTATATGAAATGTGTGTGGGGGTGGGGTAGCCTAGTCCTCAGCCTGGCCTATGCTCTCTTACAGTCCTGGGCCCCTTGGGGGATAGCTGGCAGTTGGACAACCCTTTCGCAGTCCAGGACCCCTCGGTCCTTACCACCTGCCTGCTCTCTGCTCCTTACCCCTTGGCTCAATGTTCCTTAGCCACTGCTGTTACGCTCGCCAACTGTGAGCCCGGCTTCTGACTGAGTTGAGCTCCCTCTGTGGGAGTGTTCTGACTATCAGGGAGCAGCTCCTGCATTGAGCATTGCCCCCTGGTGGTCAGTGCGCATCATAGGTACTAGTTGTTCTGGTTTTTCTGCTGTAACAATCACTTAGGCTTTTATTATATAGACTAGGGGTCAAGTGCACAAATTTGTGCACCTTGAAAGAAACTGAGGGCCTTGAGGCTGCAGTGGGCACAGGTGTGGGTCTCGGCACATCCTCCATACCTCTACCCGGCCCGTCCCGCTGCAGCCCTGGTCTCCTGTCTGCCGGCAGCCCTGCTTCCTCCAACGCTGTTCCCATGCATTGAGGGAGCTGGCCCCACTTGCATCCACTGATGGCGCGGAGTGATTAGGGCTGGTGCCAGCAGCGGGTGCGAGTGGGGCTGGTGTTGTCAGTGGATGTGAGTGGCAGCTGTATCCCCCATTGCACCTCAGGAGGAGGGAGAGATAAAGAAGCCCCCAGCAGTGATTAGGGCTGGCAGCTGCTGCTCGCATCCACTGAGGGCGCTGAGTGATTGAGACCTACATTGGGCACCAGGAGCAGGTGTGAGCAGTGGCTCTGGCACTGGCTGCAGGTGCAAGTGGGGCCAGTGCTGGCAATAGGTGCGAGTGGTTGCTCTGGTGCCGGCAGCAGTGTGAGCAGTGGTTACTGGCCCTGATCACCCTTCAGGAGCATGGGGAGGTAGAGAAGCCCTGAGGGCCAATCGGTGCCAGCAGCTGCCACTTGCACCTGCTGATGGCACTGAGTGATCAGTGCCGGGCACTGGCAGCAGGTGTGAGTGGTGCCTCCAGTGCTGGCAGCTGGTGTGAGCACTGGGCAGGATTGTGGCACGTGGGAGCAAAGAATTTTTAGTAACCAGCAGAGGCTCGCCTTGATGACAGCAACTGGCGCCTGCCTTAGTCTGGCGCCCCAGCTCACCTGCTTCACCATCCTGCTGCGGCCAATGCCCGCCATGTTCTGTGCTCTGCCACCTGTTGCCATTGCTTGCATTAAATGTTCCTGCAAGTTGATTTTGAGTTTGACATGCATCTTCATCCAATACTTGTAATTATTTGTCTTCAAACTTTTTCGGTTGACCTAGACGTTCTTTGTCTTTCACATCGAAATAATCACTTTTAAAGTGTTTAAACCAGTGTTTACAAGTATCTTGAGATGGTGCATGTTCACCACAAGCTTCCCAAAGTATTTAACAGCACTTCTCTTCAAAATAATGAATTAAAACTTCTCACAAATGCTCTTTTTTTTGGCATGAAATTCGACATTTTTAAATGTAAAAATATCTATGATGTAACATCTTCAGTAAATTTGACATAAGAAGTTTTGAAGCTTGTTGTCAATACAACAAAATAGTATACATATCAAATCGCATATATCCTCCTATCTAATAAAAGGGTAATATGCAAATTAACCATCATTCTTTCACAAATATGGCTGTGCTCATAGCCACAAGATGGCAACGCTCAGTCCTCTCAGCCTTGCCGGCGTCCCCTAATCCTGGGGGGCTGCCACTGAGAGCGGGCAGCATGAGCAGCCTGGCGGAGTGCTTGCTTCGTTGCCACAGCGATGAGGCAAGTGTTCAGTATCTGGCCACAGATAGGCCTCTGGTTACTGGGTGCAGAGCGCTCAGGCCCCGCAGAGAGCTACACGAATTTGTGCACAGGGCTACTAGTATCAACATGTGTAACTCTATTTATTGAAAAAAATCCGCATTATTAACTGGTACGCCTAGTATTGGGTAGACTATTAAGGACCATTTGGAATTTTAGGCATCATTGAGGTCACCATATCATTCTGTTTGCTAACAGGCATTCCATTCACTTGTAAGGATTGCCTTGGAGACCTGTAGTCAAGGACAACAGAATCATATATAATTAAAGAAAATGTTTGTGACATGCCTGAGACTGATGGATTTAAAAAATAATACCCTCATACCAGGGTATTTTTTAAATGTTATTTTTATTTTTTAGAGAGGAAGAAAGCAGGGGGAAGAGAGAGAAACATTAATTGGCTGTCTCCTGACCAGGGATCTAACCTGTAACCTGAGCACGTGCTCTAACTTAGGATCAAACCAGTGACCATTTAGTACAGGGGACAATGCTCAACCAACTGAGCCACATCACACCTGCCAACTGAAATTGATGGATTTTGACAATAAAAGAACATAAGCTGCACCTGCAGGATGGTAAGATACTTTTCCTGATAGAGATGTGAGAGCACTACTGTTGTACAAGCTGATGCCCACCTCTTGAGAGGGAGAGGTTTTGAGTCACCTCTTGTAAGGAATCAGGAGTTTCTTCATTCATTAGAGAACAAGGTCCCTTAAATATGTCGATCTGGGAAGTTACAGGTTCTTATGACCTTACATGTTCAGTAATACATTATGGTTTTATTTTCTAGGCTTTATTGAATGAACACTGTGACCTAAAACTGTTATGACAGTATTCTTTTTGTATGGGAAGAGCAAATAATTTTCTTTACATTCATGCCAAATATCATAAAAAGTCAGGGCAGCTTTTGCATTTGTAAATATTGTATAACAGGTAGCAATCACTAATTTTAATAAATGTACAAAATAGACATGCATTTTTCATAAAATGCTGTGGCAAATTTCCAGGACCTTTTCTGTGCTCCAGAGAAATAGTATCTTTATCTTTTACCCTTTGCTCCTTTAGTTGCCTGAAACCTCTGCATACTGGGCCTGGGAGAACACCAAGCCTCTGACCTAACATCGTTTGTGTACACTGATCAGTCTAACCTCAGCCTTAATTTGCTGCTATTATCTTTTACTTGACCCTTGGCTTCTCTCCATCTTTATCAAAATTGCTTTCAATTCTTTGACATCTGATGTCTTTGCCCTGACTTGTGTATGATAAAGTCTGTTATCTCATGTGCACTGGGTATTATAGAAGGGTACGCAGCTTTGTTTCCTGTGGCTTTCCTAGAGAGCTGTTGCCCTCCTTTCTTATATCCCACCCACATTTCATATCGACAGTGAGAAGCCTGCTGATGTCTTTGACAAAGTTTGCTCCCATTATTTTTATATACTTGCCTTGTTTTATGTACATCAGGATCTACATGAAAGTTTTCAGTTGGTAGCAGTAGTCTGGCACAGAGTAGGAGCTAAGCATTTGCTCAATGAATGAAGAAAAAAACTGAGTTATCCATGGAAAAGGCTGTCATATAAAATAATGACCTCTTGACTAAGAGTTATGTAAGAAGTAACTCCAAATAGGATTCCAGGTTTGGGTTGGAAGGCTGTACTAGTAGTTTATAAGATTCTTTTCTCCCCCAAGTCAAGGAGCGGACACTCTTGTAAAAGATATCCCGTTTTGTAAAAAAAAAGCTGATAGACCCATAGACAAGTACAGTACCAGGTAGGAAGTAGCAGAGCCAGGATTTGTGCCCAGGTTTGCCAGGCTCCCAAGGCCAGCTGTTCACACATGAGAGTGCGGTCATGCACATCAGCTTGCTTGCTAAGGCCAGCTTTCTATGGTGACAGTATGTCATTGTGAACCTGCACTTTTGCTGCAGCTGTTATATGAGTAAACCTTTAGGGTTTGGAAGAAAAACATCCCAAGACCTTGTGAATCCCCAAATTTAGGAATATAACCTAATATAATAATAACCTAACTTCTTTCAGTAGGTACAGTAACAAAACATTTTATGGGCACCTCCAAACTCTTTGAGAGTAAATGTTACTAAGTATTAAGAACACACAGAGATCAAGAAACTGCATTAAATCAGTAATTGCCAGTGGATGTAGGAGTGGGATGCTCCTCTGTGTTCCTCTGGCCTCTGGATTTGTGGCGCCAGGAGGAGCTGTAGGAATTGCTTCTTCTAGCAGAGTCGTCTGCAAACTGCGGCTCGTAAGCCACATACGGCTCTTTGGCCCCTTGAGTTTTTAGCAAAGGCCAACTTAGGAGTACCCTAATTAAGTTAATAACAATGTACCTATCTATATAGTTTAAGTTTAAAAAATTTGGCTCTCAAAAGAAATTTAAATCATTGTACTGTTGATATTTGGCTCTGTTGACTAGTGAGTTTGCCGACCACTGCTCTAGCAACACTGCCCTTCCCCTCCTTCCTCTCCTTTCCTTAGAGGCTGATAGTTTATTTGCTGTTCAGATCCTGTCTTATAAATTTACTGTTTGAATATTTAAGTACCAAATACAGTTTAAATAGACTGGGTTGAAAGAGAACATGCGGTGATTATGTTTCCTTGTGTGGAGAGGGAGTAACTAAGTGGGTAAGAGAGGGGTTAGAACAGTTGTGCCATTCTTTAGTTTTTCCCATTGTGCTTATGAAACAGGTTTATGTTTTTGAAATTCGGCTTTAGTTTATGTTGATAATTAAAAAAAAAAATCAGGATCACATCTTAAAAAATTACCTAATGTTATTTCTCTTTTCTTACATGTAGATCATTCACTCATTTCTAAAGGACTCAATGTCATATAAAATAAAACATCTGATATCTAAAGATTTGCAATGAAAGTTGTAACTCGTTTGTAAATTCAGCGCTCCATTAATGGTGGTAATAATGGGTTTCTGTGTGTCTGCAAGTTACTGAAATCAGGCGTCCTTTGTTTTGCTTTGCTGTAATGGCTGATAGTTCAGGGATTGTCTGTGTGGCGTGCCTGATGTCCTCCTTCTGTGTGGCGCCATTGTTTGGCTGGACGTGGTTCTCCACGCCTTATGCCTCAGGGAGAGCTCATGCTGGCTGAGCTCAGGCTGGGCTGTTCTTCACGGCTGTGGAGGAAAGACTGCTCTTTCTGTGAAACCTGCACGCGTCCGCTGGTATCCTGCCTTCGTGTGGTGGCGCTTTGGCATCCTGTCTGCTAGGTCTCATGGGGTCTTGCAGCAGCCAGAGTGTGCAGAAGTCACGAAAGGGAAGAAAGGTGATGGCTGGAGTATATAGATGTGCTGATGAGCTTAGGGAGGAGGGGCACGTGGCCGCCTGGCAGAGTGGGCAGTCAGCGTCAACATGACGCAGTCAGCTAAGTCTTGGTCCTGCGTTGGTGGAAAAGCTAAGTGTAACTTGGATTGTTTGGATGGCAGTATTGTAGAACTTGTCTTTAGCACTTATTTGAAGATAATGTTTATGACGAGTAACAGAAATGAACCAACTGAACTGTCTTAATAGGTGTAGTTTTTTGGCAGAGGATTGCTTTTGGTACTAAATACTTTTGGAAGTTTTTACAGCTGTCTGCTCTGCTTAATACTACCATTGAGGAAATGCTATTTTATTCTTCTGCTCTTGTTTTCTTCCACAGTTTTCCTTGTATGCCACCTAGGAACTGTTCTGTTTTATAAAATAGAATTTTAGTTTTTTAATATTCAACCCAGTGTTGCTAATAATTCCTGATATTTGTATTTAACCTTTGTTTTAACATTGAAAAAGAACTTTTTGTTGTACATAACTGTGACATTTTTATTTTTAGTTTAGTGACCCATTATATTTGGCTTATTACTTCACATTAACTTTGAAGGATAAGTTCAGGTTTAAGTATAACTCACTGATGATGCAGTGGCTGGTGTCACACTGTGTTCTCAGTCCACTAGTGCCTTGACATTTGTGTCTAATGAGTATTTCTTCGAAGAAAGACATTATAATCATAGGATCAGCACCCAGATTCCCCCACAGAGGAATGAACTCTGGAGTGGCTCCTCCTCCCTCTGGCTCACTCCACCAGTCTTCCATGAATAGACCCATTCAGGGGCGAAACTAGTGTTCAGTGTCACAGTGAAAGAGCCTCTGATTCTCTTCAAATTAAATAGTGTAGTATGTAAGTTATTTAATCAGGTTTGCATTTACTCATGAGTGACTGTAGTCTCTCCTCAGAGTACACAAGGAAACAGTAGTGAACCGAATAATAATCCATTTATTAATTGACTTATTAATGCTGTAATCTTAAGTTTTTAGCATAAAGATTGCTTTTTTTCTTAAATGTTTAAACATATATTTTTATTATAAAAAACCAAGGGGAGAAAACTGAGTGTGTTTCAAAGCTTCATATTTTGTAAATTTTTTTGTGTGTGCTATGATTAATTTAGGATCATTTGTTAGTTTTAGAAAACATAACACATGTTAGTGTATATAATAGATCCTCAGAAAATACATGTAATATGATTTCCTGGTTAAAGAAGATGCTGGAATAAAAAGATAGTTGAGGAAGGGATTTCACTTTCTTTACTCATGTCAGGGCCCATAGGAGCCCTGACTCCTGCCCTTAGTCTGATAGCTGGAGAAGGCAGTGTCCTGTCAAAGAGATCTAGGTTCACATTCTAGCTCTGCTCTTCACTAGCTGTTTGATTTTGGATAAGTTGCTTAATCTCTCTCTACTTTGATTTTTTTCCTCTGTAAAAGGAAAAGGTTTTGTGATATTCTAAACAACTTCAGACTGTAGAGCACCCTGCTTAGTGCTGAGAATATAGATAGTAAGCCTTGGTAATTAGTCTCAGGCCAGCCTGCACATCCCTGCTCCACTTGTAGACCTCGGCGTCTTCTCTTGTCCAAAGAGGAGCCTTTGCTTTTGGTGATTACTATTGAAGAGAGCCTCATGCTTCAGTTAAACTGTTTTGCACTTTATATCTCAGTTTTGGGGAGTTACTAGTAAGTGATTTTTTGCTAAATTTGCTTCACTAATATAGGGTACCAGGAAACATTTTAACTTAAGAATTTGATTTATAATTAATCTGCTATCTTTAAAGTACAGACATACCTCATAGATTATTGTGAGTTCAGTTCCAGACCATCATAATAAAGCAAGTATTACAATAGTAAGTCCTAATGTTTTTACTGGCGGAGGAGGGTCTTGCCTTCAGTTTGTTAGATAAACACACCTGTGACTTGCAATAAAGATATACCTGTGTATAAATAAAGACATACCTGTGTCAAGTGTGCATGGCAGTAAGATAAAGTCAGTGGTATAGCTATGGTAATAGTAATTACGTGGATTTAGTTGTTAATCATAGGGATCTATGATATTAAACACATTAGTATTATATAGAAACAACAGTGTGAATTAAACAATGGTGATGAACTTTCAGAAACTTAGAAATTTTAATGTCAAGTAATATTTATTCATCATTTATTATAGGTGCTACAGAACATTTTGGAAACAGAAAATGAATACTCTAAAGAACTTCAGACTGTGCTTTCAACCTATCTACGGCCGTTGCAGACCAGTGAGAAGTAAGTTAGATGATCAATAGTGTTAATTGTAGAATAGTCATCACCTAAGGCTGTTTCCTTGTATTTTTAGAAAAGAGACGGTGAAGTCCTGGCACAGAATTTAGTGTACAGTTTGCCTTAGACATAGGCAATTTGTTTATTAGGTTAAGACTTTATTAGGACATCAGGATGGGAAAGGAGAGGACTATAAGTAAAACTGTTTATGTATTTTTACTGTTATTTTTCTTGGCTCTAGGTTAAGTTCAGCAAACACTTCATATTTAATGGGAAATTTAGAAGAAATATGTTCTTTCCAGCAAATGCTTGTACAGTCTTTAGAAGAATGCACCAAGTAAGTAAGATGCTAAAATTTACAAAATTCGGATTGGTATAAATGGTATTTAAAGGAACAAGTTTATCATAATTTGAGAATTTGCATTTTCAAAGACAGAAAATAGATTATTTGGAATATTTTAGGTATATTACCTTTTATACTTAAAGCTGCATTTTATCTAAATTTTATAGTAATGATTTCTGAAGGAGGGAATACACTGACTAGTCAGAGAAAGGAGAAGGATTTCGTGTGAGTGATATTTTTTAAGGTGGTAGGGAAAAGTGGGGGATGAATAACCTCTGAAGAGAGGAGGATGGCTTGTGAAAGAGTGTGGAAGGCACCAATGGCTTAGTTCCTTACATCCCGCCATGTGCTGCCTGGGGAGGCATGTGTGCACACACCCTTTGAAGGCCAAGTCTTCCCAGTGTCTTCTTTCAGCATGTGTTGTTCCTGGCCATCAGGAAGCTAAGAAATTGTAAAGTGTACATACATAATGTGAAGTTTGGAGGTATTAAAGGCTTGGTTTTGTCACTTTTCCAAGATTTTATGTTTTCGGGGGTAGGGGACAGGTGTGTCCGGATGATCAGACAGATTTTTTCTGACTATTTTATGTTCTTTGTTAACATGAGGCATTACAGGATATTAATGCTTGCTGGGTGTTGGATGACTTAAAGTCATAATGCACATGAAAAGTTTTGAGATTTTAATCCACAGGTGATATTTATGCTTATTTGTGGGCTGAGAAAGGAAAGTAACACATTTTATTTTTGCATCATCTTTATTTTTGTAGCCACTGGAAGAACCAGAAAACTTTTTCTCTTGGTTGGTATCTGCTTTTCCTTCCAGCTTTTTGTATGTGTCTTTCTCATTCTTGGAAGTGACCTGCCCTGGGTGCCAGGAGCTCTTTAAATGGGTAACAGTTTGTCATGCAGAAAGTAGGTTTGCTCTCTCAACTTTGGCTTCAAGGTTTCATAGAGGAACTTCATATTGGAAGGTGTGGTGAGGAAAGCTGAATGTCAGTGTAACCAGATCCTGGCTCTCAAACAGAAATTGACATTTTTTTCTTGTAATTGTTTGCAGCATTTTTGGTTTACATAAAATTACATTACTTACATGATCATAACTAGGGTAATGTTCCTTTTGGTAAATGAAGGTCATTTGGCAGCAGTGTGGGTTTTTTGTAAGAGGTCAGCCCTATTGTGTACAAAATGGAAGTAAGTGTTTGCTTCTCCTCCCACTGGCATGGGTAAAGTAGACTAAATTAATATTTATGCAGTACATTGGCAATACCTCTTGCAAGCCTCATGTAAACCTTGTGAAATAGAACAGATATACTGTCCTCACAGTATAGATTTAAAAACAGAAGTTCACCGTGGCAAAGGAAGGTTAATGGTGAATAGCACCAGATGTTAGATCGTGGTCCTTGAGTTTTGACTAAGAAAGAATTTGACTGAGCAAGAACTCAAATGGGTTATATAGAAAGTCACAGAGGAGGAAGAAGTGAGCCACTGGGCTGCATGGACTCATGGAACAAGATACAGAGGCAAAAAAATAAAATAAATAAAAATGGAGCTTAAGAGAAAGAAAGCAAAGGCTGTGCTTTGAGGGAACAAACGGGAGTGGGGAAGGATGAGCCTGCTCAGAGAGGGACAGCTTGTACTGGGTCCTTTGTCTTAAGGGGCGTTAGCGGTTTTCCAAAGACAGGAATTTAAAAGGGGAGGTCTTGAGAGGATCTCAGAATATTCATCAGCTTTCCAGGAATGTTCTTCCAGGGTCATGAGCTCTACTGATGGGTTGGCCCTAGGGATCATTAGTTCTTGCAGCTGGTCCTGATGTCAGCCATGGTGTTTGTTGCTTCCTCTGATTTTGCTGCTTTCCTGAGCCTGAAGCTGAAACAGCCGAGGCCTAGATGTTATCTTTAGTTGGACGAAAACTGCCTCTGTGGTCAGCAGACCGGAGACTTTGTTCCTAAGATTATTTGATGCAGTCAGAACCTCATCCTGGGGCTTAATGCTTAAGGGAGTGGTCATGCAAGGGCTTATATGGGAGTCGAATGAGGCTGTTCTCTGGCCCTCTTGTTCCTCTTCCAAGGGGGTCTACCACATTGATAGCAGCATGCTAGTGGAGAAAGGGTGGTGGCGAGTATAGTGAATTCTTGTGAAATTAAGTTGAATGAAGTCATAAAACTCTAGGGCCAGGCTCAGTGGGGCCAAAGAAAGAAAACCTTGTATAATGAAGTAATTGTTCATGTGTAAGCCATACTAACTTAATTTTAGTTGATGAAATATAAGAAATGAAAATCCATTGGCCTAGATTTTAGGTACGTTCTCCTTTGAATGTATCAACGGCTGTGTTGTTGCATCAGGTTGAAAGTGAAATCATAACAATATATGGCACAGCACTGAGCATTATTATGCAGTCTTAACAATTTAATCATTTTCATGTGCACATCTCCAACAATGTTCTTCCCTTGTTCATAAAACGTTGTCATTCGTTCATTGCAGTTACCTTTAACCCCCTCAGCTCAGCAGTTGGGGTTCCCTGCCAGAGCTCTCCACTCTGGAAGCCAGACTTTACTATTTCACTTTGCTCCTGAGTATGAACAGCACCTGCTCAAAAGCCAGTGTGTAGTAGTTTGAAAATAGGTGTGTCTTCAGTGTCTGGATCCTGGTAGAAAGCAGATGGTCCGATGTATCTTCTGGTGCAGCATCCTTGCTGTGTGTGTGACTGGTCTTTGGGTGATTTGGAAAGGATGCTTGCTGGCCTTGGCGCCTCCTCCTGGAGGGTGTGTGCTTTCTTCCTCTGTGGGCTGGCAGCAGTTGGTGAGGCATCATCTGCTGTCTTATATTTCTTTTATTTTTGTATTTGTTTATTTTACCCAAAAAAGTTGCAGTCACTTTTAAGGTAGAGAAGATTTCTTATTCTTTTTAACTGTCCCCAGTGTTTGAATTAATAATCGAAGTTTATTTGTTAGGTCAGTGATTATATTTTATAGATAGAACTGTGGCTAATTCCTTTAGGCCACAGTGTTTCCCAAACTTCTCTCATGATGAGAATCACCTGGTGGAGTTGTTAAAATATAGATTCCTGAATCCCAACTAAGAAGTGCTAAACTAGAATTTTTGGGAACATATAGGTAAAATTGTATACTTAAGCACTAGTTAAGTATATAATTTTACCTATATGTTTCTGCAGGCTGAAACTCTCTCTACTGAGCCAAACCGGCTAGGGCTTTAAACACACACACACACACACACACACACACACACACACACAAAACAAAAACAAAAAAAACCACAAAAAACAAAAACAAAAAACTACAAAGGCATAAGAAGTAATACAATCATCACCTCCCAGTTTAAGAACTAAAACATTACAAAAATAGTTCCCAGTGAAACCCTAACCCTAACATCCCTCTTTCTTTGAGAAGCCATTCCTATCTGGAATTGTGTCCTCATTTCCATAGACTTCTTTTACTAACTGTGTGTATATTTTGAAACACTATTTAGGTTTTGTTTTCTACATTTCGAAGTTTTATATGAATGTTGTTAGAAAACAAAATTCAACTGAGAACATTTAAAGATCTCATCAGCTTTATTAAGAGGCTCATAGAAAGGGCTACAACGTACTCAGCAACTAGAAGGGCTTTCCTACACTAGGTACTTACTAGTGGAGCCTCTAGCCATGCTGCCTGGTCTCAGGGTCTTCCTTGATTATCATCCTGCTGCCTTTCACCTCCTCTGTGTTGGACGCTGGTGTCTTCCTCTCTTGTTGCTGCAGTCTCTCATTTGCTAGGACTGTCCCAAGGAAAGAGTGCAGAGAGACAATTAGTCCATGCTCATACTAATTACGATACATGGAGGTAGAATTGTTGAAAGTTATTTCCATCCACTGTTTAAGGTTCAGTGTTATTGAGAAGTCCTGGGCCATTCTAATTCCTGATTCTTTTGTTTGAAACTTATGTTTCTCCCTCAAAGCCTTTAGTGTCTTTGTTTCTAGAATCCTGAACTTTGATGCTGATGCATATATTGGGTTTGGGTCCTGTTGGCAAACCCTGTTTGGGTTCTTTCATCGGCGGAATTTTATAATTCTCCTGTTTCATGCAAAATGTGAGGCTTCTTGAGATCTACTAGTATTTTCCTCACTGCCCAAAGAAGCCTGGACCTGGGGGTTTGTAGCTCTGCTGTGCACAGGTCCTGATATCTTGATGCTGGAGGAAAGGTTGGGTTTAGTTCACTGTTTTGTAGCAGAGCAGCTTTCAAGGTAGGTATTCTCCCTACTATATGCCTGCTTTGAACAGAAATGTTCTTGGATTTGGATAGTTTGCTTCCATGGAGGTGATTCACAAGGAGGTCTTCCTTGCTCAAAATAATCTGTTTGTTACTTAGCAATTTTCCTTCTGTCTGTAAAATTTAGGATTATTTCCTTTGTGTTGCATGTCTCCAGGTTGCCTGAAGCTCAGCAGAGAGTTGGAGGCTGCTTTTTAAATCTGATGCCACAAATGAAAACCTTGTACCTTTCATATTGTGCCAATCACCCATCTGCAGTGAATGTTCTCACGGAGCACAGGTGTGTTCACTTAGACTTCTTACATGAAGGGAAAAGTTTTCTTGGGGTACCCTTTAAAACAATATTAATATTCACTTGATTATTCAACAATAAAAATGTTAATTACCCCTTGAAATTTGTGTCTGAAAAGTACTGGTAAGAAATACTTTATTAGAATTTTTATAATGGGAAGGTTATTTTTAAAAGTTTCCTCTTCAGTCTAGAGCCCTTTGGACAATGATTTGAAGTTGCTGGTAAGTATTCTGGAATGTAGCTGCAAGCTAGATCAGGGTACCATATCAGTTTTCTCTAAGGCCATAAAACTGAAAGTGCATAAGACAATTAGATTTTCTGGTTGTTTTTTTTTTTTAAAAAAAAGTATCTTATTTAAAATCAGGGCTGGGTTTTATAGGTATATTGAACCTTAAATTGGAGACAACCAGCAACCTGAAACAAAATTAAACATGTGAAACAGAATGTACAGATTTTCTGCTAGATTGTTAAGACAAGGCCAGTCTATTTCCTGAGAATTGTAAGAAGACTGAGGAATGTTGCAGTCGTTAACAGATGTTAGCACAAGAGGCATAGATTTTTATTAAGCGTTTTAGAAAAATATTTATGGTGTCCGTTTTAAACCCTTCTAAGCTGGTGGTCCCAGGTCACCTCACATCTGTAAAAATGTCTATTTCATGGTGCTATTATAAGCATTAAGCAAAAAACATGTATAAACTGATCAGAAGTGAGTGAACATGATAAATGCCTGAAATGAAGCAGCAGTCTTTGACATGTTGATGAAGAGAGACTAGGATATATAGTGTCCAACAGAAACAACCCAAAGGAACCCAACCCCTACCCAATCAACACCTCACCCTCCCTCACCTTTCCAGGAGCGTGGGCTATGTTAGCACACACCTTTCTGAGACCATGAAACACGCATTCAGTTATGCTCTTGCTGTCTACTCCTGGGAATTAAAAATTAAATGAAATTTCTACAGAAATGAAATGCAAGGATTAAATTTGTGTTTCTGAAAAAAAAATTTTAATTTATATATTTTATTGACTTTTTACAGAGAGGAAAGGAGAGAGAGAGAGCTAGAAACGTCGATGAGAAACATCGACCAGCTGCCTCTTGCACACCCCCAACCGGGGATGTGCCTGCAACCAATGTACATACCCTTGACCGGAATCGAGCCTGGGACCCTTCAGTCTGCAGACCGACGCTCTACCACTGAGCCAAACCGGTTTCGGCTGTTTCTGAAAAATTTTAAAGGAATTATTGATGCAGTGATGGGGGAGTTAAATAGAAAGCAAATAGAATGTTAGGGCAAAATTATGATCTTTTATATCTTTGCTCTCCAAACTCTTTTTGTGGGGGAGTGCTCTAAGATTGGGTCAGAAGTTTGGTGGGAGTGAATAATTATAGGGAAAAAGTCTCACTAAATATTTTCCCGTTAAAGTGAAGATTTGCCCTAAGGAAGACATGTAAAGCAAATTTCAGACTGTTAAAGTTTCCTAAAATAACACTTTCAAGGAAATGCTTGCTGTTTATCCACTCTTCTGTACTATTACTTTAATGACCGTGTCATAGCTGAAATGTAAGTGTAGCACTTCCCCAAAATAACAGGGAAAGAATAGATACGTTTCTGAGTGGGGAAACTGTGCCTCCTCCATGCGGCTTGTCCCAGAGTTGGGAGGTGGGTGGAGTCGTGCTCTGTAGTGAGCCTCCGGAGAGGATGCAGCAGGATGCACTGCCTGTGTGCCCTCCTGAGGTCCCTGAGCAGCCAGAGTCCCCACTCTGTTCACAGGTCAGACTGCACTTCTGAAGCGTAAGTCCATGAATGGAGATGACGATCGCAGTTTGCTAATAGCTTCTGTTAGCGTTCACCACTTTTCATTCTGGAATCTTAACTTGTAACCTCTTTCCTATGTTTATGCCTGAGTATGTTTTTAAGGATTGATTTTAAGTGTAGTGTTTTGAGATTTTCAAGTCTTATTGGGTTAGTTTAAATTATGAGTGTGAATTTGTGAATACATTTACAGAACCACCAATTCTAGAATTATAGCTGATATATACCTTTTGCATTATCATACGATAGTAGACATCATGTATTCATGGTTGCCTATTTTGAATGAATTATGGGTTTCATAATTGAGTCTATAAAATGAGTTTTATTTTCCCCCAGCATTTTAATTGTTACTTTTTGCTTGACTACATGATAGCTCTCCTTATTTGTGTTCCTTTTGTTGCCTTCTTGCAGCCTACAGTGTCATTTCAGTAAATATAGAGGAGATTCACTGTATAAGGATTGCCCACATCAGTAGAAAGAGCCATTGTTTTGTTAAAATAGCTGTAATCAACTTTTATTTTATTACCGTATTTTTCGGACCATAAGACGCACTTTTTCCCCCCCAGAAGTGGGGGGAAAAAGTCTCTGCGTCTTATGGTCCAAATATAGCCTACACATATACTTACTTTAAAAAAAAAAGTTTTTTTACTTGCCCGGCTCTGTGTGGTCTCTGTGTGCTTGTCCGGCTCTAAAATGGTTCTAAATGCTGCTGTTTACTTTACAGGGTTGATTACATGTGTTTATGACTGTGATGTTGGGTTTTAATGCACATAAAATATTTTAGGACATTATTTGTTTCAGAATCTTTTTTTCTTCATTTCCCTTCTCTAAAAACTGGTGCGTCTTATGGTCCGGAGCGTCTTATGGTCCGAAAAATACGGTATACTAAATTAAAAAAAAATGTACCAGTGATTTATCAAGTTCTGTTTCTTAACTGCACATGTTCTGGCATTACAAAAAATGTATATTAAAAGATGTTACTTTTGCTTGCAAAAGTTCACTTACATTTTAAGTTGTAGGGTTGTTTTTTTGTTTTTGTGGGGGTGTGGGGTGATAAGGATAACATGCTTAATTTTATTCATATTTCTCTGCTATAACTAGTTATAAAATAAAAAATATAATTCTAAAATATCAAAAGTGACAGACTTTTCTGTGATTTTCCTCTAGTAGAAAGGCCATGCATGGACTGTATTTAAAGAAGGGGAAATATACTTCTAGTATCATAAAGTTTTAGTTTTATGCTTGGTCAATTGTTCAATTCTTAGAGAAATGGGTATAAAATATAAATTGCTCTTTCTAAACTCCATCATTTTACTCTACTCATGCTGTAGGGGTTGACAGAGTGAGTGATTTGAAGAGGAGCATTTCTGAGTAAGGATTTATGAGGAATGTGGGGAGGGCACATGAGTGTGGTGTGGTTAGAGGGGCCAGACCAGACACAGTGTGAAGCTCTTGGGTTCAGCAGTCCTGCTGGCAGTGAGGACAGGCAGTATTCTTCACTGGGAGTCCTCATCTGTAAACATGCATAATAATACTTGTGGCACAGGCCCAGAGATGCTTACGGGAATCATGCACAGAAGCATTTGCTCTGATGCCCAGCACAGAGTGCTAGTCCCATAGTGTCACTCCCTTCTGTCTGTCCTTTTTCCTCACTGTTCTGTCTGCAGCTCTCACTTCTGCCTGAGCTCAGCAGAGGGCTGGGGGAAGTGGGAGGAAGGCAGCAGGTTGAAGTCAGTCTTGGGGCACTCTTCACTTACCCACCTATCTGTTGTGGGAAAAGGCAAAATGATAAAACTGTGCAAACAAGTACTTCAGGATATTGCTCATAGCTTTTAAATCACTATGATCTTTGGGATGAACACTAGACTAATCACAACAAGGTTCTGAAATATCACTATTCCTGGATTCAGTAATCCTAGCTCTGTGGTTTTCCTGAGGAAAATCGTTCTTAGAAAGCACAGTTGTATGCACAGAGATACGGAATTGTGTGTTGGTTATAAAAGCTGGCACACACACAACCCTAGAAGTAGTTTGACAGCTCCTATGGTAACATTTTAAGTTGCATCAACATGATGTCTGTCATAATGGAAGAAAATTATCATGAAACCTTATTTCTTACAGAAATGAAAAATGTTTATTATATGTGTTAAGTTTTTATAGCTAGGATTATATTTTCACTTTTTTATAGAGTGCTTTGGTTTAATATATCCTAAATGTGTATATTTATTTAAATGTGTATAATTATTTTAAAAGTTCATATTAAAAACATGTATGTATAGATCAGATCGGTAGGTAGATAGCTGGCACTATTAACATTATTACTGTATTTTTTATGCAATCCAGGAATACACTCTTGATTTTATTGATTTACTAAACACTAGAGGCCCGGTGCATGAAATTTGTGTACCAGTGCGTGTCCCTCAGCTGAGCCTGCACCCTCTTTAATCTGGGATTCCTCGAGGGATGTCCAACTGCCTGTTTAGGTCCGATCCTTCTGGGATCAGGCCTAAATGAGCAGTTGGACATCCCTCTCACAATCCAGGACTGCTGGCTCCCAACTGCTTGCCTGCCTTCCTTCCTGATTGCCCCTGACTGCTTCTGCCTGTCAGCCTGATCACCCTCTAACCCAGTGGTCGTCAAGTCACGGCTCGTGAGCCACATGCAACTGTTTGGTCCCTTGAGTGTTCTAATGCTACTTCTTCAAAATAGACTTGCCCAGGCCAAAAACCAACTTCTGCACATGGGCCACGAAGTTTCAGTTCGCTCTACGTGTGCTCCTGCACGTGTTAATTTGTGGAAGAGCCACACTCAAGGGGCCAAAGAGCCACGTGTGGCTCACGAGCCATGATTTGCCAACCACTGCCCTAACCACTGATGGATGCCTAACTGCTCCACTGCAGGCTTGGTCACCCCTAATTGCCCTACCTTGCTGGCCTGGTCCCTCCCAACTGTCCTCCCCTGTTGGCCTGATCATCCCTAACAGCCCTTCCCTACAGGCCTGGTCCCCCCCTCCCCCCAACTACTCTCCCCTGCAGGCCTGTGTGTCCCCCCACCTCCAGCTGCCCTCCCTTGCAGGCCTGGTCTCTCCCAACTGTCCTCCCCTGCTGGCCTGATCACCCACAACTGCCCTCCCTTGCAGACCTGGTCCCTCCCAACTCTCCTCCCCTGCTGGCCTGATCGCCCATAACTGCCCTCCTTTGCAGGCCTGGTCCTTTCCAACTGCACTCCCCTGCTGGCCATCTTGTGTCCACATGAGGGCAGCCATCTTGTGTGTTGGAGTGATGGTCAATTTGCATATTATTAGGTAGGATTTTTATTGATTTTAGGGAGGAAGGGAGAGGGAGAGGGAAGTAGAAACATCAATGATGAGGGAGAATCATTGATTGTCTGCCTCCTTCACACCCCACACTGGGGATTGAGCCTGCAACCCCAGGATGTGTCCTGACTGGGAATGGAACCATAACCTCCTGGTTCATAGGTCAATGCTCAACCACTGAGCCACACCGACCGGGCTGCACTTTGATTTTAAATGCAATGTACCTTGCTTGCTTAACTGGGTCTTCCGAGTTTTCACAAACCTGAATTTAGATAGAAGTAGTCTTGTAAAGAGGTCTTACGTGCTTAAGCAAAGTAAGGCTAATTTCCTAGTGATTAATTAATTTGTCTTCAAGTTGATATTTGAAACCTTATATTTCTAAATTGGTTTAGTTGAGTAAGATGATTTCTCCTGTAGGTGCATCACTGCGGTCAGTTGAGGATGGGATAAGAGGTGGGGAGTACCAACTCTTGCTCTCACACCTCCTCACAATGAAGTCCTTTTAGGTTGAACCATAGGAAAGTATTATATTCACCACTTTTGAGCTGGCATTTTCAAATGACTTATCCTAAATTTTGTAAGGAGCCTTTGGAGTGGATACTGGTCCTAAGAAGTTTAGGCAGAGGACCAATTATACCTGGGTAGGGAGGGATGGAGGAAATGAGGCAGCAGCTGGGTCCCTGTGGTCAGATTCAGGTAACCTACATTGAGGACAAATGTGTTCAGTTATTCTTTTTTTAAAAAAATATATTTTATTGATTTTTTTACAGAGAGGAATAGAGAGTTAGAAACATCGATGAGAGAGAAGAGAGAGAGTCATTGATCAGCTGCCTCTTGCACACCCCCTACTGGGGATGTGCCCGCAACCAAGGTACATGCCTTTGACCAGTATCCAACCCGGGACCTTTCAGTCCGCAGGCTGACACTCTATCCACTGAGCCAAACCAGTTTCGACTGGTCAGTTATTCTTCAGCATTTTTATTTTATGGCTTCATTTATAATGCTCTTCCTAATAGGTGACATGGAAACTCAGAGTTCGTTCGCTCCCTTCTCTTCCCAGTGGGTGACCTGATCTGGTGCCTTCTTTTCTCCCAGCCTGTCTATCTCTCAGTTTCCCATGTCTGGAATGACATGTGCAGTAACGGTGAGGAACACAGATCCGGGTCCTCACATGGATCCTACACATCATTTGTCCTGCATTGGAGAGACAGAAATGCAGAGTTTCTGCCACTGATACGAGTCATAAATGTGTGAGTGACAGAGGTTGACTCCCTCTGCATTCCTCGCCATTCTGGGTCTCTAAACCCAGGGCTGCTGAGTTGGATGTCTGATTCAGTGTGTGTATGATTCTACAGGGCTCGGGGGCATTGTTGGTTGAAAAAGATACACGAATAATAAATAGTGAAGTTAATGGTGAAAGAGTACCGTAGTAAAATATTACAAACTTCTTTTTAAGCTTTTTAGATTCCTGAAGATATAGTCGTTTCCTTAACACTAAATGGGGACAACTTTCTTTGCATAATGTACAGATTAGATGAAATATTATGTGGAAATACTTTGAAAATTTAAAAACTTAAATAAATATTAATTATCTTATTGTGCATTCTGAAGGAAACACTTGTTGCTCTCACAAATGCTTTAAGTTGCAGTCGATGTTCAGGTCATGTTTGGCGGATTGATAAGCAACTGGAGTGTTAACATTCTGATTCAGGTTATTATAGTTTTAAAGCATTTTTCCCCTCTTACACTTTTTACCATCTTGAAGTTCCCATATAATTGGAATCTATTTTAGCTCGAAGACTGCACGCTTACATTTGACCCTTCTGTATGAAATTGGCTTGCTGAAATGACCTTTCTTGAGTAGAATTGCATAGATGACTACATGTATTCTATATTATGCACAATTGTTTTGATTCATAATGAGAGATGTAACATGAACCTTTTGAGGTTTCCTTTGGTGTTTTGAAATAACCAGCACATGTTTGGTTACAAAAGCTATAGTTTTAACAATATTAATGGTATACTGTTATATTTTTGCTAGAGGGTATAAGGGAGTGTCACCACAGTTAATTCTTAACAGCAGTGTCTTATTCTTTCATTGCTGGCGGCGTGTTGGCTAGTGAGGAGTTGGGAGAGTTCATGGAGATGAAAGGTGCCAACAGTCCGGGGATTCTCGTGTTGACCACTGGCCTCAGCAAACCATTCATGCGCCTGGATAAGTACCCCACTCTGCTCAAGGAGCTCGAGAGACACATGGAGGTACTGCTTATCACATGTTTGTCACTGGAATCCATTAGCCACTGTAAAAGAAATTATTAATGATTTATTTTGGAATCAACGAAGAGTTTACCAAATTTTTTTCAATTCAGTGTAATTTCCAAATTATTTTGTTAAGTATTAAATTTTTTCTCCTTTCCCCAGCTCCTTTATCTCCTTTTTCACCCACTGCTGCTGACAGAAAAAGTTTCGAAAGGTAGAAAATGCTAATAGCATTGAAGAGCCCTAGCAGGAACATAAACTACAATCATTAAATTATAAGTTGAGTAATATAATGTAAAAGCATCATTTAATTAAAGATACTATTTATCTTATTTCTGAAAAACAGGCTGTGAGCCTTGCAGAAGTTTGGGTTTGGTGAACTATTGGCTAGGGTTTGGTGTCAAGGGCAGGCCATCGGTCTTCTCCACAACTGCTTGCTGCTGCCAAAGCAGCAGATTCCAAGTGTTAGGAGTAGGTGTGGCTTGTGCTGTCTGCATTGACCGCAGCAGATGTTGCTCTCCTGACTCCAGCTCCAGCTCTTGGCTTCTCTCTTCCAAATGATTGTTTCCCTTAAGGCCACTGGCTCCATGATTCCCTTAAAGCACATGTGTCAAACACAAGGCCCGTGGGCCAAATCCGTCCCACCAGGCCTTGCAATGTGGCCCGCACCGCGCTGTCATCACTGCACTCCGCTGCATTTCGATCACAATGACAGTTTATGACTGTTCAGTAAACCATTTGGCCCGTGATTTAGGCTGGATTTTAGATTTTGGCCCCTTCTCTGATTGAGTTCGACACCCCTACCTTAAAGAATAAGAGGTGGCACTTTAATGCTGGGAAAAATAGGACATATTACAGGTTGAGAAGTATTGGAAGATTCAGTAGAGTCTATAGAGAATGTCTTTTTAAGAAAAAGCTTTTCATTATGAAAGCTAATGGTGTGTTTCTTTTACTCACAGGATTATCATCCGGATAGACAAGATATTCAAAAATCTATGACTGCCTTCAAAAACCTTTCAGTAAGTGATTAAGCATATTATGGAGTGTTTTTTCTTACATAGCATTATGGCAAATGAATGTAGAAAAATGTTTATCAGCTAAAAAAATTAGATGATAAAAAAAATTATCTGGAGAGAATCCAAGATGGCTGCTCGGGTAGGCACCTGGTCGCTGCCGCACGCAACAATTTCAATAAAATACAACTAAAATATAAAATGGACATTGCCCAGAACTACAGGAAAGTCGACTGACTGGAAATTCTACAACGAGAAGCAAGGAGAAAACCAGAAGGAAGCGCAGAGGAGCTGTAAAAGCCCAAGGTACGGAAACACGCAGTGCGCATGGAGAGGACGGAGCCGAAGAGGAGGGAGGCCGAGTGCCTGGCTGGCGGTCCCAAGCGGAAAGGAGATAAACACTCCGACTGTGCTGGGCCCCCAACTGCTCTGAACCCCCGTTCTAGGCCAGACCCCGGGGACCCAGACTCATCCAGAGAGAACTGGGCTGTGGGGCGGAACCTGGGGAAGCAGCGAAAGAAGGTCCAGGAGGCGCGCACACTGCGCGCAGAGAAGGGACGGTCGGCTGTGCCGTAGGACTGCCCTGGCGGGAAGGAGACAGGGGCTCCAGACTGCTCTGAACGCCATCTCCAACTCCACTTCCAACTGAACTGAACCCCAGTTTCGGGCCCATTGCGGGAGAGCCTACACTGTTTGGTAGCAGGCGAAAATCGAGGGCACCTTTCTCTCAGAGGCGCTTGCAACAAGTACTGAAGGACCCTGAGTCTCAGGAGTCGCATAGGGCGGGGCTGACAGAAGCCAAGGCTGTAGGCTCCACCCTGAAACTCAGCCCCATCAGAAAAGCTGCCTGCGAAAATGCCTAAACCAAATAGATCACAAACGAAAGAAATGGAAGACAAAAAGCGACTGGATATAGAGTTCAAAACCACACTTATAAGGTTTTTCAAGAGTTTCCTAGAAAAGGCCGATAAAATAAATGAGACCTATGAGGATATGAAAAGGGATCAACAAGAAATAAAGAATACATTGTCTGAAATAAAAAATATTATACAAAGTCCTAAAAACAATAGAAAATCGCAAGAATCAAGTCAAAGATTTGGAACATAAAGAGCCAGAAGACACTCCTCTGCAGAAGCTAGAAGGCAAGAGAATCCAGAAAATTGAAGATAATGTATGAAACCTCTGGGACAACTTCAAACGATCCAACATCAGAATCATGGGGGTCCCAGAAGATGAGAGAGAGCAAGATATCGAAAACATACTGAAAGAAATAGTGACAGAAAACTTCACCCACCTGGGGAAAGAATTGGACTTACAAGTCCAAGAAGCACACAGAACTCCAAATAAGAGGAATCCAAAGAGGACCACACCAAGACAAATCATAATTAAGATTCCAAGAGCAAAGGACAAAGAATATTAAAAGCAGCAAGAGCTAAGCAGGAGGTTATCTATAAAGGAGCACCTATACGATTGTCAGCTGATTTCTCAACAGAAACCATGCAGGCCAGATAGGAATGGCAAGAAATATTCAAGGTGATGAATAGCAAGAACCTACAGCCAAAAATACTCTATCCAGCAAAGCTATCACTCAGAATCGAAGGTCAGATAAAGAGCTTCACTAATAAAAAAAAGCTAAAGGAGTTCATCACCACCAAACCAGAATTATATGAATTGCTGAAGGGGGTTCTTTCAGAAGAGAAAGTAAATAAAGATAAAAATTATGAACAACAAATATGTAACTATCAAGTGAATCTAAAAACCATGGAAATTAAAAAAAAATCTGATGAACTATATTAACTGTTGAACATAATAGAATCAGAGGTATGGAAGGGGAGTGAACTGACGATTCTTGGGGAAAAGGGGAGAGGGGAATGTGGGAAGAGACTGAACATAAACTGCACCTATGGATGAGGACAATGGCGGGTAGGGAAAGGGCAGATGGTGGGGTGGGAAGGGGGGGAAAGGAACACTTGTAATAATATGAACAATCAAAATTTATTTAAAAAAAAATGTACTAAGCACTGTGCTAGGAGCTGGGAGGGGAGTCAGCATAAAGAAGGCAATGAAATAAACTATGTAATAGTGGTAAAAAAAAAAAAAAAAAAAAATTATCTGTGTTGCCAAAACCGGTTTGGCTCAGTGGAGAGAGCGCCAGCCTGAGGACTGAAGGGTCCCAGGTTCAATGCCAGTCAAGGGCATGTATAATACTTTGGTTGCAGGCACATCCCCAGTAGGGGGTATGCAAGAGGTAGCTCATCGATGATTCTCTCTCCTCGATGTTTCTAACTCTCTATCCCTCTCTCTTCTCTCTGTAAAAAAATCAATAAAATGTATTTTAAAAAAGTTACATGTGAAGTATAATTAAGGTTTACTCTGGTAAAATAAAAATGAACACACATAGTAGTTATTCCATGGCTGATAAATTGGAGACTAGAACAATGAAATAATTGTTTAAACGTTTTAAAGGCTCCACATAATTGATGCATTAGCTACCTGAAATTGACTTACACGTTTTAGCCTCCATCCAGTCATTGTCTTTAGTGATAGAGTAGGAAATGAAATACTGGTTGTTCTATTTTGTTTTTTGTCTACTGTCTTACTGACTGTGTTTCTGAGATACACACCTTTTTTATAGCATAAATGATACTTATTTTTCCCCCTCTTAGTCTTCTATGTTGGCAAATATTAATAAAATCAGAAAATGTTTTTCTTGTCCAGTCTTCATTTTTGCTTCTATAAGTGCCAAAACATGCTATATTTTTCTAAAACAGTGTTTCTTATTTCAAAGGTTTGCCTTTCTGGACTTGATTCCATGCTTGTGAATTAAACACATTGTTCAGTAGATTACCTGTCTTAAGAAGAAGTAAGATACAAAGCAGTATGGCCAAAACTTACAATTCTGGAAGTTTGTGTCTTTTAATAGTGTTTTACTGTGTCTTCTAGGCCCAGTGTCAAGATGTACGGAAAAGGAAAGAGCTGGAGTTGCAGATCCTGAACGAAGCCATCCGGAGCTGGGAGGGAGATGACATTAAGACCCTGGGCAATGTCATTTACATGTCCCAGGTCATGATTCAGTGTGCCGGAAGTGAGGTACTGTCATGCAAGTGTGCAGAGAGTGGATGGGAACAGGTGGAAGAAACACATGCCACGGAAGGGACACACCAGCCCTGTGCTGTTGGACTTGGTTCTTATTCTAGTTTCTTGGTTGTTTTCCCTGAAATCATTAAAATGCCTCAGATAAAAATTAAGAGTTGAACATAATTTGCATTAAAAGCTATTTATGTTTTATAAATGCTTTTTAAGTTTTCTTGGTGACAGTCAAGATTATACTTTAGAATGTTATGTTTTGATGATTGTGTAATACAGTATTTTAAACGACTACCAAATGATGACAACATTTTAATAGGACTCCTAGCTTGTAAAAATAAAAAGTCTGTCTACTTTTTGTCTTTGCCAAATATAAAATTGGTTTCCAGTATGTTAGCAGGGCTTAGCTGGCTATGGACTACTTGACCAGTTAAGATGCAGCCAAGAGCAGTTATGATCAAAGTCTGTATCAATGTCAACTAAGACATGGTGTCCAGAGAGGATTTTCGATGCCTCGTTAGTAGTCCAGTTTGGCAAATGTCTGCCATAGAGAAATATGTGCTTTTGGCCATGGACTTCTTACCAACACTGCCATTCCAGGAAATGTACTGCTTTCTATGGTTAGATCATTATACTTTTCTGTTATCTAATACTACCGTATTTTTCGGACCATAAGACGAACTTTTTCCCCCCCAGAAGTGGGGGGAAAAAGTCCCTGCGTCTTATGGTCCAAATATAGCCTACAAATATACTTTAAAAAAAAAAGTTTTTTTACTTGCCCAGCTCTGTGTGGTCTCTGTGTGCTTGCCCGGCTCTAAAATGGTTCTAAATGCTGCTGTTTACTTTACAGGGTTGATTACTTGTGTTTATGACTGTGATGTTGGGTTTTAATGCACATAAAATATTTTAGGACACTATTTGTTTCAGAATCTTTTTTTCTTCATTTCCCTTCTCTAAAAACTGGTGCGTCTTATGGTCCGAAAAATACGGTAAATTGGCATTTGCTTATGGGAATCACAGTTATCTTACAGGTTTGGTTTAAGTGAGAGATGATACCAGATCCTTGTGCTATCCCCACACAGTGAAAATGGAGCAGTTTGTGTTTCAGTATTCACAAGTTACATGTTCATTGGATCACCAAGCTAGTATCTCTTTATGAATTCTATTCTACCTTTGTAAAAAATTACCCTCATGATCAAAATATGCTAACTACCCGTTTCTAACGTGGAATTCTTAGGACAGTAAGAAAAGTGGAACTTGTACTCACAAGGCACATTCCTTCCTGCCTATGAAATTCGAAAATGATATCAGCTCACTAGGTGTTAATTTGGGTATCATAAGAAATCATGACTTTATAATAGACTACAATGATTAAAAAACAAACAAAAAAAACCCCTCAATTCTTAATTCTTGTTTTTTAGTTACGCACTTTTAAATTTTACTTTAAAAATCTATAGAAACATTTCTCAGTGTTTTCTTTATAATATTAGAACTAGAAAACATTCACTCAAAAAAAAAAAAGATTTAAAGTTATATTGATGACTGAAAAGATAATAATATCCCTCTTTCCCTCCTTTTATTCCACTTTCTGTAAAAACCAATGGAAAAAAAATCCTCCCGTGAGGATTAACAAAAAAAGGAAATAGAAAAAGGAGGGGAATATAATTAAGTACTTTTCAAAAACTTTTTTAGAATATAGAATGTCTTTTTCAAGGCACTTTACATGTGGCTGGTGTTCTGAAGTCTACTTGGTGACACTGCTTCCTCCTAGCTTTTCGCTTTTGTGGGCAGTGGTTAGAAGGCAACTTGTGACAAAGGCTGTCTGCACATTTCTTGTGTGTCTCCTTTTAGGTCCTGGGAATTTTGGTCCTTTAGTTGTGGTCTCTGGGGCTTTTACTTACCTTATGGAAGTGAATGATTTTTAACACATAAATAATGCTTTTAAGCCTTTCATGTACACTAGAATAAGTTTATGTGATGAATGCAAACAACATTAAATTGATATATCAGGAGTTCTAGGCAAGTGCCAGCAATTATTAATAGATGAAAATTGATTTTAACGTTTTATTTTACCCACTTTTTAGTATGAGGGATCCACCTATTTCCCCCCCCCCCCCCCAACTAAAGTTTTACAAGTTCTTTTGTTGGTTTTTTCCTCAATCACAAAAATAAAACTTTAGACTAATTAAAAAGAGTTAATGGCAGAGCTAGATCCCTTAATCAAATTTTAAAAAAAGATGTTACATGGGCTTCTTGTGAGTCTAATAATGATTCTAATTTTGTTTCCATTTAATTTACCTAATTTGGTAGAAATATCTAAATGGAAAATACAATATAATGTTTCAGAAGATTTAATTTAAATATTTGTTCTCACTTCTGTAAATATATTTTTGAATTTGTTTATTCTTTTATATTAGGAAAAGAATGAAAGATATCTTCTACTCTTCCCAAATATTTTGCTAATGTTGTCTGCCAGTCCCAGGATGAGTGGTTTTATCTATCAGGTAAAACACTTTTTAAATTTATTTTTTTACTGTGTATCTGAGAATCATTTTCAGGCATATTTTGAATATTTTCCTTAAATTTTTCCTTAAATAGTAGCTGTTCCTATTTATGTGTTGTGTGTAGTGTTATGTGTATAGTGTTACACATTCAAATATCTGCATACATCTCCTGTCTGTGTAAAACATCCTGGTATTAATCCTAAGCAAAAAAAAAAAAAAGGAAACAAATGAAACCTACAGAACTATCTCTAAGGACACAGATCCTGAGGTACAAGATAAGTTGATAAAGCAAATCTATATGGACAAACCCAGAAAAACAATACCTCTTGATTTGTAAGTCTGTTTCTGAGCAGATGTTGAGATATAGCAGCTACTTGGGTTCCCTCAAACTGGCAGCTCCTGCTTTGTTAGGCAAACCTGATAAACATAAAGCAGAGTCCTTTCTTGTCAGCTCTCTCTGGCTTCATGTTTCATACATGAGACTGAGGTGGGGCCCTCCTCTGACCTGAGGAAGCAGAAGTTTCCCTTTGGGTCAGGCCAGGCCCCTATGGATGACCAGGCTGGTGAGTTGGCTCTGGATGTTGGCATTGATGTGTCACGGAGACCTCACGCCACATGTAGTACCTGTTTTCCCACTCTGCACAGTTTCCTGGGAGGTGTCCCTCTCTGAGAGCTGTGACCTATGTATTGTGAATATTTATTTCTGGCTTTGAGAGTCATTAAAAAGCATTAAATCTAGCAGTAACTGGAACATTCTGTTTCTTGCTGTTGATTTACTAGGTTAAAAGCAGTCTCACAGCTTTATTTCTGTAGGATTTCTCAAAGCTACTAATACACTTATGTGCATTATGAATCTTGGAAAGGAGTATGCAGTATGCAGCATTTTTCAAATTCATCTGACCCTAGGAGGACCAAGTGCTGGTTAATGTCACCTACCAAACGTCAGGACAGGCTTTCTCCGTGGACTGGATCGTTCTAGTTGTATGAGCTGTAGGAGGATGTTTGGCAGCACTTCTGCCTGCTTCCCTATAGGTATCAGGAGCACCCACATCTCTGTGACTTCGCGGGTGTCCTCTGCAGGACAGCCCTTCCTTCCCCCAAACCTTGCTGAATACTACTTTCGGAGGTGCTGAGAGAGTCCTTCACAGGACTTGACCCCAGACACTGGTAGATTTTTTCTAAAAACTTGGTTGATCACCAGGTACCATAGTATATCCATGGAGACGATTGGTCTACACCAGCCCATGTACTTAACTCCATGTGCTATGACCAGTTAGGCTACCCAGGCAAGAAAGGTGGTCATTGACCATACAGCCACAACACAGTCATTGGATCAATAAAACATGGTAACTTTTTGTGTATTAATCCTGTAAACCAAAAGTGAAAATAAGTGGTGTGGGCTGTTTGAACCCATGATGTCTTAAGGATGGACCGTTTTTTTGTTTTTGTATTTGTTTTTTTGTCAGGACCAAGTTTCAAGCACCTTTTGGTTGAACCAGATGTCTCGGTGACGTTTTGGATGGGACCAAATGTCCTGCCTGGCTATTTGCAGTCCTTTTCTGGTGTCTCTCCAGTAGCATTTTCTGTTCCCAAGTCCTCCTTTTTCTTTTTCTTTCTTTTTTTTAAACATATTTTATTGATTTTTTACAAAGAGGAAGAGATAGGGATAGAGAGTTAGAAACATCGATGGGAGAGAAACATCGATCAGCTGCCTCTTGCACACCCCCTTCTGGGGATGTGCCCACAACCAAGGTACATACATGCCCTTGACCGGAATCGAACCTGGGACCTTTCAGTCTACAGGCTGATGCTCTGTCCACTGAGCCAAACTGGTTTTGGCTCCAAGTCCTTCATTTTCAAAATGGTCAGGTTGGCTGCTGTTTTCTGCATTTTGTGCAGTGCTCCGTACAGCTGTTTGCTTCCTGTCTGGTGGACAATCAAGTTTAACTTGTACAATTCCTCCCCAATTTCCCCCTATTTTGCCTTCAAACATGAAATTTTCTCTACATTTCTTTATGAGGCAAATCTGTGCTTCCTTTCCATAAACATGTCATTTAACATAGTTACCATAGACTCTAATGTGTTTTTTTAATCATAATATGTAGTGTTTTTGTGTCCTCATATTTATGTTTAGAGTAACTCATCAGTTGGAATTTATTTGTGTTCTATTTTGCTCGTCTGTACCTTTATGTTGGGGCTCAGTTTGTTGATTATAGTATTATGATTACTTATTTGAGATAGAGTTAGAGTCTTTTTTATGTTATACATATGCTTCTGGTACAAACAAAGACAGCTTTTGTGGTTTACAAATGCAGTTACTCTGCCATTTCTAAAATTATTTAGTATTTAATAACGGTACCTTCTTTACTAGAAAAGCACTAATTGTGTCTTTTTTTGTCGGGGGGGCTCTTTTTTAGGGAAAGCTACCAACGACAGGAATGACAATCACAAAGATTGAGGACAGTGAAAATCATAGAAATGCATTTGAAATATCAGGTGATAGGCAAAAACTTTGTGGATGCTATTTGTCATGGTGATGAGAGGCAGCTTACCATCTGTGTGCAGATTCTTGCTTGATTATTTCAGAGGGCTGTGTTTAACGCTGTTGAATTAAACTCTGGGTGTGTGTATGTGTATGTGTGTGCTTTCTACCAATTTTGCAATTTCAGCCCGTTTTTCTCATTTCTTCTAGGGAGCATGATTGAGCGGATATTAGTGTCATGCAACAACCAGCAGGATCTCCATGAATGGGTGGACCATCTACAGAAGCAAACGAAAGTCACATCTGTCAGCAATCCCCCCATTAAGCCTCATTCTGTGCCGTCTCATACTGTAAGGACCCCATACTTCTGCCTCCAAACTCAAAGGGTCAGCTTTTAGTTGAGTTGTTAGCAAGTGGTCAAGTAATTTAAAGCATTATCAATATCTGGATCAAGAATGCATAGTACTTGCCTTCTACTTCTCTGCAAACATTTGCTTATTTCCACTGAGTAGTGAATGGCTTCACAGTGATCACACTTGTGAAACAGCCCTAGGTTGTGCTTTGTCACATACAGTCAGTGGCACGGGCAGGAGTCTGCTGCCGTGCTCAGAGGAGCCTCAGAGAGTAAGGTACTGGGGTTTTCAACTGAAACTTGAAGACTGTGATTTTTCTGAGAACTTTAACTGTATTTATTTTATTTCATCAAAAAATAAATATTTATGATGATGAAAAGGACCAGATTCATGTTGAAGGCATTAAAATGTAATTTTTGACTCATTATTTTGATTTTAAGAAATCCTCTTCTACTTAGAAAAGCTCAACAGCTCAGCTTGTTGGTTTTTTAGATATGTGTAAACCTTTCAAAATAGATCAGTACCGAAGTGTCATTTATTTATTTATCTATTTATTTATCTATTTTTTAAAATATATTTTATTGATTTTTTTTTTTTTTTTTTTTACAAACAGGAAGGGAGAGAGGGAGAGAGAGTTAGAAACATCTATCAGCTGCCCCCTGCACACCCCCCACTGGGGATGTGCCCACAACCAAGGTACATGCCGTTGACTGTAATCAAACCTGGGACCCTTGAGTCTTCAGGCCGACACTCTATCCATTGAGCCAAAGTGTCACTTTTAAAAACTTTATTGCTGTGTTTTTCCCCCCCACTTAAGATATTGCATCATTTGTCATCACACCTTTTTACAAATGACTTATGATTACATAACATTTCCAGTTGTAGGTTTCTCTCATATCCTTAGATTGTTATGATCTTTGTCAGGACGTTTCCTCCCATGTTGTTCACTTCTGCATTCATTAACCTTGGCATTAAAGGTTTAGCTCAGGAAGGGTGGCTGTAACATAGCATTCTGGTCATGGTATTAACATCTTACTCGAAATCTCTCAACAGTTTGGAGGCTAAAACTGCTCATTTGCTTTAGCTGATATGTCATTTTGAATGACTCTGCCATTTATAACTTCTCCAAACTTTAAAAAATACTAAAATGCTTAGGTTTCATGGTACTAAATTTATTCCAAAGGCATGTATGTATGTGTGTGTTTAAGTCCCCACTCTATGCATGGTGCTGTTCCTCACATACAGGCTTTTGAAATTTGTCTTCTTAGGGAGCTTATTTTTGGGGAATTGTGTGTTCTCCCTGTGTTCTGTCCATATCTAGCTTGAATAATATTCTAATTTTAACACAAAGCATGCCTCTTGACTTTTTGAGGAAGGAGAAGCACCACCAAATATTACTTACTACATTATTTCTAGAAGGGATGTTTTTTGCATAATTTTATTATTTAGTGAATTATTGTTTGAAGAAAATGTATAGTAGTTGTGTAACAAATGACAAGCACTGATGCACACACCAGGACAGGCCTGTGGTTTCTGCAGAAAGTTTGTTTTTCTGTTCTTAAATATGGTGACATCAGCTAGAGCCAGGGTTTTCTTATTTTAAACATGTATTTCAAATATTGTTCAGCTTTTTTTTTTTTTTTTTTTTTTTTAAAGAAATTTAAAAAAATATATATTTTCTAGCCAAAACTGGTTTGGCTCAGTGGATAGAGCATTGTCCTGCAGACTGTAGGTCCCGGGTTTGATTCAGGTCAAGGGCATGTACCTTGGTTGTGGGCATATCTCCAGTGAGGGGTGTGCAGGAGACAGCTGATCCGATGTTTCTCTCTCACCTGTGTTTCTAACTCTATCCCTCTCTCTTCCTGTCTGTAAAAAATCAATAAAATATATTTTTTAAAAATATATATTTTTTCTATTGATTTTGGAGAGGAAGGGAGAGAGGGAGAACAACATCAGTGATGAGAGAGAATCATTGATCAGCTGCCTCTTATATGCCCCCCCACTGGAGATCGAGCCCTCAATGCAGGCATGTGCCCTTGGCCAGAATCGAACCTGAGATTCTTTAGTCCGCTGGCCTTTGCTGTATCCACTGAGCCAAACCAGCTAGGGCTAAAAAAAATATTTTTATTGATTTCAGAGAGGAAGGGAGCAGAGGATGTGGGGGGAGGGTGGAGAGAAAAAAAAACATCAGTGATGAGAAAGCATCATTGATTGGCTGTCTCCTGTATACACCTATTGGGGATCAAGCCTGTAACGGGGCATGTGCCCTGATCTGGAATCCAACTGTGACCTCTTGCTTGGTTCCTGGGTCGATGCTAACCACTGACTCACACAGGCTAGGCTTGTTGAACTTTCTAATAATGGCTTCACTCAGGTTTCCAGATCACAGAACCACTCAGCTCTTGCTCCTGTTAAGCATATCTATTGCTTTGGGTTAATTTGAGGTCATGGGCTAATTTTGAATTAATTTATTTAACATTTTCTCATTTAATTGTCCTGTGATGGGTGTTCCAGTAATATAAACCCCAGTGATCATGTCTTCTGAGAAATTGATTAAAGTTAATAAAATAATTTGTTTTACTCCAATGAGTGTCAACTTTTCCCTATAAAAAAACCAGGAAGTAAATATTTTTAGCATTACAGGCAATATGATCTCTGTAACACAATAACAGCTATCAACAGAGGTGGGCCTGGCTGTGCCACTCTTGCGTTAAACAAAACCTGGGGTCAGGTCCTAGTTTCGCCCACTCCTAAATCACAGGCACTGAATAACAGCTGACTGGGGAGGATTACCCTCTCCATAATCTTGCTCCTAGTGAGGTACACCCTGTTCTTTTATAAAATTCTGATATATATAGCCTTAACCAGTTTGGCTCAGTGGATTGAGCGTTGGCCTGCAGACTCAAGGATCCCGGCCAACTCAAGGTTCGAACTCAAGGTTCGATTCCGGTCAAGGGCATGTACCTTGGTTGCGGGCACATCCCCAGTAGGGGATGTGCAGGAAGCAGTTGATCGATGTTTCTCTCTCATCGATGTTTCTAGCTCTCTCTCCCTCTCCCTTCCTCTCTGTGTAAAAAAAAAAAAAAAAAAAAATCAAAATATTAATAATAATAAAAATAAAAAAAATAATAAAATTTTGATATATATATATATATATATTAAATGAAATACTTTTTTGCAAATGTTAATCCATGGCAAATAAAGGTGGTGATGGAGTGTTGTCTGGGTCTTAGGTCCCCAACATCCTGCTGCCTCCTAACCCAGGTTTGGCCACAGCCTGAAGCAGAATCTTTGGGGCATCGCAGAGTCTAACTGCTTGGAGAAATGATAATCAGGGTGGGGGAGGAGGTTATTTCATTGGGTGCATTTTTAAAAATTAGCGGAACTAAGTGTATTTAATTGAGGTTTCTTTGATGGTGAATGTTCTTTTTTTGCTTTTTCTTGTTCTTTTTTCCTTGGGTAGCTCCCCACCCATTCAATCACCCCATCCAGCAAGCATGCAGACAGCAAGTCGGTGCCACTGACGCCTGCCTACCATACACTGCCCCACCCCTCCCACCATGGCACCCCACACACGACCATCAACTGGGGGCCCCTGGAGCCTCCGAAGACCTCGAAGCCATGGAGTCTGAGCTGTCTGCGACCTGCACCTCCCCTCCGGCCCTCAGCTGCTCTCTGCTACAAGGAGGTGAGGTCTGAGTGAAAATGAGCATGACCTGACATTTGGACGTGTCAGGTTGGTTGTGCTGTGCTTCATTCCAGTAAATTCAGAAATAATGGAAAATCACGAATTTCTGCCTCTGAAGGGTCTGCCTTTCCTTTTTTTGTCATTTCCTTCTGTTTAGTGGCCGGGGAGGCTGTGGAGACCCCAATGGGGGTGGGTGGGTTAGTGCAACATTGGCCCTCTCTGTGCCCTGCATTGCCTTTTCTGTGCTCACCATGGTCCTACCTTGAGGAATCAGAAGCTTCCATGGGCTTCCTCTGGGCCTCTAGCTGAGTCTGAAATGACTTTCGTGATGGGGCTCAATGTTTCTGCGTGCTCTTCTGTTGTGCCTTTCTCAGGATCCTTTTCCAAGTTTGAGATCTTGCCCAGGAACCCTACATTTACAAATAAAAAATGAAAGTTAAGACAGCTTTTCTCTTTGTGTAAGAGGTCATCATGCACGTTGCTTTTTTCCTTTTTAATCCAGTATTTTGTACAGTTAAAATATGATTCCCAGCCATAAATGTTAACAGTTTCCTGCACTTTCATGTTAGGTTTTTATTCAATAAACCTGCTTTGATGAGGAAAAGAAAGGTCTTGAGAATTGCATTCCAAGAAGGGTTAGCACTCGAGGAAGCTAGATAATTGAAATGATGAGAGTTGGTTATCATGAGTGTGAGCAGCGTGAATGAGTATGGTTATCATGAGCATGAGCTTGGGTGTGAGTTGGCAGTATGGTCATCGTGAATGTGGATATGGTTACTGTGAGTGTGAGTGTCGTTACTCTGAGGGAGAGTATGTGATTATGAGTGTCCGTGTGGTTGTAACGAGCATGAGTGTAGGTGAGGATGGTGAGTAGGGGCGTGAGTGTGGTTATTGTATTAGCCTGAGTATGAGTACGGATAGAGTGTGAGGATGCGTGTATTATGTGAGCATGTGACTATGGTTATTCTGAGTGAGTGTGTTATCACTGTTGTGATTATCATTAGTGTGAGTGTGAATGTGAGTGTGAGCGTGGTGAAACACTATTGCCTTATATGAGTCTCCACATCCAATCAGAGATCGAATTTGCCAAAGATCTGGAGCAGACCCTCCCTAATCCTCTCTAGAAGTTCTAAAAATTTTAAGACACCTAGAAAAGTGCTACATAAATTATTACAATTTCTTTACATTTTTTGTTCTTAATGAAATCTGAATTTTTTGATAAATGTCTTGTTGATGGGGGTTATATGCCCAAGTCATAAATGTCTTCATCATGGGCAGTTCCTTAAAGAATGTTGATGATCTTTATTTATTACCTAGTTTAGTGATTACAGGTAGTGCAGGTAAGCACTGGTGGAGATTTCATTATTGAGGAGGAAAATTGGGATAAAAGTGTTAAGCAAAGGAACAGAAAGGCAAGGGGAGAGGTGTGGCAGTGAACCTGAGCAGCTGGTATGGGTAAGTCTGGCAACAGTTGCTTTGCTGGACCCTATGTTGTAAGAGAGGTTTCACACCCTTAGGTATTGTACAGTATTACTGAGCACTTCACACACTCAGTGAAAAGAAATCTTACTCAGTATGGCAAAAAGTGGAGCAGCCAGCCTCGCCTGCGTTGAGTTGGGTGCACGATGTGTGTGGATTTGTGCCCTCTGCACATGTGGTGGGTGCCTTGTCTGGTGCGCTGCCAGGAGTCTCATGTCTGCTTTGAGTATGGAAGCCACCGAACACATGCCATGTTTATTTCTCTGTGAGCTCATTTCTGCTGTGTTTTTAAGAGTTTTTAAATGTATATTTTTACGGAAAATATTTTGAAGAAATACCTTTAAACATCAAGCTTTGTTCCCTCTGTGCTTTTATCTGACTCATCCCATAGCACATGTCACCTTCAGAGTCTTGGTTTCTCATTGTAAGATTCACAAATGGTTTATATAACTTAAATGATACTGATAATTTAATACATACTTGACAATTAAGCCCACTCCATTGGACTTCTTCCTGCTCTCAGTTTTTCACCTTCATCTTCTGCACAGTTTGTGAAGTTGTGCTGTAGAGGTAAGAGGTGGACCATTACATTATGAACATAGCTCTGAACTAGTGTTAGCATGCCCTAGAGGGCCATGTCTCATCTCTTTCCACCTGTGCTCAAGGCTGATAGGATGATCTGTCTTAATCCATTTTCTTCTCCCTAAGGCTTCAAATATTTTCCTAAGGGACTCATTTTTTTACTTAGCCTTTCTTTAAATATAGCCCTGGGGCCCTAGTCAGTTTGGCTCAGAGGATTGAGCTTTGGCCCAGGGACTGAAGGGTCCCAGTTTGATTCCAATCAAGGGAACGTACCATGATTGCAGACTCGATCCCTGGCTCTGGTTAGGGTGCATGCTGGAGGCAACCAATCAACGTGTCTCTCTCACATTGATGTTTTTCTCTCTATCCCTCAAAAAAAAAACAAAAAAAACCAAAAAAAACAAAAAACAAAAAAAAACAATGGAAAAATATATTCAGGTGAGGATTAATGACAATAGTAAAAGTAGCCCTGGGCCTTGGCCATGTAGCTCAATTGATGAGAGCCTTTTCCCAATAAGCCAAGGTTAATGGGTTCTATCTCCTGTCAAGGCATATACGAGAATCAGCCAGTGAGTGCATAAATAGGTGGAACAACAGGTTGATGTTTCTCTTTCTCTGCCTCTCAAATTAAAAATTTAAAAAACAGCCTTAGTTTTCTCATCTCTTTCTAGTTAGCAGAGCAGATGGGTCTGTGCCAGAATTAGTAGCGTGCATGGATCTCTGTGCGCACGCCAGCCAGCTGTCCTTTCCTCTCCAGGGGCTGCCTGCCTCCCCTCTGCTGTGTGTGACAGTGCGCACGGACCCAAGTAACATGAGGGTTTTTATCAGCTATTGTCCTAGTATTGATTTTAAAGTAATGCTCCGCTGCTGGCAAAAAAATCAAAATATGAGAAAAGTAGGAAACTTTTAACAGTGATTGGCTATGGTGATTTAATATTTTACACCTTTACAGTGACCCTTACTGATATGTCAGTAAAAATTACTGCCGTTGGAAATTGTCAGCATTTTTTCCTCTCTTTTTCCCCCCTTAGGATCTTAGTAAGAGTCCTAAGACCATGAAAAAGTTGCTACCTAAGCGTAAACCAGAGCGGAAGCCTTCGGACGAAGAGTTTGCGCTGAGGAAAAGTGAGTCTTTGTGCACAGAGGCACGGGTCTGCTTCACACCCCACAGCACAGCATGTCTGGGAGCGGGAGATGGCTTCTCAAAGACTGCAAACACAAGTCGGGGTATTTCCAAAGGAAATGGTTGGAGCAGCAAGAGTGACAAACCTCTGCAAGAAAGACTCACTGGTGATGTGCTGTGGGATTGGACGCGGGGCTTGTGGGAGGGAGTGAGGCTTCAGCTTGTAGGGACTGTGATGGGACAGGACTCTGAGGCCAGGGGAAAGTTTGAACTAGTGGTGAGAATTTCAGAGTTGTTCTCTGTGCTTAGGTGGTTTCTCAAGCTGTGAGACTGAATAGACAGAGAAGAAGAAAAAGGGTCGAGTCTTAGCTGATGAGGTAGGAAAGGAACTAGCAGAAGGACCAGGAGGTAGTAAGAAAACCAAGGGTTTTTCTATGGCTAAAGGAGAAACTTTATCTGTGTCGACCACTGGGTAACTAGTGCCTGTGCACAGCAAGTACTAAGTAAACCTGACTCCTTTAAAGTCACATCATAATTCTGTAAGTTACTTTGACCTTTGTTACATTCAGAATCAGAGGAGATTTTCTAGTTATTAGTCTGTGCCACATAGAAAATGTTTACCTTCTTCAGCCTTCTCAGGGAAGCCAGGCCCTTTCTGGCTTCATGATGCTTTCGTGGCACTGAGGATGAAACCACTGTACTTGCCCATGTCTGAAAATAATCCAGTTACATTAGCTGCACGGAGGGAATGGCCTGTCCCTGGAAGTTACCTTGCAACACCTCCTGAAATTAAACAGTTAAATGTTATCTTTCTTACTCCTAAGAGAGAAGCTTGTTATGGATCTTATTATGAGAAATCTGTTAGTTGATTGGTCCCAATTAGTGAAACTTAAGTCAGCTTGTCAGTTGTTCTTAAACTCTTCATATGGATTTTATTTTTCAGTAAGGGACTATTTGGCTTGTTTTGTGTGTGTGTGTATATATATATATCTGTATTATTATCATAAAATGATATTGAAGGTTTATTGTGCAACTTATTTCATTTCCATTCTTCTTACATTTTTAATATAGTAGGTGAGCTTTTTAAAAAATTTATCCAGCCTGGCCAGCATGGCTCAATGGTAGAGCATCAACCTATGGACCAGAAGGTCACGGTTCAATTGCAGTCAGGCTTTGATATACCCAGGTTGCAGGCTTTTGATCCCTAATGTGGGACGTGCAGGAGGCAACAGGTCAATGTTTCTCTTTCATTATTGATGTTTCTATCTCTCCCTCTACCTTTCTCTCTGAAATCAATAAAAATATGTATATTTTAAAATACCCAAATATTATGTTAGAAAATCTAGGAAAACAAACCAGAGAAACAATTTAATCCTAGGTTCATATGAAGTGTGAGGTGAGGCTGGATGGGAGGCTCTGTGCTGGGACTAGTACCATTAGGTGCTGTTAGTCTGGAAGATTCTGTTCTCTGAGAGTGAAGCCAGTGTCTGGAATAATCCATAGCTTAAGGAAGAGCTCTGGAATGATACCTTCAAGCTTTAGATTGTGCCTTATAAATTTCTTAGATGAAATCTCTAGTGGGAATTTGTGGATCATTGGAAATGTTCTTTGTAAAGCCTCTGATAAATGTGGTCATATCGCCTGTCTTCATTCCTACCAGTTGTGGATGGAGGGAAGATTTTTCTCTCCGCTATCCATATCAACATTGAGAACTGTCAGCTTTTTCACTTGTTATCAGTTTGGTATGTGAAAAACCTGATTCTTTGTTTTAATTCTCACTTCTTAGTGAGATTGACTATTTTTTTGTTACTCACCATATTTTTTGTGTGTGAAATGCTTGTTTCTAGTTCTTGCCTTTTTTTCAATTTCAGGATATGGAATATTTCTTCTGGATTAGTAAGATAACATGTAAGGAGGATATATTAATCTTTTGTCAGTATGCTGCAGACAAGAAATACTTTTAAATAATTAAAAATTCTATTCAATGTAATTTTGTAAATATTGGAAAACAGTTATCTGACAAGAAAATAAAAGGAGAGGCCGGGACCGGTTTAGCTCAATGGATAGAGCGTCGGCTTGGGGACTGAAGGGACCCGGGTTCGATTCCAGTCAAGGACATGTACCTTGGTTGCGGGCATATCCCCAGTAGGGGGTGTGCAAGAGGCAACTGATCGATGACTCTCCCTCATCGATGTTTCTAACTCTCTATCTCTATCCCTTCCTCTCTGTACAAAATCAATAAAATATATAAAAAAAAAAAAAAAAAAAAAAAAAAAAAAAAAAAAAAAAAGAAAAGAAAAGGAGAGGTTATCTTGATTGTCATCATTTTGGTTGAGTTGATGAGTTCACATTTCTCTACTTCATTCTAGTAGTTATTTTTAGATGTGACCTGTTGTACTTGTCATTTTTAGTTCGATTGTGCCATGTTGTTATGTCTTAACAGGCACAGCTGCTTTGGAAGAAGACGCACAGATTCTGAAAGTCATTGAAGCTTACTGCACAAGCGCCAAAACACGGCAAACACTTAACTCAAGTAAGTTTTACAGTAATGTACTGGAAATTGTGGTGGTTCGGGTTTTTTGTAAATCACAGTGGGAAGGAAACCGGGCTGTGGGGTCCTGTGCACAGCTCCTTCGTGTGCTGCGTGAAGGGTCCTTAGTGAGTGCTGCTTCTGTGGTCTAGTCAGGAATAGAATAGCTTGATCCTGACATCCCTCCATCATTGAAAGGGTCTGAGCTGTCAGTAAATAACTGATTTCTAGAGAAAGTTCTACTGGAAAGCCTTTAAGTATAAGATGCTGCCAGAATTTATGAAGCTTAGAGAAGATGTATTTATATATCAGCAGAAGATTTATTCAGTTCAGTTATTTAACCTATTTAAACTATTGGTGTGGTATTGGGATTTTATTATTAGCTTTTTACAATTGTTAAAAATATAAATCTAGAACAAGGCTTCCTTTAGTCCACTTCCTTTTTCTAAAATGATTGTATTTAAAAAGTTTTGAAAGTAGACACCAATCAATTCATTAGATTTCAGTGCCACTGAATTTGCCTGCATCTTATGCATAGTGTCTTAAATGAAAATCTTAATCTATTGTGAGAACAATAAAAGGGGGCCTTTTTTTTTTTTAACTTCCCCAGCATTTGAGGGTGAAGTGCAATACAATGAAGGGTGGGGTAGGTGGAGTAAAGTTTCTGATTTGTTCAGAAGAAAAGGGACAAGTTTATCCTCTTTTGGTGCTAGGGCCACAAGCATCACAGGGTATCCTGTACTGTTGTTTCTTAGGGCTTTTATTTTTTAAGAACTCGATGGTTTATATATTATTTTTGGCATAAAAACTATTTTCTATTCAATTTTCTATTTTTGGTTCTCTTTTCAAATCACTTATCTCTCCTTCATTTTCACTACCTCTAGTATGATGATTAGAATCAGTGTCCTGTCCTATTTTTAAACTAAACATGGGGGGACAGTGGGAAAGAGAATTTCAACTGCCTTAGCTTTTGTTAAAGATGAAGATAGGGCTAATAGGGTTAAACCCCACGTGGCATCTGCAGATCATCTAGAAACTTCCTTGTGGTCAGTACATTACATATCCCACCTGTGACATTAAGACTTCTTTTGTAGTGACTAGCCAGTAGAGAAGGAATAGAAGTGGAAAAGTCTGAATGTTGAGTGCATATGCATAAAATCAGGCAATCATTTGTAAATCCAGATTATTGTCATTTAAGATATTACATAAGTTTCATATATTTGATGAGATTGTGTTATAAGTAATAGGATATAAAATGTGGTCATAATTTTTTGGTTTTGAATTTGAGTTGTTAAAGAATTACTCATCTCAACTTCAGTTATTTAAAATAAAATTTTAACCTGATAGCCTCAGGTGACTAGACTAGGTAAGAGGAGCTTTATGTGTTTTTTGTGGGCGCTGCATTTCTTCATCCAAGAGACAGTGAGTGCCTGTGATGTGCCTGAGGCCTTGCTGCTTCTGGCTGCCTCAAAGGCATGGCTCATTGTTTGTGCAGATCATTCTTTATCTCGTTGCTTTTATTATGTGTTTCCTTTTCTCCTGCGAAAGAAAAGCATTGGAGAATATATTGATTTTTATATTTAATGGATATTGTGAGCCAGCTCATATACACAGTCACGTATGGCCTTACCCAAACATTCTTAAGAACAGGTTAGATAGGAGAAATTGACCCTGCTTTGCACTAGAAAGGTGATATCCTTAACACATTTGGAAATGGGATCAGAGTTGAAAACAGCCCTTTTCGTATTGAATGTTTAGTGAAGACAAGATAATATATCTTATCTAAAATTCAGCTCAGTTTGGTATACATTTAGATAGATGCCATTTATAAACCAAACATCTTTGGTATTGATTTCTATCTCAAAGAGATAATGACCTTCATAGACTATAGGTATTTAGTTGAAGAAAGCCAAACTAGAATATTGCTGGATGCTATGGATTTGGAATAGAATTATTTTGGTCAGAAGCAGGAACAGGATGGGACCAGTGATTGCTGTCTGTGCCATTCCCCATTACAGAGGGGCACGCTGGTTCCCACTGAGTGTTTCCTTCCAGCACCTTTTGTCCCTGATCCATTCCAGCCTGCTTGTCTCATGCAAAGCTGCCTGCCCAGTGTCGTTGCTCACAGGTGCCAACCACTCATGGGCTTATTTCTGTTCTCCCCTTTTGCTCCCACTTCCTTCTGTTTGTCCTTTTAACATAGTGGCACTACCAGTTCATATCACTCTTCCTGCCAGTAAAAGGGTCTGCATCAAGGTAGATAACATTTGAACCTACATGGCTTCCCACTTCATCCATATCCACTGGCTGAGCGCTCTAAGGAGAGGAGATGCAGGGTGATGGGGAAGGGGCAATGAGTGGGAAGTGGACTCTATTTAATTCCTTTCTCCATTCTCAAATTTTTACAGTGGTTATAGTTCATAAGGTAAGTTTTAGACCTCCATCATTAAGATGACTTCTGATGATTTATAGTCTGACAAAGAGATAGCTGAAGAAGTAAGTCAAAAATCCTTCGAAACTATTTTGCATTCAATATCCACTTAATGGATAGGAAACAATTTTTAATTAACCACACAAATGGTTCCTTTTACAAATAATGTACTAAATGAGGTTATTTGTCAATAGAACGTGGAGTAGCATTGGTTACTTATAAAATGTCTATGGATTCATTTGTTACTGGGCTTAATTTGAAAAAGATTTAACTGAGGACTTAATAGCAATATTTTTAGAAAGGAACAATTTGGAAATGATACTGTGCTTTAGGTTTATTTAAATAATAATTGTTCTGGTTTTATTCTAAGGGTTGTGCTAACTTTGTTATTAAAACCCAGCCATAAATAAGGAGAAGTGAACATTGTTGCCATTTTTTAACAGTATTTTCTCTTTTCCTTCTTTTCCCATCACCTTTTGCTTTTATTTTCATGTTTTTGGTTGTGGCTCTTCCTGTCCGTTCTCCTTTTCATCTCACCTTTGCCTGTCACACCTGTCACTCCATCCCACTCCCGTCTTAGCATGGCAAGGCACTGACCTGATGCATAATCACGTCTTGGCTGATGATGACCAATCAAGTCTAGACTCCTTGGGTCGTCGCAGTAGCCTTTCTCGTTTGGAGCCTTCAGACCTCTCGGAAGACTCTGACTATGACAGTATATGGACAGCCCATAGTTACAGAATGGGTTCTACATCTCGTAAGAGCTGTTGCTCATATATCTCTCACCAGAACTAATGCACTTCTGAGCTTTCTTAACAAATGCTTGTTGTATCGCAGCCTGCTTTTCTTAGATGTTTTCTTGCTGTTCCTTGTCTCTTTTATGTGATATTTTAACAACTTTTGAGAGCGTTTCTGATATTCCCATTGTATTTTGTGGAGGCGTAATTGCCAATTCGAGAATCCATTTGAAGTTATTTACTTACTGTTGAAGGAGATGGTGAATTCACACAGCCTATACCTAAGGGTTCTTTTCTTAGTGGGTAGTAGTGGTTTTATAGCCCAAAATGGTTTGGTTTTTTTATTCTCAGTAAAGCAATTGTCTCATTTCTTTTTGGATACAGCTATATGAACACTTTTATATTTTATACTGAAACCATACAGGTTTGTGATCCAAGTGCCAGTAACACGGAGGAGACTCTGGCCTTATATACAGGATTCTAAATTTTTTATGTATAATGGACACCCTGATCAAGTAGTTGTGGAGAGAGAAGAAAAAAGCATGCACAAAAGTACTGAGAGTTCGTTCAGACTGTGTGTTCTGAGGACTCCTGGGGGCACTTGGCGACCATGAAGAACCACGTGTTGGTGTGGGCTTGGGGCCTTGGCAGCACAGAAAAGCTTGTCTGCACCCTATAGTTCTGTGCTTGTCCGTGTGCCACGTGTGCTCTTCTCTGTGCCCCCATTTGCCCATGGTATGAGAGTTTCCCTCTGCAAAGTCCAAATTATTGTCAGAATTCAGACACTGTCATGACACCAAACTTTCCTTAATTGGAATAATTTCTCTTAAATGGCACTTAGCAAGCCTGTGCCACTCTACCGAAGGTTTAAAGTCCAAACTCGGAAGCAGTGAGCCTCTGAAAGTATAGATTAGATTGCTTTCAGAGAGAGGCATTTGGTGTACTTAAAAAGGCGAGTGCTTTGGCTTCAGTCACAGCCTGGCTTCACCCTGACATTCATACTTATACTGCCTGTGATGGACACATTGCTTGTTTTCAGCAACTGGCTGCAGTGAAACTCCATTTACAGCAACCCTATCCTATGTAACCCTCATTCTTGATTGTAATGGGGTATCTGAGTCTATTGAAGACTTACTGAGTTGCCATGTAACTCACTTATTAGGAAAGCTCAGATTGGGGTGCACTCCCCCACTTTCCTGGGGTTTGTTGTAAGGAGATTTCATTGGCATCACTCAAGACTAATTTCTGCTTCAAAAAGAACTGAATGTGACATGTTACATTCAGTTGTAGCATCCAAATCCACCTCCGGTCATTGCTAGAGGGAAGGAACTGTGTTTTCTCCCATGCATGCTATATCTGGTGTTAAAATGGAACCTTAAGGTTGTGTTTTAAGTATTCATTGAAACCAGCTTCAGAAAACAAGATGCCATAATAAATGGGGAATAACATTTTTTCCTTTCTTCAGGGTGGCTGTAATTCCAGGTGGCTGTGAATTCTCTCTTCCCTCACCATACTTCCTTCGCCAAACCCATGTTATTCAGTGTTCTGATCTCGTTTGCACAGAGACAACTCTGATACACTATATCATTGTTTCCTGGGAGCTGGGTCCTGTTGCTCACAAGCCCAGAGGTGCTAGTGAACTCCCGGCAGTAGCTTATTGCTTAGAAAACCAGACAGCTTCAGCACTGCATGCAATGGGGTCATTGGGAAAACCAATAATTCTAAGCATCTGTCTGTTTTCAAGCTTATGACATCTGGAGATTTCATATTTTTATATCAACTAATATAAATAAAGTTGAGGAGCAATAGTTTAAAAAATTAGAGCTCAATATTAACCCATAGTAGAGATGGAGTTTAATATTTAGTCAGCCAAATAGCAAATGGAATTTTTGGAAAGCTATAACTTACACAGTTCATATGCTTACTCAGTATCATGCAAGAAATTTAGAAGCAATTTTGTTTTATATTACGTAGAGTACTCACCTTTTCTGATACGAATAGAACATCTTTTTGTTTGCTTTGAGACTAATTGGTGCATTGGCCTCGATGCCTTTGCCATGCCTTAGTAAACTTGGGTTGCCTGGGTCATATGCTGTATATACCACAACAATTGAAGTACAGTTGCTGCACTTAGATTTTTCTGTAACACCAAGTATCGTTTGGGTTGTCTAAATGAGTTTCATTTTCTTTACACCAAAGTTTTGACATGTTCCCATTCTTGTTTGTACCAGGTAAAACCATTTTGACGACGATTTTTTGTTGATGCTAAGATCACTGCACGATAACAACTTGGCTTTTTGTTTGTTTGGATTTGTTTTGAATGTCTGGCACCATTAGCTCTTGTGACCCGTTTGGAAGTAGTAGTGCCACAGGCCTGAACACAGTTCTTGTGTGGCAGTGGTGAGAGGCGTCCAAAGGGCCACATTTCTACTTCAGTGGACCTTCAGTCATGCTGAAACAGTATTATATGCTTACACAGTTCTGTGATATCTATGTGTACAGTTAGTGTTATAATGGAAGAGTGAAGAATCTGGACCAGAAAGTAGGGTTAAGCCATTACCAGGCCCTTTTGCAAATGGCCTAAATGGTGTTCCCATTGAATTAACACTTGCCACAAGTACATAACTTATATTAATTGTGTTTTGCATAAAATTGCCAAACACAGTAATGTGTATATAGTGGTATAAGACCTGGAAAAAATTTATATATTGTGCTTTTTATCTGTGAATGGGAAAGCCATTTTTAGTGGGTGACTGCCCTTTAAAGACTCAGTTGGATGTATACCTGAATGTTGCATTGTATTGTACAGTATCATGTTATTGTTTGTGGTTGCATATGGCAATGAAGTGTTTGTTTTATAAAAAAAAAAAAAAGACATCTGTTATGTACAGTTGAAATAAATTTTGCATTTGCTAGCCTGTGGCTTTTAATATTTGTTACATGGGGGAGGGGGTGTAGCATAGTTTTCAGTCTAATATGATTTGGCTGTCCTCATGAACGTTGTCTTCTAAAGAAAGGCTAGGCAATAGAACACTTTCTTTCTGCCTTAATGGAGATGCTTTCTTAGGTTAAATATGTTCTAAACAATACAGGAGTACCCTTGTACATTTTTATTTCATCTATTTTTCTTTAATTTTTAAATCTCAGAGGTTTGTCTTCAGAACTGAGCATCTCATTTTTGTGTTTTTTTTTGGGGGGGGGAGGGATAAGGGTGTGTGTGTGTGTGTGTGTGTACATAAATAGAAAAAAAAAGCGCAACTGTAATGCTTTTTTATTTACACTAAAGTCAGTTTTTATTTTTTAAAGTACATGCCCAGTTTACTAGGAAAAGCAAAATGAAAGGAAAACTAGTCCCTATGCCAGTGTGGGGCTAAGCCAAGGGGCAAACAATGAATAAATGCAAATAATTCTTTAAAGAGAACCCTTACATTTCTTTTCCTAAGAAAAATAAATTAAGAGTCTTATAGCCATAAATAACAAAGTGGCATTGGGAGAAATTTTATTAAGTAGATTTTTTTAAATGTAATTTTTAAAAATATCGTTTTATTGATTTTAGAGAGGAAGGGGGAGAGGTAGAAACATAAATGATGAGAATTATTGATTGGTGCCTCCTGAACACCCCCTACTCGGGATGGAACTCACGGCCCAGGTATATGCCCCGACCTGGAATCAAAGGTGACCTGGTTCATAGGTTGATGCTCAACCACTGTGCCGAACTTCCCGGGCTAAAGTGTAATATTTGCTTCATTCTGGAAATTATTTCACTTTTGATTATAAGTAAATGCAGATATTAGAAATAAGAATTTAAGAAGTGAGTTTTGCTACAAACATACTAAGACCGCTAGCTAGCTAGGCAGATTTTTTTTTTTTAATTGTTTCTTGGCTTTTGTTGGAAGCCGACTCCCTTATGTGTACACACACACATACCATGCTCATGCCCTAGATTTGTGTTGTCAGATGAGGCACTGAAATGGTGTACTAACAAGTCAGATCAGGCACCAAAATAGTGGTCTAACAACCAAGATGATTCCGCCCTGGGGCTTGAGTCTTAATCTTGCTGCCTGGGCAAATCATCTGTTTATAAAATGGAATTGTTCGCTCAATCGGTGTTTCTCAAATGAAGGCCCATTTGGGGTTCTCTGAATGTTTTTGGAAGCAGTGTTCTAAGTGTGTCTTCAGCTTCTGGATCACACCTCTGAGTTGCCCCCAGGGGCTCCAGTGTCTGCTGTCTCTCCAGCTTTGGTGGTGCAGAGTGACCCCTGCTGGTGGCTGTGTGGAACTGTCATTGCCTGTTTGCCGCCATTGGCGGCTGGATCCCAAGCATGTGCAGAACTGTTTGGAGTCCTCAAATTTGGTAAATGCTGATTGGTGCTAAGTATACATTATTGTTTCTTTATGTTCACCCCCATATTGAACAACTACAAAACCAACCAGCATTTGTGTATATGTATCTATAGACAGGATTTTAGGCTAGTCGAACATTCTTCAGATGGTTACCCGGAAAGATTGACGCTGAAGAAAATGTGTTCAGCACGCAGACGAATTTAGGAAATGCTGAATTAAACTTCAACAGGTATTTTTACTGCAAACCTTCTGAAAACTGTAAAAATGCTATGTGTGCCCTGTGAATCTCTAAGAAGTGGCTGTAGCATTCAACATTTCCCAAGATGATGTGTTGTATAATAGAAACCCCTGTTATCACCTGTAAAACACAGGTTTTGGGAAACACAGATCTTGAGTATGATGGAACCATCATGAACCTGTTCATCTGTGTCTCAGACCTTGTCGAGAATTTTAAATAAAGCAATAGTACATTTTTGGTGGTTCTGCTATTAAATTGTTTTTCCAACCTAAGTAGTTCAGGCAAAGCATGCTGCAGTACCTCTGAAAATATCTCAGCCATCTTTGAGGTAACTTGTTAAATCTGTTTACTTTCTAAATCTTTGTTCTTAAAGAAATAGTCAACTTACTTATAAACCTTGCTGGAGAATATCCCTTTATTGTTTTGTTGAAATACTAACATTTTTTCAATTATTTTAGCAAAATATGTTATATTGAAACTATGGAAAATATTAACCTCCCATGGATTTCTATTCAGGAAACAAGTAATCTTTATTAACAAACCTCCTGGCTCACCATCAGATCTATAAATGACATTTTTTTTTTTTTTTACATTGGCATGTTTCATTCTCAAACTTAACATTTTTTTTTTCTTAGATATTTTTAGAGGGAGGAAGAGAGAGAGAAAGAGAGAGAGAGACATTAATGTGAGAGTAGAACATAATAGTTTGGCTGCCCCCAACCATGGATCAGGCCCACAAACTGGGCATGCACCCTGACTGGGGTTTGAACTGGCAACCTTTTGGTGCACAGGAGGACACCCAACCAATTGAACCACACTGATCAGGGTTCAAACTTAACATTTTTATAATATATAGTTGCATTCTTGTGTGCTTTAAGTGTATTTGAAAATCAGAACCATGTCATGCATGTACAACTGTTGTACAAAAAAAAATCTTACAGGTGTTAATTTCTCTGATTTAGTTATGTGTTGGAATTTAAAGTTTTTGTCTTTATGGTTTCATCTGGTAAGAGATATTTATAAAATGTAAATTTTAAATTAATCCTCAGGACAACTCTGCAGAAGTGATCAATTTTGTTCTGTTTTACCAATAATGGGTTCCGTGGTTAAGTGAGCAGCCTGAGTTTACTGAGGACTAACACCGACGGGGTGTGAGTGCAAGAGCAGATGGTCCCAGCCGCTCTGCAGGACAGCGACTGCTGTCTGACCCCTTTACAAAATGGATATCCCTTGTGATTCGATGTTATTTGAACATTTTAATGCTGGAAAAAGTGTAAATAGGTTGCCTAGGAAGCTAGAAGATGTAAAAGTAATTATGTGCAGAACTTAATATTCCTTCAAGTGCTGTTGTGTAAAAACATTTTTAACCTCTTGTCTCAAATCCATTTGAAGGACTGTTTGTATTACCAAACTGAATGTGACAGATAAACAACCAATAACTTTTTTGATTTGACTGACACAGTCAACAACTGTCTGGACTCAAAGCAGATACCCATTGGAAAATTTATGAGCCTTCTAAATTGTCCTATGTCATCAGTTTGCTTCTCTTCACAGCGCAAATTAAATTTGTTTTCTACATATCTGAATCTTTCTGAATCTTTTTCTCTTTTTCTAGGAAAATAGCACACGAATTAACTTCGATATAAAAACATGGGTAACATTTACATTTGTATTAGAAGCACAGGATTTTCCTCAGCCTTAAGAATTTTTGAGCTGGCTTATATCCCTGCAATTTCTCAGTACTTTGTTTCACATACCAGTTTCCTTCTTAAGCAGTATTTCCCCAAGTAGCCTTCCCTATTAACCCAGAAAGGCCTAGAAGACATGCCACTTGCATGGCAAGTCATCCTGCAAATGTGCAGCTCACTGAAAGGGTAGTGTGTGGCCTAAGGAGGGGTATGAGCAAAGCCACGCCTCCCTCTGCCTGACAAGTGACAAGGCCTGCTGGATTTGCAGCATGGTGGGAACACAAAAACACTGGCAGAAGGGCCTCTTTGAAATGGGATTTGGTGAACCTGTGTACAAACATACTTCTATATACCAGCTTATTAAGTAAGGCTTGTGACAAAATTCTAAGTACTGCATTTGATTATAGCATTGAAGTTATTCTCAGGCCTTTCCCTTTATTGGTGTAAAAAAAGATATGTATAGAAGCTTATGCTGTGTAACATAAGATAGAGCGTGATTTTCTTACCCCTGAGATAACAAAGGAGGAGGTGAGCACCTCAGTCTTCTGTTCTGGGCGTTATGGTTTCCTAGCGGGCTTGTGGTTGATACCTTTCCTAGTCTGTGAGACAGGCTGGAAGGCTTTACAGACTGCAGCCAGGAGGCTTGGCCAAGGCCCCGAGTTCCCTCCCCAGTGGCATGCTGCCGTGGCAATGACAGAGGTACTCTCTCAGCATGAATCATGTTTTATGAGCCCTCCTATTGAGCTTTGACAGTAATTGTTAATCTTGTTCCATTCATAGCAGTAAAAGCTTACCATACTGGTGGAAATTGTTCTTTAAAACCAAACTGTGAAAACACTGGTGTTGGGCTGAATGTTCCCATGATACAGAGATGTACAATAAGTGCCCTCTTATAAATCAGTGCACTTTTAGGAAGGCAAGTTAAAGACAAACCAGGAAAAACAAGATCAAGCAAGTTACACCACCCGCTGTGTAATTAGCACCTGTCAACATCAAGGGTATTTTTTAATGGAGAAATATTTGTCATTACCACTTGCAGGTGTTTGTTTCTCTGGTAGACTATATCCTTCCGCAAATTACATCTGATATAAATTTTCAAAAATATAAATGATGTATGTTATAGTGTTATGTAACCTTTGATACTATTTTAAGAAAATATTGTTTTCTTCCTGTATCCTTAAATAAGATTTGATTCTCTTCCCCCCCCCCCCCTCACATTTTAAAGTAAATATTTCAGTTTCTCAGTTATTTTCTAAAGTACCTATTTTGTGGCAAACACACTGGAGACACACTGTCCTGAGCAAGCAGTTGTGCCGGGAGCTCGTTAAGTGCCATAAACTTCTCTCTGACATTGTGAACCCTTTACTTCTAGGGAACGAAGACTAGTTTTCATAAAAGAAACAAGTAATAAATTTCACTTCTCCTAAACCATATGCTGTAATATCTTTTAACTGTCACTGTAGAGTTAAATGTTTTAATTGCCAGTTTTTTTGTGTTGTTGGTTTTTTTTTTTTTTTTTAATTTCAAACACTCAAGGTATATGTACTATATAGTCTGACATGTCTTCCTAAGATTCCTGGGATAATATAGCTAAAGGTTTTGTTGACTTGGATATTTATTCCCAAATACCCAGAGTACTGTGGGCAGAATCTTTAACGCACTACCTGCGGGAAAATTCTGGATTTAGTAGATCTATAATCCAGATTTAGAAACAGAAGCTTAACAAATTAGAAAAAGGCTGTTTTGTTTTTTTTTTCTATAATGCTTTAGGCATGAAAAAAAAAATTAGGTTTAGTAGAAAGAGATGGAAAAAATTGCTAAAGTTGCCCTTCGCTGTTTTACTTACAAAGTAATTCATATTGCAATATAATGCCCAGTCCCTGGAATTTAATCTTAATATGTAGATAGTGTTAATATAGTGAAGTTGTTCTTAGCTTTGCTGTGGTATTCACCTTGGGTATTTTTTTTAATGATAGGTTCACGTAAAGAATCTGCTCCACAAGTTTTGCTTCCAGAAGAAGAAAAAATTATAGTTGAAGAAACTAAAAGCAATGGTCAGACAGTGATAGAAGAAAAGTAAGATGTATTCTAGTATTAAAATGCAGTCATGTGGGTGTGTGTGGAAGGGGTGGTTTGTGGAGTGTGTGTGTGTGTGTGTGTGTGTGTGTGTGTGTGTAGGGGTGAGGGCATGGGAAGGTGTGTGTTTGGAGTGGGGACTTGTGTGTGTGTGGAGGGGTGGGGGCATGGTGTGTGTATGGAGGGATGGGGCATGAGAGGGTGTGTGTGTGGAGGAGTGGGAACATGGGTTGTGTGTATACAGGGGTGGGGGCATGGGTTGTGTGTGTGTGGAGGAGTGGGGCATGAGAGGGGGTGGGTTATGGGGTGTGGGGTGGGGAAGGGCGGCACATTGGAGTCAGAAAAATTCCAGGAGGGTTGTGGTATGGCTTCGGAAACTACTCCTTTATGTCCTCGTAGGTGGGAGTTCACGTTGACTACGCTCTGACTGCCCGTGGAAAGCAGTGTATGAATTTAGGTGTTTAGAGAGGCGGGTAGAGCAGCCGTTTATTTCGTCTGGCATGTCCTGAACTGCTTCTCTCCGTCCTCTTCATCCCGTGTCCTTGTTCAGGTGTTCATTCTGTTTTCTGTTCTAGGAGTCTTGTTGATACCGTCTATGCATTGAAGGATGAAGTCCAAGAATTAAGACAGGTAAGTTATAACCAATTTTTAATCTTTCTTTTTTTTTTTAAATGGAGGAAAAGAGGAAAACACTATATTGAGAATGAAGCCGGATATCCTTAAGCAAAATAATGCAGAAAGGAGCCCGCTGGAGTGGCTCAGTTGGTTGAGTGTCCCATGCACCAAAAGGTTGTGGGTTCGATCCCCAGCCAGGGTACTGATCAATGTTTCTCTCTCATGTCAGTGTCTGTCTCTCCATTCTTCTAAGCATGTCCTCATCATTTAGAATATCTAAAATTCAGTCTAGTTAAAAATTAACTACCTACTGTGGCTATTCTCTGCCATGTTTTAACAGCCAGTTGCTCAATTTATATTTCTTTTCAGCCAGCCAGACTAAGCTTTGAACAAAGAAAATTCGTTCTAAAATGCTACCGGAAGTTTGAAAACGCAGTTGAAATACAAATACTGCCTTTATAATTATTCAAAGTATGTATACAGTTTTGGGGGACACAGGGTACTCCCAAAAATGTATATAAACTTTAATAGCTGATAACTTAATTTTCACTCTTTTTCAAGTTTAACTAATTTGAAATAATAGGTGAAGCCAGACTAACCTTTTTTTTTTTTTTTTTTTTTTTTTAGATTTATTTTATTGATTTTGTACAGAGAGGAAGGGAGATAGAGAGTTAGAAACATCGATGGGAGAGAGTCATTGATCAGCTGCCTCTTGCACACCCCCTACTGTGGATATGCCCCCAACCAAGGTACATGCCCTTGACCGAAATCGAACCCAGGACCCTTCAGTCCCCAAACTGACGTTCTATCCATTGAGCCAAACCAGTTTCGGCCAGACTAAACTTTGAACAAAGAAAATTTATCTACTTAATTTTTTTATAGGGATACATAAAAGTTAAAATTTACAAATCTAGCAGCAGTTGACGAATTGAGGGTGCACAAATACTGAACGAAATAATTCTTGATGTTTTGCAATTGCATTGCTTCAAGTTATCAGCAGTGCCTGGATCAGAACGGCATTGACAACAAATATTTATTCATTTCTGTAGCTTTTTTAAAATATTGAAAATGAACTCTCTTAATGAACACCGATTTTGTAATCATTCAAAGTGTATACTTTTTTGGGTCACCCTACGTATTATTTGTACAAATGGTTTTGGTCTCAGGAGGGAGCAATTAAGTGCTGCTTCACAGGCCGGAGATGAGAGGGAGGCTGAGGAGAAGCAGAGCACAGCATGGTCTGGGGCAGGACACTGCCCTGAGCTGCCTCAGCCATCCCTGCAGCTTCCAAATGCTTGTCTTCCTCAGAGGGGCTTCCGGGTTTGTGCTGCCTCCTTGGCCAGGGATGCATCTTTGTGTGTGCACCTTCTCCATGCGGAGGAGTGATTAGGTGCAAACTGTACGGAAGTAGGCGCCTATTCACACACTGTATTCATTCAGTTCCATCCCCGCATAACTCTCTAAGATCTTCACAGGTGGGAAAGGAGGAGGTGAGGGGGGCAAGTTGATCCTTTTGCTATTTCCAGCCATTTTCTTTTTTGAAATTTTTTCTTTATTGATTAAGGTACTGTTTATGTGTTCAGCCATTTTCTTAAGGTATGTGTACAGAGATTCTCTCATTCAGTAATCGGAACTTAAATTGTCAGTGGCGTTAGGACTATTTTTCCATCTGTGATTTGTCTTGGCTCCCAGGAGCAACTGCGGTAAGGAGCCCCGAGGGTCTATGGAGGTGTTGGGGCAGTCATGTCGAATGTACCCATGACCACAGCACAGGGCATATCCCAGCCTCCCCGGGGAAAGTAAGTCCTCTCCAGGGCCAAACACACCGAATATCCTATCTGCTTCGTTGGCAGGATAACAAGAAGATGAAGAAATCTCTGGAGGAAGAACAGCGAGCCCGCAAAGACTTGGAGAAGCTGGTGAGGAAAGTTCTAAAGAACATGAATGACCCTTCCTGGGACGAGACCAACCTCTAAGGAATGTCCACGGTTTTTTCTCGAAGATCAGTTAGGAGACTCAGCTGGGACCCTGGGGCAGGGCTGTGCGTACAAAAGCTGGAGTTCAGGCGAATAGAAACACATTGTTCCTGAAGAGTCCAGACATGAGGTATCGACACCGAGGGCAACTGCATTAATCTTACTCTGCTAACATCTCAATTACCTCATTTTGCAATAAGTGCAGTGACTGACTACAAATCCTGGTCTTTCAGCCTTTTATTGAATCTATATAAATATTATACATACATGTTCCTTGTAAATACCCCATTTTGAATGCATATCCCTGATTGCTATATCTGATACCCCTGCTAGAACTTCCTTCCCACTAACCTTTCTGGTCCCCTGACCTAGAAGTTCTAGTGTTCACGCACACACGCATGGAAAGCAGAGGTGCGTGGCTTGTGGTAGATGCCTGACTTCTCCTCTTCTGTGGTTCCTACAGTGCCCTGAAAACACTTGCCCCTTTGGTTGCCTAACTAATTTAACCTTATTTATAGCTGCAAAGACACTTGAATGCCATTTGAAAGTCTTCTGTTAAAGCAGTATTGCAGTCACCGACGTGGGTGTCTCTGCGTGCCGTGCTCTGGCTGATGGAGGGTCTGGGCCTCAGCCACGAATCCCAGGAAGTCCCACTCACATCACCGCATCTAGCTGCAGGTGCACCCTCGCGTCTGCTTTATGTGGATCCTGTGGTCACCAGAGTATTCACTGCACTTGGAGAGATCATACATACTTGTATATGTAGGTTCGTTTAATAACGTGACCAAGTGCACTGTTTTGTCCTCAAAAGAGAGCACTTCACTAAAACCTGTAAATAAAAGGTGTTGCACATCCCTGCGGCGAAGACAAAGCGAGGAGGTGCTATGGGTAGGACTCCCGTGTCAGCCAGCGTCAACCCTGAGCTCTGCCGTACCGTCAGGGCAGCAAGCACTGCTGCAGAGCTCACTGGGAAAGAGAAGAATAAGCAATATCCACCTTAAACCCCACCTAAATAACGAAAGTGTAAATGTGGGTCCGTTCCCTCCTTGTATCCAAACTGCAGAGCAGACGGAGGAGGAAGCCGGCCCCAACCTGGCTCCGCAGCCCCTGGTCCTCGGAGCAGCCTCGGCCCAGCTTGTCCTGGCGCCATCACAGGGACTGTGCTTTCCGTTTCCGCTTCTAAAGAGGTGGTTCTAGTGAGATGACTTCTTGGCAGGTCAAGAGTTACATCGTTAGAAAGCAGCACTGCATTACAGACCTCTCACAACTACGATTTGACATCAGATGTGACCTATGATTTGCATCCTATTTATTGATCTAGTGACCCTTGAATCTTTGATGCCTGTGGACCGGGCATCGTTGGAACGAGTTGGTTTTCTGGTTGTCCATGGCCCTACTTCCATGCCCTTGCTGATCGGTCCCTGTGCCCGCCCATCTCCCTGCAGGGTGGTCGGGAGCCGGACCTCCCACGGCAAGCTCCGCAGGTGTGTCTGGGGCCCACATTGACCTGTCCACACTTGACTTTTCAACTAGAATTGCCAACTCTCTCTACTTAGCATTCATTAGTGCTAGGAATAGAAAACTGTCGTTTTTTGTTAAGCCCTGTTTATACAGTAGTATTTTTTGGTGATGCATAAGACGTTGCAGTGAAAAACAATTACTAAATTTGAGTGTACTGAAGTTTGCTGTCTTTAAGCAAATTTTAACTCAGGAACAACATTCAGCACCTGATCTCTCCACCACTTAGTGACAAGCGATGTTGCAGCCAGCATCCCAGACGGGTCTCTTGCAGCAGCTGCCTTAACTAAAGCGACAAGTGGGAACTTGTGTTTTCCCTGTCCCTCCCCTTCCCCCGGCGGGGTGATGGTTGAGGTGCCTGTGTAATGCATTACCTTTCTTCCCCAGGATCCAATATTTTACTAAACTTTTTAGGGAGCAGAGAAAATGCATCTGAGAGCAATTCTTCTACAAACCTGCCCTCGTTATAAACAGACTGTCTCTCCTGGTGACAACCTTCTGAGGGTGTGGGGGTTGAAGACAGTAGAAAGGGGCACTGTTGACCCTAAGGGTTACTTCTCTGCTCTCACCTTTCCTGGATGAGGAGACGAAGCCATTCCTATCCTGAGATGTGAAGCACTTTTGTTCCCACACGGCACCGACGTGTGGCCCCGGAAGCTCTGCCCCCCGTGCTCGGCAGAGCGTGCCTGTCCACGTGTGCCGGGGCCCGGGCCTCGGAGCGCGCCGGCTCCGGTGGACTCCCTGCCGTCCTTCACGTCTCCCTCCGGGACGCAGAGGCCCCGTTTACAGCCCCGGGGACACCACGCAAACGCCGCCTGCTGTCCTGGCGCTGACGACTCCTACTCTGTTGTAATTATTAAACTGATTATTTTTTTTTCTTACGTTACAAACATGTCACTTCATTTCCCATAATGTGTTTGTGTGCGTCAAGTTACCTTTGCACTTTATTTTGACTGTTTTATATTGTTTAATTCTGGGGTGAGTTTTGGACACTGGAAAATAACAGTTTGCTTTTAAAATCTAGGGTTTGGGAGGATTTGAATATACAGGAGTAGGCGATGGAACTGACACTGTTAGGTACAGCCTCCACTTCGTCACATTTATAATGACTCATCCTGGGAGGTGCTGTAAACCAGATTGGGGGATTGAACAAGTGACGGCATTTTTCAAGATTCCTGGGAGGCGCTTGCAGGACGGGCACGCCAGCAGAAAGTTGTCCGTTACAGCCTTGCCCTTTCCCGACACTCCCTCCATGCAGGGCCTCCCTGGCCAGCTAAGAGGGCTGGAAACAGCACGATGTGCACTGCCAGCCTGGGAGTATGGAGTATGTAGGAAGGTCTTCCCTCATCCTGACCTGACTGTCTGCAAAGACCCTATTTCCACATAAGGTCATAAGCTCAGGTAACTGGGGATAAGGACTTGAACAGATCTTTTTTTGTGGGGGAGACACAATTTAGCTTGTAACAGTAGGGAAGGTGGACTCACCGATTCAAGAGGGCCCGATTCCAACTTAACCCGCCCTTCCACAAGCGAGGCCGACCGTGGCTCCAGGTCGTCATTTAAACCTCATATGTGTAACTCAAAGATTGTAAAGCATCCCAAGGGGACTTTTCCTATTTCAGAAAACCCACAACAACGTCTGCATTTTCCCATGGGATGACAGTGCAGCCCACAACAGCAAATGTCCTGCTTTTAGCTGAAATGAAGTGGGTAAATGCAGTCGCTACCTTGTTTCCCCTAAATAAGACATCCTCCGAAAATAAGACCTAGCTCAATTTTGGGAGAAAAAATTATAAGACACTGTCTTATTTTCAGGGAAACGGGGTAGTTACGGGAACAGGACTCCAGGCGAATACAGGGAGAGATGAGGCCCCACCACACAGCTCCCCCTCCTGTGGACTGTAAGCCCTGTTTGTCCTCGGGCCTGGCCGTGGTCTGAGTGGACAGCGGCTTCAGGCAGTCCTGGCCGTCACCCTGGCAGGCCTGGGGCGGCGTGTCTCCCAAACGGCGGCGCTCTGCAGGTTTCAGCCTCCCAGGTGGGAGTGCAGTGGCGCCCCTTGTCCTGTGGCCCCTGTGGGTCCTGATGGCGGAGGGGGAGGCACCCTTTCCTTTTCTCTCAGGCCCCTGCAGCGGCTTCTCCCCCGGGAGGCTGCCTGCCCTCTTGCCCTGGGCAGCCCCCCACACTGCTCCCTAGCTGCCATGTCTGTCTGCACTTGGATAAATCCTTTGGGATCGCAGGACCACTTTCTGGAAGCCTCTTGTGAGCATCAGCCTCCCACCCGAGGGCTGTCCCAGCTCCCGTGCGAAGCCCAGCCTTAAATGACCACGCTTGATTCACTGTCTCCGTGAACTCCCGGAAGTTTGCCGAGACATTAACCTGAACGTGAGCCGCGGTTTGTGTTGGCTGGCGGTTGAATTCCCAGGAGGGGGAAACCCCACTGCTTCCATTTGGGAACCTGAGAGGGTGCAACCACTGCGATGGTTGATAGTAAGAGAGGCTGGGTAATTTCTCTTCCCTCTGCAACCGCTCTCATGAGTCCTTCCTCATCTGTTCTCACATCTCCATCCCGCTTAAGTCCTGCCAGTACAACCGCCCCGGCCTGCAGAACCTCGAATTGGCCAAGTGCAGCGTCCCTGCTCCTTGCCCCAGCAGCATGACCAATGCAACACATCAACCAGCAGCCAGGTGCTCCCAGAGCTGCCCCTCCCAAGAGCCCCTCCTGATGACACTCCCTGCCTCGCTGCCTCACCCGCCTCTGGTGCAGGACACGTGTACTCTCCTCTTCCCTAAGATGCACGCTGTTTACTCTCATCTCAACACCACGCCACGCTGTGCCTCCCACCACCTGGACTCCCAGCCGCTTCTTCCAGTTTTCAGGCTCCGCCCTCACCAGCCCAGGTGCCCCTCCCGCGCAGGCACCCCTGGGTGCTCTCCCGCATGCTGATGGCACTCTGACTCAGCTGCCCACAGTGCATGCCCCACCTGGACACAGACACAGCATCTGCTCGGCCGCTCCACCTGGGTTCTCACACCCATCTTCCCTGCGGTGGGCCACCTTCTAGCCTCTCGGGAGAATCCTTAGGCTCATCCCTGACCTGTTCCCACTCACAGATCTGTCAGCCAATCTCATGGACTCTAAAACGACACACAACATTCAACGTGACTGCCCCAGTCCCACCCTTACTTTTCTCCCAGAGGATTACACCATTCCTCACGTTTACTCTTGCCTAAGGTGACCAGACGTCCCGCTTTTGGGGGGACAGTCCCAATTTTTTAACAATTTTTTAAAACGCCGCGGGACAAATGGTTAAAAATTGGGACATCTGGTCACCTTACTCTTGCCTCCTCGTCTATTTTCCACACAGCCAGAGGGATGCTAACATGTAATCCAGTTTCCCACCTGCACAGAATCCAGTCCTAGCGCCCTACGTAGTTCCCTCAGTGAAGGCAGAAGTTCGACTAGTATCCTACACCCTTGCTTATGATTCAGTCTCTGAGCCGTCTCTCTCTTCATCCAAGCCACCCTGGCCTCCCGAGTTCTCAGATTCACCAGGCCTGCCCCAGGGCCTCTACACTGGCTCCTCTCAGGCTGGTACATGCTTCCTGGGTGCCCACATAGTGCCTTCCCTTACTTCTAAACCTGCTCGGCTGCCGTCTAGTTCTGAGGCCACCTGCTCACCCCCCATTCCAGGCATGGCCTGGAGGTGTGCTCTGCTTTCCTGTTCTCACAGCGCGTGTCTGACCTGCATGTGTGTGCTGTCTCCTTCCATGGAATACACATCCCCGAGGGTGGGCACTTTTGTCTGTTTCGCTCACGTTGCGTGCCAGCAGAAGTGTGCTCTCTAAGAAGGAGACTGTGGAGTGAGGACCTCAGGACCCAAACACTGGTTCCAAAGCCAGGCCTGGTGTCCCATAGGAATGGGGTGGGTGTAATGTCTGGAGGAGGGCCAGGTGTTTATTTTTTGCTTATTTTATATTTTCATTGATTTCAAAGGGGAAGGGAGAGAGATAGAAGCATCAATGATGAGAATCATTGATTAGCTGTTTCCTGCACATCCCCCACTGGGGATCGAGCCCACAATCCGGGCAGGTGTCCTGACTGGAAATCAAACTGTGATCTCCTGGTTCATAGGTTGACGCTCAACCACTGAGCCACATCGTCCAGGCAGAAGGCAGGGTTTTTGATGCCTTGCCTGCCCATAAGGCTCTCCCACCCTCCTCGGCCCTGTACACATCCTGCCTGCCCTATAGTGGCCAGCGTCACAGTCCTGCCTCTGTGTGATGTCCGGGGGCTCTGTGACGTCACAGCAGGTGGGGTGGCCCAGCCACTCACTCCGCACTCTGCTCATCAGTGGCCGCAGGAGGGAGGAGGTGGCCAGTCTCTCCTGTCTGATCCTGAAGTCTGCTTGGAGTGTAGCTGGGAAACCTGTGGCTGGGGCTCAGCTGGGCCCATGACGGACAGGTGAGACTGGACCGGACGCAGCCCGGCTGCCTCAAGGTCTGGCCTAATTTCTCTCTCTCCCAGGTTCCCTTGATCCCTCACCTGTCCTTCAGCTGCTGCGATGAGATATATGCCAGAATTCAAAAAGTCCCAGTCGCACTTCCTGAGGAATTTTGCAGGTAAGGAGAAGAGAACATTAAAGGGGCCTGTTTCAACCCAAGGTGTGGGTGATTAGCACCAGGCTGAGAAAGGAAGGCAAAGAAACCTGGGTTTTAAAATAATGTAGGAAAATACTGTGAAGTCCTCATTATTTTAAAGTTTCATTGCAAAACCCCCTGAACCTGAGGTTTTCAGCATAAGAAATATATTTAGCTATTTCACAAGGGGTTAGAGGATTCAAGATGTTTTCCTAGAACATGCCAACCATATATGATACTTTAGCTACTTCGTAACTTTTATGGCAAGAGTGAGTGTTTTTTTAAAAGAAGAAAAATATTTTTTAACAGTGAAGCTCACCTTTCCCCATGCCCATCCGGGGCGGCCAGGGTGCGAAGTTGGACACTGTGCCTGGGTGTTGAAGGAAACTGTGTGTAACCGTGACTTTCTCCAGAGCTCGTGGCCAGTGTGTGCACATAGGGTGGTTGCAGCGGCTTAAAGCCACGCGAAGGAAGTTTTTAGAAGTGAGACCACTGGGACGTGGGGGAGAAAAGGGAAGGGTCACTTCCACCGTGCATGTGTGTGTGTCTTGAATATTTTTCTCAGCAGTTTTTTCTTCATGCACGACTATAGTAATGCCCCAAAAATTGGAAAATAGAAGGAAAGGGAATTCGGTTTTCCTTTTTTGTTTTTGTCTGTTGGCTTGGCAAAGGGACTGACAAGGGAGGTTCCCCGAGTGGCCAGGGATGGAGACGGGAGACTCTTCTACGTGGGGACGGTGAAGAAATACCCTGAGGCATCCCGGGAGGTCCCAACAAGCCAAACAGTGCTGGGGAGGGTAGGGGAGAGGAAGGAAGGCCCACGGGGGTCCCAGACACAATGGGGAGACAGCCTCCACAAAGCAGGGGGTAGGGGACTCCAGGCTGTTTCAAAATAGCCCATTAACACAGCCAAATGGGAAATCTGTGCCAAGAAGGTCTCCCCTGTATGGTGGTGGTATTAAAGAACAGTCAGCTCTGGCTGCTGAGGCTCAGTTGGCTGAGCGACGACCCAGGCGAGGGGACAATGAATATTTTCCCGCCTGTGTGTTTGCTGCAGTCAACAGCCACTGCCACCTGGAGCAAGTCTGGGAACGCTTGTCCCCTTGGCCATGGAGCGAGGTGGGAATAGAGGCATGACAGAGATGGGTCCCAGCTCTGCCCGCCAGCTCTGTGGTCATGAGTCTCTGGGATCTTTCTGGATGCGGTTGAGGACTGGCATCAGCAGGGGCCACAGGCCGGCATGGTGACACTTGCTTTGCTGTGTCCCTGAAACAGTCATCGGTGGGGCTCCCTGCAGCCCGGATCACACTGGAAGCAAAACCCAGCACAGCTCCCCGTCCATTACACTGACAGCCACTTTGCAGAGCGACCAAGAGCCAGTGACCACAGGGCCTCAAGGGAGGCCAGCATGCCATGGCCTCCTGGACCAGCCTGGGAGCCACTCTGGTCCAGCTGTGCCAAGGACAGGCCCCTCTGCCCCTCCCGGTCAGGGGCGACCAGGACCCAGCTTCAGGAGAGAGCTGTGGTGCAGGAGGTCAGCGGCTGGATGTCTCACATCCTCCAGCTCTGCCGGAGTCCAGCTGTGGGCTCCAAGGGCTGCAGTGGCATTCAGAGGCCATCACTGTTCCATCACATCCCTGTCAGGCGTGGGCTGTGTGGGCGGCCGTGGCGACAGTATTTGTCACACCCGGAGTGGGGGGTGTCTTGGGAAAGGGAGGGAAAGGCAAGGGGGACAGCGGTTTCTCTGGAACTCTTTGAAAGTCAAAATGAACCCTAGAAAAATGCACTGGAGAGTCAGGAAAAGGTGGGCACTCCCCCGCCCTCCCCCCCCACACACACACCTTCTCTCCCCCTAGTAACAGACACCCCCAGGGGCCAGCAGAGGCTGCTGCTGCTGCAGTCAGGGAACCACAGGTCCTCAAAGCTGAAGGTGCATCGGGTTGGGCAGCTGAGCTCTGCTGAAGCGGCCACTTACCCTCTGCAGTGTATTGCACACTCATTATCCTTTTTCTCTTTTTATGTCAGATCTGGCATGAAACGTTCTTTCCTTTTGACTCAACTTTTAAATTCTGAACTAACGCTCAACCCACAGTGATCATTGTAATTCACCGTCTGCTTACAAGGGAATTAATTACATATTATAACCCCGACTCCCAGATATCCACTGTGTGAGGTCTTTGTTCCCGCCTTCTCTGTAGAGCTAAGCGCCCCGCTCCTCGGAGGTGTATTATCTCCATCATCAGAGGACCCTGCACTGTTCTGTGTCACTAGCGTGGCATTATTTTGTCCAGCAATCCAATATATTCCAGATCTTAGTTTCAAAGTGAGATTTGTATGACACACGATTAAAGACGTCACAAAACCCACCACATGCACGCCCGAGTTCCCCCTCCAAGCCCGGTGATGTGAGAATGATGGAGGTGGCTGTGTTGGGGGCCATAGCAGGTCTGTGTGTCTGCTCTGCAGTGTGCGACATGCCTCTGGACCACATATGCAGCCACAACAGCAGAGATCAGTGCAAGGGACTCGGGTGCTGCTTTCACGAAGGCGTCTGCAAAGAAAAGTCAGTTTCCAGTAAGTATCTGGGGCCGGACCCACCCCAGGGGGACAGAGCCATGGAGGCCTGGAGGGGCCTGCCTTCCCTCCCCGGTCTCCGTCCCTGGACAGGCCTCTCACATCGTCCTGGCCACATCTCTGCTTAGAGAGAACAGAGGGCGTTGAGGGTCTGGGACTGGGACTGAGGCCCCAGGAAAGCCCCCTCCCAGATGGCAGACTTGCTGTGGAAGAAGACTGACTGAGAGCCTCCTTTCTGGAAGACCTGGGTCATTGTGGGGGTATAGCCGCTGGCGCTGGGGACTCAGCATTACAAAAGCTCCTGGTTGGGGATGGGGCTGGCTGCTGGCTGTGCAAAAGGCCAGACCTGACCAGGCGGGGGCTGGAGAGTGTAGCTGGGACCCTGAGGATGACGGGGACCCCTGTGCTGGGGAGAGTGGGAGGACTGGGGAGGTCTCTGTGGTCTCATCCTAATCAGAATAATTCCACAGCCCTGACACTAAGATCACTGCAGGCTGGGCTGTGCCTGTGGAGGTAGGGCCCGCAGGGACGCCTGGGTGGAAGCTGTGGGATCTGGGGAGAGCGTCAGCCTCAGAACAGGGCTGCTTCCGGCCAGCCCTCCAGGAGAGGCTCTGGGTGAGCCCATGCTTACGAGGGCAGGGGTGGGTGGTGGGGGTGAGGGGTGGGGGAAGCAAGCTCAGAGGAGGATATAAACTAGATGCCTGGCCCAGAAGGGATGCTGCTTTAAATATACTTTCTGGATATTTCTCACACGTTAGAGCAGTGGTTCTCAACGTTTCTAATGCTGCGACCCTTTAATACAGTTCCTCATGTTGTGGTGACCCCCGGCCATAAAATTATTTTCGTCGCAACCCACAGGTTGAGAATCACTAGCAGAGTCGCCTAAGACCATCGGAAAACACAGATATTTACATTACTATTCATAACAGTAGCAAAATTACAGTTATGAAGTAGCAACAAAAATAATTTTATGGTTGGGGGTCACCACAACATGAGGAACTGTATTAAAGGGTCGTGGCATTAGAAACGTTGAGAACCACTGCTTTAGAGAAATTCCAGAGGTCTTTGTGCCTCTGGAATTTTCTAGGCTCAAAACATTCCACTTGCGGGTTAATGGGTTTTCTTGCTGTTTGTGGCCCTTTCAGAAATGAATGGGCTCCAGGACTGTTTGAGGGGAGATTAAAAAAGCCTGTGGGCCCGGGCAGCCTACACAAGACCTCACCACGGAGGCGGAAAGTGCCCACAGATATGAAAAGCTGGCCACTGACCGGGCCACTCAACAGCTCTGATGCCCCTCCCTGTCCTAGGCTGCTCTCCTGTCCTCACCCCCCAAAGGGGACTCAGGTGCCCTGTGCTCTGTGGCTTGGGAGGATCTCTTCTTTTCTTGTCTTTCTCCTCGGAGTCCCGGTTCCACTGAGCCCCTCAGAGGCAAGACAACGCATCTGCCTTCTCATCCCTGGACACAGTCAGACTAGGAAGCCAGAAACATTGGTGACCCATGAGTGTCACCAACTATTGGCCCCTGGGGCTGCCTGATCCCACCACCCACAGGTCTAAGCCAGCTCTTTGAAGAAGTGAGTGATAGTCTGGATAAAATGATTCAAGAAGCTAATGTATTGGCAGGATCTTGGCTCACCCAAAGGGAGAGCATCTGTCCAGTTTTATGGTGAAGATTTGGTACTTAAGCCAAAAAAAAGGAAGTTTGGCTTCTCAAAAAGTGGCAGATAAGAAGTCACAATGAATGCCATTTGTAGCGGGGCTGGTTTTCTGATGACAATTTTTCCTTTAGATCTTGAATTAGATGACTTGGGACCACATCTCCTTATTAATCCCGCCCTCCACCTTCGGGAGACTCCAGGATCCCTAATGTTATTGTAAATGAAATTGTCTTCTTAAGTTTACTTCCAAATTGTACCCGAGAGAACTGAATGCTAGTCTATAGAACTAAAGTTCTGTGTATTGGTCTTGTATCCTGTAACCTTCTTCAACTCATTTATTAATGGCTTACTTAGGATTTTCTACCTACAAAATCATACCATCTGCCTATGAGATAGTTTTACTTCTATTTTTCTAATAGAGACAGTTTTATTTCATTTTCTTGCCTAGTTACCCTGGCTAGAACTTCCAGTACAATGGTGAAAGAGGCAGTGAGAATGGACATCTTCAACTTATTTCTGATTTTAGGGGCAAATTTCCAGTGTTTCACCTTTAAGTGTGTTGGTAGCTATGAGTTGAGGAAGTTCCTTTCTGTTCCTAGTTTCTTAAGTGTTTTTTTTTAATCAAAGAATATTGGATTTTATCAAATTATTCCTCATGTGGATTTGTTATTGTCTGGTATTTTTCCCTTTTTTCCTGCAGGACTCCCTTTCTTGTAAGGCGTTTATGCTGATGACACCCTGAAAGTTACTCTGAGCTGTAATGCATCTCTAGTTGTACATAATCAGGCAGAGAATTTGCAACAAGACATAGAGCTTTTCCTTAAAGGAGTTCATTATTCTCCATCTATCTCATTCTAAAACCCACAACCTTAGCCAGAATCTTATTTGAGAAATCTTTTTGAGTCCTGGGTCTTCCAATGTTGAACAGCCTATTATATTATACTAGATGCCTCTTGCAGGAAGATTCCTGCAATAGGGCTTCCTGCTGCAGTCGCTGCCCTGCCTGCTTCTTTTCCTTCTCCCCTGCCCTGCTTGCTTGCTTCTCCGCAGTGCTTGGCTTCTTTCTACACATCTTCAGTCTTCAGTCTGGCCTGGATATGTAAATTAATTACCATCTTGGTTGGGTTAATTTGCATGCTCACCCTGATTGGCTGGTGACAGGGGCTTGTGTGCGTAGTGAAGGTGTGGTCAATTTGCATGTTTCTCTTTTATTAGGTAGGATTCCAACAGCTCACTCCCTGGAGTATGTCACTCCCTGAGCTGAGTTCATGGCACTGGCTGGTGATTTGGCCAAAATTTGCTGGTTTGGGCACTTACCATCTTTTTATTTCTGTTTTGTGTATTGGTGGTTTTCACACACACACACACACACACACACACACACACACACACACACACACCGCTATTTGGAGAGCAGTGGATGATTACATTCAGCTCACTTCATTTCCATCACAGGGTTTTCCTTCTTAGAAGACTCCAGTAACCTAGGCATTGATGCAACTTAGTTTTTCTGGGTCTTTTACCATTTGGGGGTCCTCAAAGCAGGAAACATTCACATCCAAAGGGCATTTGGGTTGTTCTTTCAATCTTCTATATATGAAGATGTAGAAGACATTCAATTCCCAGGTCAGTCACAGGATTGGACACCGTCTTCGGCCATTAACGATGCAAATTTTCTCATATCTCAGTGAAAAGGAGACAACCAGGGGAGATTGCAACCAGCAAGAGGGAGCCATCCAAGCTGCTGCTGCTTTCCCCACCTGTCCCTCCCCAAGCATCTTCTCATCAGGATTTTCCCTGTGAGTTGGCCATTTTGTAAATGTACCACAAACATTGTTAAAACCAGTGTGATCACCTTATTTATGCCTGTTATTCATTTGAAAAATGAGTAACACCTTACAGCACCTTAATTATTAGTGTCTTAATTTTTGGCTCTCCCTTCAACCCCCATGAGCTCTCAAGAATGTTTTCTCCTCGAAGAGAGCCCCCTGCTCTGCAAGTGGATTTGTCATTTTTGCACAGAGGCGAGCGCTAATCCTCTTTTCATCCTTTCAACCTTCATGAGCTGTGTGGGCCGGGCTCTTTCTCGCCTCTGACTTCTTTCACGTTGGTGCGGGCGGGCCATCTGTGGGAAGGGTCTGGGCAGTGAGCCCTGCGTTTGGGTTCTCACTGAGCCCTCAAATTGCTTTTCATTTCTTTGACGTCTTACTCACCGAAGACGGCGACTGAACCTTTGTGCTGGGTAAGTTGTAGTATTCGGTGACAGGGTATTATGAGTTCTTTGTGCGCATAATTCCATGTTATGAAAACCTTTCACCAACTTCTTAAATTGGCTGGTTTGAAGTGCACATTGTGCTGCGACATAATCTGTATGATTAAAAATGTGAACTCTGGGAATTAGCATTAGGTCTTTGAGAAACAATCAGAGAGAGTGTCTTGCCTTCGCCCTTCAGCCTTGACTTAGGCACATTATGGAACATGTCATGTCTCCCCAGTGTACGGCTTCTGTTTCTCCATGAGACGTGCTGAGCTGATTTACAAAATGTCTGTTTCTTTATATTTGGGAGAGAATTTCTCCAGATACTTCTTGAAGAAAATAATGCTGTCTTTCAGTTGCTGCTGTTTCTGAAGGATCATTATATACGGTTTATTAAAAACCATACATATTGTTTATAACAAGTACTGTGCTGGCCAGACTCTGCACACAGGCTCAGTCTCTGCCTCCAGGAGCTTGACCTCAAGGACCAGAAATACCTGCACGTATGAAGATATAGACCAGTGGTTCTCAAGCTTTCTAATGCCACAACCCTTTAATACAGTTCCTCATGTTGTGGTGACCCCCCCCCCCAACCATAAAATTATTTTCGTGGCTACTTCATAACTGTAATTTTGCTACTGTTAATGAATCATAATGAAAATATCTGTGTTTTCAGATGGTCTTAGACTCTACAGTAGTGGTTCTCAATCTGTGGGTCGAGAACTGCTAGCAGGGTTGCCTAAGATCATCTGAAAACACAGATATTTATATTATGATTCATTAACAGTAGCAAAATTACAGTTATGAAGTAGCAACGAAAATAATTTTATGGTTGGGGGTCACCACAACTTGAGGAACTGTATTAAAGGGTTGTGGCATTAGAAAGCTTGAGAACCATTGGTATAGAAGGTACGCTGATGGTCAAATCCTGACACATTGTCTAAATCTGTGTCTCTCTCTAACTGGACTTCACTATTATTAATTCTGAATTTATTTCATGAACCAAGACACAAGATCCCACTCAGGGATACACATTCTCTGGAATTCAAAATTTTGAGGTTTACCCTCTTGTCCCTTAAAATCTTCTCATTTCACTCTTTCAAATATAGTGAACTTTATTTGTTCATTTCAATTCATTTCGTTAAACATCGTTTAAAGTGTGCCTTCTCTGTGCCTTTGGCTACACCCCTAGGAGAAAGCTCCGTGGCATGGAGAGGGGCAGAGAATTTAAACCAACTAATGCTTCTAGGCAGGGGAAAATGGGACAGAGGCCACCTCCTAAGAGTCATTTTGAAGGCCCTGATTCTTCCATTGGGGGTGGGTTATGAGAAGATAGAAGCAATGGAGTCCAGGGAAAACCCTTGGTAATACAGAAAAACTCAGTCAATGTAAGCTGAAATTAGACCAATGGAATTGAACACCAAAAAGCATTTTCAGATTCACTTTCAGGGAGTTGGGGGGAGGGTGAGGTGCCAGATGGCAGTAGGCCCAATGCCACTGTTTCCTGGGGGACAGACAAGGGACCCCCTCTGCAGGCTCCCCTCAGCGGGCAGTCCTCTGTCATCCGGGAGCCACAACCACCACCCTGAGTCCCTTTCATGTGGAGCCTTGGTCTGTGTGTGGGTGACCGTGGTCCCAGGGCGGTGTTTCGGGAGGGGAGTGGCAGTGTTAGTGGAGTGGCCAGTGCTCAGGGGTGAGCTGGGCGGAGAAGGGCTGCAGGGTGGAGGGCCCAGGTCCACCTCAAGGAGGAGGACTGCCTTGTTGTAATTAACCCAAATGATGGTAAATGGACATTGTTTTTCAGCTTATGTGCACGTGTTTTGTGCCTTCATCCTGATCGTTGCCGGGGTCTTTATTTTCACTACTGTTTACAGGTCAGTCATTCTGTTCTACGTAGAACTTTGGTGGGAGAGGAGCAGGGAGAGGACTCCCTTCCTTGGCTCAGTGCTATTGGGGCCACGTGGACTGCCTGTGAGGCCTGAGGGGCCAGCTTCCCCCCCCCCCCCCCGCCAGAGCTTAACAATAATACCAGCCAGCCTTTCATAAGCACGGATCATTTCACTCCACAGCCCTCCTACAAGGAGCAGGTGGGGGCTGTCTGCAGAGCTCAGACTCCAGGCCGACCACGCCCCTTCCTCCTGTGATAAAGCCCTGTCTTCTCCATGCTCTCAGACACAATCCCCTTCCCCCCCTAGTTTCCATGGTGATGACATGCACACCCAGCAAGGCTACCTAGGCTGCTCGTTGCCCCCTGGCCGGACTGGAATTCAGCTTTCCCCCTGGGGTGCGGGGGGTGCGGTGGGCCAGCATAAAAGCCCCTGCGATTAGTTGAGGCATTTTGTCCAGCAACAAGGACAACTGTCTTCCTCTCTGAGTGGTGCTGGGCGGCGTCTTGAGTGACCAACCCGGTGGTCACCCGCCCACAGTGCACACCTTCCCACTCCTGCTGCTGTCCTGGGGAGTCTGGCTGCCACACGCAGACGTCTGCTCAGGGCGGGTAGAAGGAACTAACCTGCAAGCTCCCAAGGCCTAAAGCATTTACCCTGACAGATTTTCTACATGCATGATCATGAGCCCTACCTACCCTTTTAGGGGGGAGCCCTGGCGCTCCGTCATTTTCCATCTTTAATTTCTCTGGTTCTGACAAGAACTCTCTTCCCTTCAGGGTTGTTCAGGAAAGGAAAGAGAAGAAAACCGCTATGGAATTGCCTTTGTCATTCAAGTCCGGAGAGAACGTCGTGGCGGCCCCCATTGCCCGCAGGCTGGCAGTGTGGAAGGCTCGGACTGGCAGAGCACTGCCGTGTGCCGGATGTGGCGGGCACACCCTTAAGAGTAAGAGTCAGGATTGCCCAGCCTCAGGGTTCAGGGCTCAGCTTTCTTCCCTCAACACATCTTACAGGTGAAAGATACCCAGTCAGCAGCTACATTAGCCTTTTAGCAGATGTTGCACTTTTTTCTTTCAGTTTGGACTAACTCTATTTTTTCCAACTAGGAGGGTCTAGCATGTTCCTGCTCTAAAGGCACATTTCCCTCCATAACTATCGTCTTCTATCTTTCTCCTCCTCTCTTTGCTTCTCTGCCATCCCTCCCTCCCTAGCTAATCCAGCTGCGTGGTGGGCAGTGGAGAAGGGGTGGCGGTGATGTTGGAGTATATCTGCAGCCTTGACAAATGTGATCCAGTGGCTTCCTGGCAGTGGTGCCTGACAACATTCCTGTTGTGGCTCCCTGACTGCTCGGTGGCCCTGGCTGAAGAGGTGTAAACATAACAGCTAAACTTCCAACACCTCCGGCTTTCAGGAAGCAAAGTCACTTGTATGTGATTAACTCTGAGGGGGACTTGGCAGTTGCTTGGTGCTTTTCACAGTCAGCAACTTGCTAGGTAGAGAAAGAAACATCTCAGTGGTCAGCTCAGTCTTAGGTGATATTGTTTGGAAACATGGTCTAGGTCTCTTATCCACTAGAGCACATGTGTCAAACACAAGGCCCGTGGGCCAAATCCGTCCCGCCAGGCCTTGCAATGTGGCCCGCACCGCGCTGTCATCACTGCACTCCGCTGCGTTTCCATCACAATGACAGTTTATGACTGTTCAGTAAACCATTCGGCCCGCGATTTAGGCTGGATTTTAGATTTTGGCCCCTTCTCTGATTGAGTTCGACACCCCTACACTAGAGGCTCAGTGTATTAAATTCATGAAGGTTGGGGCGGGGGGGGCGGGGGAGCGGTCCCTCAGCCTGGCCTGCACCCTCTCACAGTCCGGGATCCCTCAGGGGATGTCCGACTGACAGCTTAGGCCCACTCCCCATGGGACATCCTAGTGCTGCCATGGAGGTGGGAAAGGCTCCACCACCTTCGCTGCTCTTGTCAGCTGTGAGCCTGGCTTCTGGCTGAGCAGTGCTCCCCCTGTGGGAGTGCATTGACCACCAAGGGGCAGCTCCTGTGTTGAGCAGAATCAGGCCAAAACTGGCTCTCTGACATCACCAAGGGGTCCCAGATTGCGAGAGGGTGCAGGCCAGGCTGAGGGACCCCACCAGTGCATTATTGGGGCCAGGGAGGAATGGAGGAGGTTGGCCAGCTGGGGAGGGACCATGGGAGGGCTCTAGGGCATGTCTGGCCAGTCTCCCTCAGTCCTGATCAGCCAGATCCCAGAAGCAAGCTAACCTACCAGTCAGAGCATCTGCCCCCTGGTGGTCAGTGCATGTCATAGCAAGTGGTTGAATGGCCTTAGCATATCATTAGCATATTATACTTTTTATTTAAAATATATTTTATTGATTTTTTTACAGAGAGGAAGAGAGAGGGATAGAGAGTTAGAAACATCGATGAGAGAGAATCATCAATCAGATGCCTCTTGCACACCCCCTGCTGGGGATGTGCCCATAACCAAGGTACATGCCCTTGACTGGAATCGAACCAGGGACCTTTCAGTCTGCAGGTCGATGCTCTATCCACTGAGCCAAACTGGTTTCGGCGCATATTATACTTTTATTGGTTGAACAGACAACCGGACAACTGGACACTTAACATATTAGGCTTTTATTTTATAGGATGAGTCACAAAGACTGGGTTTTATTGTCTTTTATTTTATAGGATGACTGGGTTTTATTGTGGCAAATAGGAAAAGGGAGAGGCTGGGAGAGGCGGCCTGCCCAAAGGTCTCTGAGGATCTCAGTGCTCGCCCCTAACGGAGGCTATGTCTGTGCACAGAGTGCGATGGCGCCTCCTCGGGGTGCTTTCTGCACAGTGAGGCCATGGAAGGTGGACACTGCTCTCCCCCAGGAAGCTCTTTCTCTCCCAGGAGTGAGTGGAGAGATAGGGCAGCATAAACCCACCTACCAAACATAACTGAGTAAATCATGGCCCATTGTCTGCTATAGATACGTTCACAGACTTTGATGAAATTTCCTTGGCATTGCTGACTATTCCATTAAAAGAAAAGCACCACTTAACCTTGCCCAATGGGTTGAACATAGTCCCATGTACCAAGAGGTTGCAGGTTTGAGTCCCAGGCAGGGCACATACCCAGGTTGCTGCCTCAGTCCCTAGTAGGGGGATGTGCAGGAGGTAGCTGATAAATATTTCTCTCTCTCTCTTCTTAAATCTGTTAAAAATATATCATTCTTAAAAAACACAAACACTTATTGTTGTTTTAAATTCAGCAACAGTGACGATAAAGAATACTGAAGAAACTAAGGGTTGAAATGCATGATGAAGAAAACATGAAGATTGGCAGAAATATCCAAACAAAATGGTACCATTATGAACCACTCTTAAACAATAAAGGTATTTTAAATGCTTCGGTTCTGTGTTGTCTTAGTCAATGCTGTATTTTTGTCTCAGGGGAGAGAAAGCCAATTGGAGGGTGAGAACATTACCAGAAACTATGATTTAAAACACACACACACACACACACACACACACACACACACACACATTTCAGAGAGGAAGGGAGAGGGACAGAGATAGAAACATTAATGATGAGAGAGAATTGTTGATTGGCTGCTTATTGCATGCCCCCTATTGGGGATTGAGCCCACAACTCAGGCATGTGCTCTGACTAGGAATCAAACTCTGACTTCCTGGTTCATAGGTTCACTTTCAACAACTGAACCTTGCTGGTTGGGCAGGCTTTGATTTTTTTTGATGACACTGTTTGCTAGTGATACCAAAAATCAAGGCACTTATAGCATTGACACAAGATGATGTCACTGAAGCCCCCTTGTCAAAAGACAGGCTACACTTTCACAGGGTAGAATTGTCACTGAGACTTGCAGGAAATTCTGGACTTGCCCAGCAGTAAGCTGTGCTAATGAGAGGAGCAGCATCATGTTCTGAGAGGCCCAGAACCATCCAATGCAACTTCCTCAAAGTCTGTTGTCCAGGTAAGGATGCACATATGTTCCAGAATGCTTGACAATGCTGACTATGACTGATGCAAGCCAGCCCAGTTGAGTCTGGTTTTCACTTAAAAAAAAAAAAAATTTATTGATTTTGTACAGAGAGGAAGGGAGAGAGATAGAGAGTTAGAAACATCGATGAGAGAAAGTCATCAATCAGCTGCCTCTTGCACACCCCCTACTGGGGATGTGCCCGCAACCAAGGTACATGCCCTTGACCAGAATCAAACCCAGGACCTTTCAGTCTCCAAGCCGACTCTCTATCCATTGAGCCAAACCGGTTTTGGCTGGTTTTCACTTTGGAAACTTGAATATCTATATACTAGTGACCTGATGCACAAAATTTGTGCATAAGGTAGGGCGGGGGTGGGGGTTGTCCCTCAGCTTGGCCTGCACACACTCCAATCTGGGACCCCTCGAAGGATGTACTACTGCTGGTTTACAGGAATCAGGCCTAAACCAGCAGTCAGATATACCTGTCGCAATCTGGGACTGCTGGCTCCTAACTACTCACCTGCCTGCCTGCCTGATTGCCCCTAACTGCTTTCCCTGCCAGCTTGCTCACACCCAACTGCTCCCATGCCAGTGTGCTTGCCCTCAACTGCCCCCCTGCTGGCCTGCTCACTCCAAACTCCCCCCCTTCCCCACTGTCCTGATTACTCCCAACGGACCCCCACTGATGGCCTGCTTGCCCCCAACTGGGCCCCCTGCTGGTCTGTTCACCCCAAACTTCCCCCCATCTCACCAGCCTGATAATCCCAATGGTTCCCCCCGCCCTTACCAGCCTGATCACATACAACTGCCATCCCATCCTCCATCACCCATAACTTCCCTCCCATCTTGGCCTCTAACCACCTCTACCTTGGCCCTGCCACCATGGTTTTGTCTAGAAGAATGTCTGGAAGATCTCCTGGAAGGTCTCCCAGTCTTATTAGCATATTACCCTTTTATTAGTATAGATAGAGGCTTGGTGCATGGGTGGGGACTGGCTGGTTTGCCCTGAAGGGTGTCCCGGATCAGGGTGGGGGTTCCCTTGGGGTGTGGGGTGACCTGGACCTAGGGTCCTGTGGTGATTTGCAGGCTGGCCATGCCCCCATGGGGTGAGGATACCCACTGGGGTGGTGTGGCCAGCCTGGGTGAGGGGCTGATAGCTGATTACAGGCTGGCCACACCCCCCAGCGGGGATGCTTATTCCATGGGGATGTGGACAGCCTGGATAAGGAGCTGAGGGCTGTTTTGAGGCTGAACACGCTACCTGACAACCCAGGCTTCCAGCTCCTTTTTTCCCCCCCAACCACTCCTTCAGCGGCAGCCAGGACGAGCAGGAAGCTTGGCCTCCTCCATCACAGGGGGCAACCCAAGTCTCTTACTTACTCCAGCTCCATGGCCACTGCCATATTTGTTTGGTTAATTTGCATACTCACTCCTGATTGGCTGTTGGATGTAGCAGAGGGATAGTCAATTTGCATGTTTCTTTTATTAGTGTAGATATAAAAGCCTAAGTGGCCCTTCAACCAGTAGTTATGATGTGCCCTGACCACCAGGGGGCAGACGCTCAATGCAAAGACATGGAAACATAGAACAGACTGATGAAACTCAGAGGGAAAGGAGGCGGGGAAGGGCAGGAAAAGATTAACCAAAGATCTTTTTTTTTTTTTTTTTTTTTTAATATATTTTATTGATTTTGTACAGAGAGGAAGGGAGAGAGATACAGAGTTAGAAACATCAATGAGAGAGAGTTATCAATCAGCTGCCTCTTGCACATCCCCTATTGGGGATATGCCTGCAACCAAGGTACATGCCCTTGACTGGAATTGAACCCAGGACCCATCAGTCTTCACGCTGACGCTCTATCCATTGAGCCAAACTGGTTTTGGCTAACCAAAGATCTTATATGCATACTAGAGTCCCTTGGTCTGCCTGTCCCGTACCCTGTCACAATTTGGGACCCTTTGGGGAATGTTGTACTGCTGGTTTCAGCCCAATCCCCACAGGCCAGGTTGAGGGACCCCACTGGACCCAGTATGTATGTATGTATATATATTGGGTCGGCAAATAAGTAATTGCGGATTTTTTAAAGAAAATCAAAGACAATTTTTTCATGGAACTAAATAACTTTATTCTGTAATGTATTGCCCATTTTGATCAATGACCTTTTGCCATCTTTCAGGCAGCATCATAATCCCAAGTTCAAAAAATTTCTGGTTTTTATTAGCAAAAAACTGAATCAGGTACGATTTGACATCATCATCATTATTGAAATTTTTACCATTCACGGAGTTTTGTAAAGATCGAAACAAAAAGTAATCAGATGGTGCAAGGTCAGGACTATATGGTGGATGTGGCAAAACATCCCAGCCAAGCTCCATTAATTTTTGCCGAGTGACCAAAGATGTGTGTGGCCTTGCATTGTCATGATGGAATACAACACCTTTTCGATTTGTCAATTCGGACCGCTTTTCTTCAACTGCATTGTTTAATTTCGTTAGTTGTTCAATGTAGACATCAGAATTGATCGTTCGGTTGGGTGGTAAGAGTTCAAAGTAGACAATTTCTTTGTAATCCCACCAAACTGATAACAAAACTTTCTTTTGATGAATATCAGCTTTTGATGTTGTTTGAGTTGGTTCACCTGGCCTGCTCCACAATCTTTTTCGCTTGATATTGTTGTAAACAACCCATTTTTCATCACCAGTTATCAGTCGTTTTAAAAATGGATCATTTTCATTACGTTTCTTTAGCAAATCGCAGCTGCTAATGCGTTGCGTTAACTGTGATTCTTTCAGTTCGTGAGGAACCCATGTATCGAGTTTTTGAACATAGCCAAGTTGTTTTAAGTGATTTTCAATGCATGTATGTGATACATGAAGCTTCTCTGCAATCTCACGTGTTGTACTGTGACAGTCCGAATTGATTATTGCTTTGATTAGGGCGTCATCAACTTCAACTGGACGACCAGAGCGTTTTTCATCTTTGAGTGAAAAATCACCAGAACGAAATTTGGCAAACCAATTTTGACACTGCCGTTCTTTTAAGGCTTCGTCACCATAAACAGCACATAACTTTTTAGGAGCTTGCGATGCGTTTTTCCCTTAGCGGAAATAAAAAAGCAAAATATGACGAAAATGTTCCTTTTGATTTTCCATTTTTCAACGAACACCAAACGAAAACTACAAAACAGATCAAAAAACTTTTTTTACTGATTAACAGCTGAATAGCCAACTATCAAATAACAAAATGTGTTTTACATTTGTACTACGTCTGCCAACCTAAAAATTCAACTGAAGCCATATATGTGTGAAACCAGCAATTACTTAGTTGCCGACCCAATATATTTGAGGGCCTCTAGTATATCTATATCACATATGTAGGAGCCCCTAGACATCCTCATTTATTTTTTAGCTGCTAAATTCTATGCATGTGGGCAATGCAGTTTTGGTCAAGATCTTATTGCCCAGGCTTCTTGGAGAAGGAAGTGTGAGGGAGGGTGAGGGATAGAGGCTGGTCCTTTCCTTCTCACACAAGTCCTCCTGACCTTAGTCATTGGCCCTTATGTTGGTTTAGGTCAGATGTCAGCACACTTTTTATAACGGACCAGGCAACAATTATTTAATGCGTTGTGGGCCAGAGTTCTGACAGCTCTTCAACTCTGCTGGTGTAGTATTAAGGTGGCCACAGACAATGGAAATGCATGAATGTGGCCAGGTTTCAATAAAACTTTATATAAAATCAGGTGATGGGTTGGAATTGGCCTGCAAGCTGTGGTTTGTCAACTGCTATTTTTTTTTTTTTTTTTTGCTTATCTTTTTCTAGAAGTTTCATAGTCAAAAGCCTCTGATGGTCAATTTATTCCTATAGCTTATTAAAATTGTGCACACTTGACTTTGTAAACAGCCAATGCCTGGATTTCCCATGCTGGGATCCCATTCCCAGGAGTTATTAATTCATCTGTGTCTTGCAAAGGACAGCCCTCAGAGAGCTTTTCAAGGATGCATTTTTCATGCCAACGTGAATGGGATGTGCTGTTGGCTCTCTTGCAGAGGTGTGGTTGCATGGAGGGCTTATCAGAGATCCATCAGCATCCTCTACACCAGTGGTTCTCAGCCCCAAAGAACATTTGGCAATGTTTGGAGACATTGTGGGCTGTCAAAATGGGGGAAGGCACTGCTGGTGTCTAGTAGGTGGTAAACGCCCTGTAGTGCACAGGACAGCCCACAGCAGAGAATCATCCAGATGATTGTACTGCTGTATAGTCGTCTGACAGTGTTCATGTAACAAATGCAATATTTTTATAAAGAGTTGTTATATCGTACTTTTAAAAAGTCAAAATATGTAAACATGTTATATTCATATGTG